CGAAACGATGGATTTTCATCTTCAATTTTTTGTAGACGGAATCAACGACGGAATCATTTTCTTTGCCTTTAGCCTCGTCAGAATTTTTTCTTTGAAAGTTTATTTTTTTTATTTCATTTCAAATAACTCTAAATCAAATCTACGCACCTGAATAAACTCTCCAGTTTTATCTTCCGGTCTGTAACCACAACGATTGGAACAAGTCTTCGGGTATTGCCTCCACCGCCATAAAAGTGTGTTCTACGCCTTGAACGGCGCCACTTTGGAGGAGTTAAAATGCCTCCTATTCCATGGCTTTCCTGAACAAGAGCTAGAGTGACGAACAGAATGAAAACTGTAACAAGAATTACCTCCTTTTTCATCTTTTTCTCAACCTAATTGCCAGACAGCTGATGAATGCCGAAACAAGACAAAGTCTTCTTCAGAAAGACTGGTGGCGGAACGTGAGTGTGCAACCCCTTATTTCATCAGTAAGTTAATTAGTCATCTCAATAACACGTGCTATCGGCTCCAACTTGCTCTTGATTGGTCGAATTTTCTGCTACCGCGACGAATCCTTTTGATGATTGGATAAAAGCGAAAAAGACGGCAAAACTCACCACGCATGCGGAACAAGTACAGACGCATTTCAAATTCTGTACTTTCTGCTTATCATAGCAACTATTAACGCACAATGACGAAAAATCCTTCAGTTACAAAAATAAGACTATATTTATCCAACTTTAGTAGACTTGTTAACGTGCTAATCTGCCTTTCAGCTGTGAGTTGAAATTGTCTCCAAAATTATTAATATTAAAGATATCAGATTTGGCAATAACCACGTGGAGGGGATTTGATTGGTTGTTAAAACTTCCTGTACATAATTAAAAACATTCACGTATCAGGTGCGTAGACAGTATTTTTCAAACTCCCTGGGAGGGGTCACACCGTGTCAAAAGAGAGTACTCACCAGATTGTCATGCCGACCTCCACGCCGTGTTTTACTTAATGTGACAATAACATGCTTACAGAAGGGTGACATGGGCACCCCAGGACCCCCCTCCCCAAGTTACGCTCTTGCGTATATGTCATTAAAAGATTTCTGATGCCTTTAATTAATGAATAATATTATTTTCTTATTGACTGAATGGGAAAGCCGGACGGGAAGATATTTGGCTTGAGGTCATGACGTACAGACCAAGCGCAGCGAGGTCCCTGCATTATTAATTTTAAGGGCTACTTTATGAACGAATTTTTCCGGCGACTTTAAATATCGAAACTGGTGTAAATCTTTGCCACAGACGAGTGCAAAAGACAAATTAACGTTTGTTTTAATACGTCAGCGGGGGTTTATTTATAGGAGCAAGCAGTTGTCTGTTTCTCAGAAATTCCCACAACTATGCTTCATGGAGTTCAAACACACTTCATTAGCACGCACACAAAGGGATTATAAAGGAGTCTCACGCAATCGGCCATTTCGATGTGTTAACATTGTAACAGGGCTCCGAGGCTGGGGGGAATAAAACAAAATAAATTTATTATTCATCCTTCAACCTCCACATGATTTCCTTTGATTTCCTGCCACGGAGTCAAGTTTGAATTTTAATATATTGGAAATGGCCTGTTGAATCTGATTTCAGTGGATTAACTGGCGAGATTGTTAGTCAAAATCACTTTTTATGTTTATTGTATTAAACTGATGTTAGCTTAATATGCCACTCTCTTATTTTGCTGCAAAATGAAACCTGTTTCTGAAATAGCTATGGCTTAGGGATTTAATTATAGGTACTGTCATTTATGTCACGCTCTGTCCTCCAATATAGATTTTTATGATTAGTAAGAACCAGTCAAAATGCCTGCATAATTCAGCTATTGATATGAAAAGTCTTCGAATGCAATCCAGTAACAACTCTGTATAATTACCCTTTATCAATTGTTTTTGTCCGCAAAAGCTTTAAATTTGTAGTAGAAGTTGCTTTTTACGAAAATCAACATCAAGGCAGGATTTGCATATTGCTTACGATTTATTTCCAATTCTAAAATACAAAGGAAAACTGTTTTTATGTGTTCACACATTTCATATTACAGACAAACAGTTAGTCACAATGTGCATAGTTTTGCAACCAAGCAACAAATATGAGGTAATGCCATCTCGGACTGTTTAATTGCTTGAACTCTACACGTTCTTCTACCGATGTATTGAAGCTGAAAGTTGTGTCTATTACCGACCTTTTTCACGTGCGTAGTATCCGTCTTGGTGCCTCGCTCGCAAAAAGAAATCAAATTCTGAGGTCTAAGTTACAAGGAGTGAGCTCTTGTTAACAACACAATCTGGTATCAGTTGTTATCTTTTCCGACACAGTGGAGAATTGATTTGGTTTCCACCTGCTTTCGTCCATTAAAAAAAAGCAGCCTCTCTCTCTTTCAAAGCTTGCTTGTTTAGGGACAAAACGGTTGAGAACGAACAAGTACGACTCCACATTAAAAACATCCAGTCATGAGTAACCAGCCAAAAAGGACGTAAGAACGCTTTGAAGAGAAAAATAAAACGAAAAAAAAAATGCTCCAGAGCTCGAAGATTGCTCCCAGTTTAAAACAAAACACATTTACCACCAGAATTACGAAAGGGATTGTCGTGAGCAGCTTTCGGGCTGACTAAAGGATCTACGTTGCCTTGTTGCTCGCAATACTGCACAAGTTCACTTGCACTCAGCGACAGTTTCACCCGCTGGACTTTTGCCTCACGGCGAAGTTGCTCCACAAAAGTGCGCTGCGATTGTAAATCCTTGCTGCATTTACCTGAGGGAATAACAGTCGACATTCTGGGATACACTCCGTGAAAATAACTCTTTGCCTGAGTATTGTAACTAGGGACTTAAGACGACGGTGCCTTTTGTGCAGAAAGCTAAGTGGCTTTCATAAAACTTTTATTGAATTGTCAATTGTACAGGAAGTCTATTGAACTTTTAACGGCTTTTCATTGGTTATTGTAACTCACTCACTGTTGACAAAGAAGTATTACATACACAAGAATGGTATTCTTTACGAATTGGTAAGGACCTTAATTTTGCATTTACAGTGTTCATAGCCAGAAGTGGGATTTGGAATGGTTTAAGGAGTGTTCACTTGAAGGCTTTAGTGCACATACTTGATTCTAGTAAAATGGGATTTTATTTCATAAGTTTCATCTGCGGTTTAAGAAAGTGAGACCATTTAGTTGTTCAAAATTCAAACCAAATGTCTACATGCCTTTTTGTTTCTTGATGTTTTTACGAATTTAATCCCTACAATTGACGAACGGCAGAGGATTAACAAAGTCATGGCGTACAATGGCCATTGTACTCAACAGAGATCAAACGTCGGGCAAGCGCAGGACAATTTTGGCCACCTATGCGTCAATTTTCCGCGCAAAATTTGTCTAGGTAACAACATGATTAAGAGTGCAATTTGGTGTTAATAAGCACGATTAAATTTTTTAAAGACGAAAAAATTGCTTGAGCCCGTAGGGCGAGTGCAATTTGTTGTCTCCGAAAAATTTATAAGTGCTTACTTACACCAAATTGCACCCGTAATCATGTTCTTACTTGTTAATACTTTACACGAAAAACGCGTCACAGAAAGTCAAAACAAACAAAATTTTGCAGCACGCGCGCTAATTGTAATTTGCACTCGTGTTACAACATTGCACTCGTGTTACATGAAAAATGCACTCGTTTTCAGCCAAAAAAATATAAATAAATAATAAATAAAAAAAATCCAAAATTGGCCCATAATGTCCAAAACCCAAAATCGGCCTCTAGTGTCCAAAATAAAAAATTGACCACTGGTGTCTAAAAAAATGCAAACTCGGCCACCAGTGTCCAAAATCCAAATTCGGCTACTCGTGTCCAAAAAATCGGCCACCACTGTCCAAAATTAAAAATCGGCCACCAATGTCCGAAATTAAAAATCGCCCACCAATGTCCAAAATTAAAAATCGGCCGTTATTGTACAAAGTCAAATATAGACCACTACTGGCCAAAATCAAGAGACGGTGAATAGTGTCCTGTGTCCGAAATATAAAATCGACCACAACTGGCCAAAATAGAAAGTCGCCAAAATCCAAAATCCAAGCCAAAATCCAAAATCGGCCTCTAGTGTCCAAAATACAAAATCGGCCACTAGTGTCAAAAATCCAAAATTTTCCACTAGTAACCAAAATCCAAAATAGAGCCAATAGTGGCCAAAATTCGAAATCGGCCGCTGGTGGCCAGAATCCAAAATCAGCCACTGCTGTCCAAAATCCAAAATCGAACAGTAGTGTCCAAAATCCGAAATATGCTACAAGTGGCCAAAACCCAAAAATCCGAAATCGGCCGCTGGTGGCCAAGATCCAAAAACAGCCACTAGTGTCCAAAATCCAGAATCGGCCACTAGTAACCAAAATCCAAATCGGCCACTTGTTTCCAAAATCCAAAATCGACCACAAGCGTCCAAAATCCAAGGTCGGCCACTAGTGTCCAAAATCCAAAATCGATCACCGGTGTCAAAAATCCAAAATAGGTCACTAATGGCCAAAATGCAAAATCGGCCACTGGTGTCATATCCAAAATCGGCCATTAGTGGCCAAAGTCAAAGATCGGTCACCAGTGTCCAGAATCCAAAATCGGCCACTAGTGTACCATATCTGAAACAGGCCACTTGCGTCCGAAGTTCAAATTTGGCCACCAGTGTCCAAAATCCTAAATCGGCGAGAAGTGTCAAAATCCGAAATCGGCCACTAGTGACCTTACAGAATCATGATATCTTTTTATCGTTTTTCTCTTTTTTCAGTGCTTTGACTTGTCCAAAATTTCATAAAAACACACGATTTTTCTTTGTAAGAGTTTAATTTCTAACAAAAAAATTATTCAACGACTAATTAAATGTAAACGAGGAACTCAGAAATCAGAAAGCAAGGAAAGAATAACTAGTCTCACAGAGTGACAGAATAGCGTGACACAATGTAACAAAGTCACGGGCTTTCACTTGTAACGGTAAGCATCCGCTATGTCATTCGAACCGAGGGCCTATGTTTCTCCGTTTTAAATGAGGAATAAGATGATCCACAGAAAAAAGAAACTCATCTTTGCGTGGATGTTCACGTGCCTTTTGCTGGGTAAGACTATGAAATGGTATTATATGATTCAGCAGCGGGATTTACACTGGAAGAAGGCGTTCTTATGAATAATGTATGAGATCACTCGCACAGTAATTTTAACACGTTTGTACCATATTCGGGAACAGTGTCATTAGAGGATAGTGTCAGCTAAACCTCGATAGTGAAAAGGTTTAATAAATTGAGAGTTTTTATCAACTTTGCAGGGAATCAGTGCTTAGCAGTTACCAAACAGTGGCTACCCAACACAAATTTTGATAATCCAGCTAACTGGAATAAGGGAAGAGTGCCGTGTGCAAAAGACAGAGTGCAACTTCATGGGGTAAGGAACGAGGCCATATTTATAACGGCAGATAAGATTTCCGCACAGCACCATACTTTATTATGCATATAGTTCTTGGATAAAGAAAGCAATGGCGTAAACAATAGATTACCTTTGGGATTACGGCATTGTTTTAGAATGGTATAGGTTTGTACGTAAATCTTTCAAAGAATATTGTCACTGAATTTATTTGATAAAGAAAAACATTTTCTGTAAATGTGAACAACCTCTGGGAAACAGCACTTCTCTGACGTGATGGCCAATCCTGGGTATCCATTTCTTTCATTTTTATGTAAATTACAGAGTAACTTGTGTTGCTGGAGTCAATTGCACAGAACTGATCAATCTGATTACAGGAAATTAATTTTGAACATTGAATTCAATCTTAATTCCTTGTCATGTATCTTTGTGCTTTTTTTTTTCCCTGGACAATACCTGGCACAGCTATAACCCTTTACACCATAACATCAGTATGCATATTCTCCATACTGTTCTCTATACATTTCCAAAGATACTGACTAGAAGAATTTGCTTAACAATCAAGATCTTCTTAAGTTTGTGATCATTTCCTTTATTCCTATGATCTTAATGTTTGAATCAGGGCTGATATTGTTAGGAGAAATTAGATGCTGGTCACTCTTAAGGATCAAAGGGTTAAACATGGACTGACAAGACTGAATTTATGAGAAACTGGTAATTTAGCATTAACAACTGAGTTGAAAACATAAATTGGCCACCATAAAGGATAAAAAAGCTGACATTTCGAGTGTCAGCCCCTTGTCAGAGCAATTCGAAGGGCTAACTCTCAAAAAATCAGCCTTTTTACCCTTTACGGTGGCTAATTTACATTTTCAACTCAGTTGTTAATGCTAAATTACCTGTTATACTCTCCCACTGACACAACACCACAATTTCTTTAGAAACTTAACCCCTTTATTTATTTGAAACTATTGTGTGCTTCAAGCCTGTAAGGTTGTCTCTGTAAAACAGCTATAAATTTAATTATATTAATTAAGTAAACCTGGCCATTTGCAGAACAAGCCGGTCTCTGTTTCTCTAAGGAGCAGTCATATTATTTCAACTTTGGTGAGTGACTTTGAACAGAGTTTAGTTTTGAATGTTGAGAACATGTGATTGACTAGGACAAATTCATATTACATAGATGAATGTAATGAATGATCACATTGTAAACTGTCCACAAATTTAATTATTATAGTATAGTTGATATATTATTATTTTAATTATTATTGTCAATTAATGATATATTTATTGCAGCATTTAGTAGAGGCTGTCTCTAAACAACCCATAGAAGAGACACAGGCACCATTAGAATGCCCAATTTTTATGGAAAAATATAACAGTTTAGTACTACTAATTTGAATGCTAAAATTGTAATTTCCTCATTTTGATGTATTTACACATTTGATTTACTATTTGGGACAGCCTTCTTTTAAGTTTTCACTATCTAATTTCAAATTCTGAGTGCAAGTGTATTTACATAATCTACTTGTCACTGAGTAATTATTAATTCTTGCAGAGTTTACCAATGAATGGAGAAGTGCTCTTTTATGATGGTGCTGAGTTAAGTTTCAATGAAGAGGTATCAACTGATTGTGAAGGTGAATATCCATTGGAAATGAAATAACTATAAACAATACTAGAAACAACAACCTGAAAGGATGTTTGTCACCATGGAAAACAGTCCCCTAAAGCTCAGTGGTAGAGCATTGCAAGTACTGATCAAAGGTTGTAGGTTCAACCCCTGTTGGAAAATTATTGTGGTTGACTTTAACTAAATGTTTTGACAACCTGAGCAGAGGTTATTCATCAGATTTGTGGTGTAGTCTAGTCTAGTCAGATGGTCTAGTCTAGTCAGTATGACTATACCAGGTGATCTAGTTTTTATTATAGGGAATAATTATTCAAGTTTCAAGTTTACTGCACAATGTTGCTTATTGAATCTAGCCAGTTACAATTATATCTTCTTAATGCTATACTTAACCCTTTAACTCCCAGGAGTGACCAAGACAGAATTTCTCCTTACAATATCATTACAGTATTAACCAGACAAGTAATGAGAATTAAGAAATATATCAAGTTGGGGATAATTAGTTGATCCAATGCTAAATTCTCTGATCTAACATCATAAGAATTGTGTGGTTGACAGTAAGGAGAGTGACAAATTTGATCTGGGAGTTGAAGGGTTAACTCTTTGCACCCAAAGATCAGTACACATATTTTCTATACTGTTCTTTATTCATTTCCTGTGGTAATGACAAAGAGAATCTGTTTGACGATCACAGGCTTCTTTAGATGGGGATCATTTCCTTTATTCATGTGACCTTAATGTATGATATTATAAGGAGAAACTAAAAACCAGCTACTCTTAGGGGTTAACCCTTTAACTCTCAGAAGTGATTAACATGTAACCTCTCCCAAAAGTATCCCCATTATCCCAACTTACAGGTAATAAGAATACACTAATTAATCAGGCAAAAGATGTTATCTTGATCTAACAACAAATTCTCATAACTAATTAACAAGGTAATGTGTAGTAGCAAGAGGGGAGAATTGACAATCAGATCATAGGAGTTAAAGGGTTAAATGACTAGTTTTCACACAGCAGAGTCAAAACATAATTTGTGTGTGCCTTTCCTTTTTATCATTCTCTCTCTCAGAATATGAGCCTGCTAAAGACTGAAAGGAATTGTGATTGATATTGAGCACCATTTTATTTCCTTTGATAATCAGTGGTTCAAATTTAATTACGTAAATAAATGTTGAAACCTTTTTTCTTTGAAGATCTTGGTGACATTCACTTTGTAGCATCCATCCAAAACTGGTTTAACCCTTACAACTGGCAACAGATGGGAGTCAACAAAGAGCCATTCAGGTCATCCCCAGTCTCCATCCTTCATACAGACAACGTGCCTTGTGTACATGACACTGTTGTCTTTCCACAGGTGATTCAAATATAAAATAACTTTCAAATCTATGTTGATTAAAAAGATTGAGGTGAAGTGCTAACATATAAGTCAAATGCTTTGTGACGCGGTGGAAACCTCTAAGGTAGTCCTGCTGGAAAACACTTATTTTCATGAAAAATGGTTTTCAAGGGGCAATTAAGCCCTTAGCTATGAGGTTACAGAGAAGAATGGATGAAGTCCCAGATATTTTATGTCTCTGGATCGAGTATGTATAAGAGGGAGGCAAGCTCTAAATACTTTTACATGTGTTAATTTTAGGAGATTATACTTGTAAGCTCTAACAACCAACAAAAGATGAACTGTTCTTTGGTTTTCTTTGTAGGCCAGCTCCTTTATGGTCAAGTCTGTTTTGCCTGTCAGGGTAGCAGCTGTTGAACTGCTTGGGGAGGTTTGTTTTTGCCTCCAAATTACTGACTCTGTAGTTATCTTTGTGTGGCTTTTGTAATTTAATCTCTTTACTTTTGATTGAAAATTTTTCAAATAAGTGCAAAAATACCTTCAACCCTTTGCATCATAGCATCAATTTGCTTATTTTCCATACTGTTCTTTATGGATTTCCTAAGACGCTGACAAGGAGAATCAAGAGCCCACTCTCCTTTTTGCTATTTGCTGCTGTCATTACTGTTTCCATTCTGACTGATTTATATTTTGTTTCCAGGCACAAAATTCCATAAGTTTTAAGGATTTCTGTAACAGTGCATCTGGAAGCATGCAGTTCAACTTTATTGGTCCAACTAATATCACAGCAGTGCAGTGTGATGACAGGACTGGCTGTGCATGTGGATATTGGAAGGTACTGTCTACAACAATCAAACAGGCTCATTGAAATTAAGACTCAAGCTGTGATTGTAGTTCTCATTTTAAGTCAAAATGATTTTCACCTTTTAATAAAAAATTTTGAAACAAGTGGAGTTGAAGAGAGGTGGATATTTGCTGAGGCTTGAAGCCTTGAGGTAAATATCCACCACTTTCACAAACACTTCTTTAAGGTGAATATTTATTTTATAATTTACCAAATAGAAACCAAAAAATTATTATATTTCTGCCAGTGTACCAAAAAATGTGCTTATTTTGTCTCTTTAGCTGCTGGGGGTTGAATAGTACTCGCCTATTACATGTATATGTGAACTAGCCAATCAGTGTATGCAGAAAGCACTTACCTGTCACCTGTGTGGTATATACTGAATAATAAGTTTTTATTCTTTCTGTGAATCATACTTTAATAAGCTGTCTTGGAGCTGAATCATTCATTTTTAGGCCTCTTGAGGAAGGGAAGGAGGGCTTAACTAGGGTTGCACAGCTTCTAGAGAGTTCAGCTTTGTAAAAATCAGTCCAATAATGATATTTCTTCTAAATCATCAACTGGCTTATTTGTTTTGGTGAACAGTTTGCTGAAACTATCTGTAGCCATGTGAAATGTGAGGAGCCTATTTGTGCTGGTGCTTTTAGACCAGAAGGAAGCTGTTGTGATGTCTGTGGTTAGTTGCCCTTTTTTATAGAAAAGTCAAGAATTAGGAATTAATAATGGCTTGCTCAGTTTGAGAGAAAGTGCTGTTGCAGTCCACCTGTAAGAAATTAACCCCAGAGTAAATGCATTGGCATATACAACCACTTATGGAACAATATGTTGTGGTTTGTCATGTTAACATTTCAGGAGTGGAAAAGCACATTTTGCAACATTGTAAGAACTCTCTGTGAATTTTATTTTATGAATAGGAACTTTGCTCGGACTAAGTTTGGAGCAAGACTTCACAATGAATGATTTCAAACATCGGCTGGCAAATTTCTCTCAGACTGTAAGTTGTACATTTACTGATATGTTTGTTTTTAAAATTTTTACCATCATGACACTGCTGTTGTCATAATTTTCTCTTTTATCACACTTCCTAAAATTAAATGAATGGAAAGCTCATTTGACAAACAACCTTCTTCACACAATTCCTATCAGAGGTCAGCTCAATTGTCATCAGGCTTCTTTTCAAAAGCCTCAGTGAATTCTGGAGCTCATTAACTTTACCCTTTAACTCCCAGATCAAATTTGTAATTCTCCATACTGTCAACCATACAATTCTTATTAATGTTAGTTCAGTGAATTTAGTATTGGATCAACAAATTATCCCCAAATTGATATTTTTCTTTATTCTCATCACTTATCTGGTTGATATTGTATCAATATTGTAAGGAGAAATTCTCTCTTGGTCACTCATGGGAGTTAAAGGGTTAAGGTAATAATTTTGCAATGCACATTGTACATTTTTGAGTGATGGACAACCTCTCTTTGAGTCATGACTTGCAAGAAATTTTCTGTGGAACACATGGATTTGAGAATGTTATCAGTTAATTAATGTGATGTTGTAGTTTGTGTATCAATGTCAGTATGTGAGTGACTGCCCACCTACCCCTCCCCAAACCCAACAATCAACTGATAACAATTTATTGAAGGTTAATGTTTGGTCAGGGGAGGGGTAGGTACATAGTTGCTCAGATGCTGACATGTATACTAGTTTGTTGTGTTTACATCAGATTAATGAAGAATCACCTTCTGCAACATTGTAAATAATCATTCCCTCAAGTAAATTATTGAGATTCTTCCAATATTGCAATGTATTGGATACATAAGTAGCAGCAGATTTCTTGTTATTTCATCCTGAATATTTGTTGAAGTGTAACTGAATAATCCAAGTACAACAATAATGGTGTATTTTTCCTCGTCCATAAGGAATATGAAGGAGTAAGTGTTGCAACTTCCAAAACAGAATCAAACTTTGTCCAAGTTTTGTTAATAGATCAGGAGGGTGGTAAGTGATGTGTGTGACCATATAATCTTTGCTTGCTGTCTTAAATTTTTGTCATGGCTTTCAAAGGAAAAAATGAACAAATTTACACACTGTTACAAAATTGATATCACCAGTTTTCCACCAATATGCAGCTGGCAGTAAGAACTGTAAGCTTTATCAATTCTTCAAGTTCAACTGTCTCTATAACACATCTGTCATATCTGTAAGCAATGTAATGACAACTTCACTTAGGTAAAGAACCATGATTTGCCACACAAGTGACCCTAGTGCTGTTGGAAGTTATTGCAATCCACTCATGAACTAATTTTCTACAACAATTGTGGGTTTGGAATTTGTTTTATCTTCTTGAATTTTTCCTCTCAGCTATCTCCCTTTTTTGTAATAGGCAATGGAGCACAGAAGGCTGCTGAACAACTCAAGGAAGTCTTGATTCTAGGTGGAAGTCTATTCATTTTCATTTTGGCTTTGCATGAACAACAGCTGTCGTGGATAGCTTTTTTATTGGGTGATAATGAAAAAATTGTGCTGAAATTCCTATTTAGAGGAGATTTTCTTTTCCTCACCCTTTCCCCTTTCTCTCTCCCTTTATTTTTTCTATATTAGCTGTAGTGGGTGAATGTTTCCTTGCCTGGAGGGATAGTGGTTGGGTTTCCAGATACTGCCTGCCATATAAGCGCTGTTCTTTCTAGAAGGGACTACATGGCTGACTATTTTTGTCCAAGGCCGTGTTGTTCAAAGCTAGGTTAAGATAACCTTGGGTTGGTGTGAAATTTGATTTCAGTTCTGAAAGCTTTAAAAAAAATTTGGTATAGTTCTTTTTGTCAACAATTTGATTATTGGATGCTCCAAAAAGAATTTAGAAAATTATCTGAGAAAGGCTCTTAAATAGAGAAATAAAGAAACCTGGATTAAAATTTAACCCTTTACACCCTGATATCAGTTTACATATTCTCCATACTGTTCTCTATACATTTCCTGAGGTGCTGACAAGGAGAATTTGTTGAACAATCAAAAGCTTCTTTAGTTGGTGATCATTTCCTTCATTCTCATGAACTTACTGCTTTATTCAGGGGTGATGCTGAAAGGAGAATCTAGATGTTAGTCACTTTTAGGGGTTTAAGGGTTAACCCAGGGTTAGTGCTAATTGGCATTTCAAGAACTGGGCCCAGGTTTTGTGTCCTACTGTGTTCTGTGTGGCTATGTGAAATATCAATAAATCAATTTAATTTTTTTTCTTTTTTCAGATAAAAGTTTCAATGTGGCTGGTGTTAGGGTTCTTGAACAGTCAGGTGACAAGGCTATTGCTGGTAAGAAAACAGGTTCCTGTGCCTCTGTCACTCACACTAGTTCTTCTTCCTGTTCTTGGTCTAGTTGTGTGAAGGCTGATTAGCAATAACCCACGGTTAAATGTTAATTGGGGTTTCTTTATTCCTAATATTCAAAAGCATTTTCCTATTCTTTTTAGAACATCCAGTCATCAAATTGTAGACAAACAGAATTGCCATGAATTTCCTTTAAAAGCTTTCAGATCTGAAATCAGATTTCACACCGACCCTGGGTTATCTTGACCCAGCTTTAAACAACCTAGTCTTGATCAACATATTTTACAAACTTCATTATTAGCCCTCAAACTCTTAGGTGTGACCAAGAGAGAATTTCTCCTTACCATACCAATACAATATCAAGGAAACAAGTGATGAGAATGAAGAAAAATATAAACCAGGGGATTACAAGTTGATCCAATACCAAATTCTTCAATGAAACTAACTTGCCTAATATCATAACAATTATATTGCGGTGAGTAAGAAGTACCACTGAGATCTTGGAGATGAAAGGAGTAAATGTCTTAGTCTCGCTTTTAACTCAAATTAAGTATAACAAACAATAATTGATCCATAATTTCACCTAAACAGAGAAACCAGAGAACCGTTTGATCATTCCACTGGCAGTAGGACTTTGTCTTCTCTTCCTGTTTCTAGTTGCTGTCATATTCCTAATCTGCAGTTGCACAAAAAGGTACCATCATTGTTTGGTTTATACCAATTATTTAAGCATAGTAACAGGTAACAGGTAACAGTTATAGGTGTAGGGATTATCATATTTTATAAACCAAATGATAATGTTCTGGTATGAAAGCAGAGTGTCAATGTAGCCTGTACCTTTGGGTCTCTGGACTTCCTCAAACTTTGGCCAATGATTAGAGTAACCTGGACATATTATTCAGAATGCTTAAAGGAGCCATCCTAGGAATGTGCTTAAATTATTTCTTTAAAATCAAGGTATCGATTTAGTTACATAGTTATATTAACACCTTTTCATTGTCATCTGTACAATTTTGGTAGTGTTCACCTTTTTCCATTTGTTGGAAGAACCCCTCTGTAAAGCACTATTGAAGTGAAGTGGGTATCCTGAATAAGGACTAACTAAAAATAATATGCTATGATGCTTTTTTAATGTTTGTTTTGAAGACAGAGCCACTCATTTGTTACAGTGGCAGATGGTGATATTGAGCTTACCAACATTGGTAACAACCAAGCTGTAGATTATAAAGAGAATGGGGAGTTGGGGGAGAAGCAATCTTCTGGTCAGGATGCTTCTGGCGAGGTGAGAGAGTAATTTACAGGAAAAGAAAAAAAGGAAAATTTGTTTAAGAAAAGAAAGACTTTTGGGCCACTGATTTATTCCATTGAGTTGCACAGTGGAGGGCTTGAATTAAGGGCTACTGAGTTACAACTCCTGGACTACCACGACTGGTTTGATCCCAGTGGGTGAAATTTTTCCAAGATTCCTTCCGACCTTTTGCTCCAACTTATCGGTATTGCCATAAGCTGACATGGGTATAGATCTTGCAGTGCCACCCTCCTGCCTCTCTCCTCCCAGAAATACAAATGGGTATGAGTGAATGGCCAGGGAAACCTGATAAAATGGCAAGGGAGGGGGGGAAGGGGGTGGTAAATGAACAGCTTTTTCACCTTCACATGATAGTCTTTAATATTTTTTTTCGTGTCTTTTCTTCCTTTAAAGATGACAGTGGAAAATCCCCTCTATGAAAGTTCAACAAAGTGAAGAAGCTGAGAAACAAATCAGATATGTCCTGCTGATTGTCAAGAGGAAGATTTATCAAAGTGATCCTCACTTTTCATGCATAGGCAGGAATTTTCAAATTTGTGTAAACTCTGTAACCCCTAAGGGTATGTGGCATCTAATTTCTCTCTAGGGTATTACTGTTGAATCAAAATTAGGTTTATAAGAACTTGAGAAATGATAAAAAACTTGAAGAGCTCTTGATTGTTTGCTTAATTCTCCTTGTCAGTGCCATAGGAAATGTATAGAGAATGCTATGTATGGAGAATATACATGCTTGTGACAGACTGTTAATACTGAAAGAGTGCATATTAGTTTTGCTTCACTTTACTCTGCAAGTAATCTCTAGCACCAGAGACAATTCTCTTTTCTCTCTTATTTTTAGGATTTTATCAAATAAATGTGAATTTATCACTGGAAATATTGATAATATTTTTTAAAAAAATAGAATTGAATCAAGAAATTTAGTTTGTGCTTTTGTTGTATTCTTGGGTGGAGGAGATTACTGTTGCAGTAGACACTGTGTTAATACTGGTTACAAAAGAAATGCAGAATTGTTCTTTTATTTCAAACACTCACCAAGTAAGGGACAACATTCACATCAGAACAATATTAGAGAAAGCCACTATCTGCTGACAAGAAGCCATTTTCAGATATGTCATGGCATGATTGAACACAGTAAAAACAAATCAAAACCAAGAAGAAGACATTTCTTCTTAGTCAGAGTCTGAATCGTACTTCTCCATTCCCTTCTTGTGTTTTTCAACTGCTTCGCGATGACGACGGATGGCCTCTTCATGGTGTTGAATCTCCTTTTCATGATGATCCACTTGTTCTTCCAAATGTTTCTTCATTTCCTTTAGTTTCTCTTGTTCCTTTGAACAAAAAGTTAACAATTTTCAAATCCAACTTGTTTACCTTAACCCTTTAACTCCCAAGATCTGATTGTTGATTCTTTCCTCTAGCTGCTACACATTTCCTTGTAAGTTGGTTACATGAATTTGGTTTTAGATCAAGGCAACAACTTCTACCTGATAACTTTGAGTATTCTCATTACCTGTTTGCTAGATAATGTATGGATATTATAGGGAGAAGTTACATGTCAATCACTTCTGAGAGTTAATTGGTTAAAAGTAAATAAAAAGGAAACACCCTATATGGCGAAAAAAAGAAAGGAACAAGGTTTTGATGTGATGATCTTGCTAATTACTCTCCCTTTTAACTTCTTTAATATTCCTTGTGGATTAGTTAACCCTTTAACTCCCAAGGTCTCATTAGTAATTCTCCTTACTGTCTGCCAAACAGTTCTTGTGATGTTAGTTTGGAGAATTTGGTTTTGGATCAACTAATAGTCCCCTAATTGATATTTTTATTTATTCTCATCACTTGTCTGCTTGATACTGTGTTGATATTGTAAGGAGAATTTTTGTCTTGGTCACTCGTGGGAGTTAAAAGGTTAACCCTTTCACTCCCAAGATCTCATTATGTGATTCTTCTTACTGTCTCTCGTATGATTTGTTTGATGTTGTGAGATTTTGATTGGACATCAACTACCAATCTCCTTATTGATATTTTCTTTACACTCTTCACAAGTCTGGTTGATATTGTACTGATATTGTAAGGAGAATTTCTGCCTTGGTCATTCATAGGAGTTAAAGGGTTTTGTGACTTCTGAGTTACATCGAGACAACACCCTCTTCATAAAACATGTAAATTGGTCCATTCTTATTTCTAGTTTCCCAGATAAGGATATGTTAATTACCTCTGAAAGTAGAAAGGTTGCAATAAGTTATAAGTTTTCAGGAATTGCAGGTGCTACTATAATACTGTCACTGCGAATGAAAAACTAAAAGACTCTGGAAATTATCCAATTTTGAAGACCTACCTGCTTTCTGAAGTACTGTTCCTCATGGACATGCTCCATTTTTCCAAATGAACCACCAGCACTCCTGAAATTTATAATTTACATTTCACAAGTTGAGCAAATTACTTACAACGGATGGTATGCTGGTCCCATCACAGTTTTTAGGTTGGGACACACTTCAAGTTGGTGATCATACTACAATATTGTGCAAGGATGAGTGGTAACAACACTTTGCTTCAACTGATGTGGAGAATCCTTTTGAATATCTATGTCTCTGCATTATAATTTTTCCCAGAACAAGTTGCACAAATTCATCACTCATTAATGCACATGGGTAGGATATATCAGCTGAGGTGAGCTGACCTGCTTTTTTGAAGCACTACACTTGGAGAAGTTTGTTGCAGACGTGCTGCAGTGACCTGTCAGCTAGTGTGCCATGTTATTTTTTTCTGAAGCATGTCTGTCAGGCAGAATGTTAAATACTCAAATCTGATTGGCAAATCACATGCTTGGAACTATGCCAGGGGCAAGTTGGAAAAAAGAAAAAAGAAAACCAGCAGAAAAAATGTAACTTATTTATTTACCAGTCTAGATTGGTCTGAATGAGAGTAAACAAATTGTGCCACAATATTTTTGCCATATGGACCACCCAGTAAATAAAAAATCTATTTAAGCTACTGATGACTATTGGTGGCTAATCTCACCTAATGTCTCCTCCAGCTCCACCACCCTGAAGAGAAAAACATAAACAAACAACATTAATTTATTTGACTCACTGAAAATTTAAATAGGTCACACACTGGAAATTTCAGGGGGTGACACACTGGACATTTTGTCGGTGACATACTAAAAATTTCAGGGGGTGGTGGGGAGAAGTGAGCGTGACAAGGTAACAATTTGGAAAAAGTTGTCCAACCCAAATGGAGGTAACGGTGGAGTGGTCGCAAGGACCAAAATAAGACCCCTCTATGGAGTAGGTATGGTTATTTTCCAATAAAACATAACGAACAGACGGAACGTAAGTTAACTGACAACTGAAAACAGAATGAGCCTTGTTTGTTTTAACAAAACAGCCCATCCACACCCAAGCTACCTATTCGGTTTTCAAAGTCTCTTGATCCCACAGATACTCCATCACGAATGCGTAACTTAGATGTAGAGCAGTCCATTGAGTCCATGTGCTGTGTGCAGGTTCGTAAACTCATTTACTTCGACTTAAAATGTTACGTCAACGCAAAAGCTAAATTAGAATTGTGAAGAATTTTACAGTGCACGACGTCTTTTTCTCGACAACCGTTTAGAAATCAAGCTTCAAGAACGTGAAAATTTTAAGACTTTAGAAACTTTCCTCTCCTTTAATAAGCTAACGTGATATTACTTCGGTAAGTGTTATATTCGCGATGAGTTACATGGTCTGCGAAATTAGTTCAGGCATTTGTTCCAAAATTATCATTATCATCGAAAATATATTTGAAAATTACAGAAACACCAATTGAGTAGATACCTTTCCTGCACCACCTCCTTTTTCTCCGACAGACATTGCCCTGAGTTGTAAGAACGGGGATGAAATCATCCGTCGCGAAAGTGCACACAATCGAACAGCCGCCATGTTGAATGGTTAAGAAAAATCGATTGTCAGCAAAGGATTGGGTTCTAGTAAGCCTAAGGTAGGGGGTTGGGCACCAGACGATTCTAGACCTACGGGGCAATTTTCGATGGAAGAGGCGAGGAGATTTTTATGATTTGCGTGGTAATAGCGCAAAATGTTCATTTTAATCAATAGCTATGGGTAGATGACGATGAAATATTTTTTCCTGTCTGATTGGAGGCATGTCTAGCTCAAGTAAACGAGAGGAAAATGAGGAGAAACTTTTGCAGTCGGCGCGTCGAGGTGATTTGGACACCGTACTTGTGAGTAAAGGTTTTATTGTTTTTATGCCTACTGAGCATTAAAATTACCGGTATGGCTTCCAACCGCTAGAAAACAAGTTATCGCTTGTTTTATTTATTTTGCTCTTCTGCGGTTTATTTGAAGCTATTCTCATCCTTGACAAATTGAATATGAAAAGCTTATCGATAGAGCTTAAAATTTAACTACTTTCATGTTTGTTCGTTCTGTTGTCTTTCTCACACGCAATTCACCGGAAGCGATAAAAGTAGCTTTTATGTAATATTTCTTTATAGTCTTCTAACGAAATCTCCACATGTGATCGCCTCTTCCCAAATAATTACCAAACGTGTCGTACATGCAACTTCGTGTAAATTGAATGTCGGTGTTTGTAATGCAAGCTGTTGCGTTTTGTAAGTGTAACATCACGAGACAAATTTATGATTGAAACATTTCCTTTCCATCGCCAAAATATTTACTGTGGCATAATGTAGTACACAGCATCGGCTGTACCTGTTGTGAAAATTTTTAAAGTTCAAACATGTTGAAATTTTCAAACAACGGACGGAATCACAGTTACTCAGCTGATATATAAACCGCCTAATCATGTCTGAGTGATGTTTTGTTCTCCAATGTTCACTTGATTACCAAAAAGGACTTGATTTTCAATAATTTAATTCTGACATTAACATTCTGTTTGCCACATGTATTGAGTATTGTGTTACAGTTTCACTGTGTAATTCTATATTTTTATCATCTTGGGAACATGCCTTTGTTTGCCATTCTATTTAAGAATGGTGACATCGATCAGGTCATCTCAATTTGCCTAACCTTGGGTTAAGTTAACCCAATTTGAAAAATGGTACTTGGCATTCGCTATGTTGTCAGATTTGTGTGGGGACATTCTTACTTTTTAACTTGAAGAACCTTTTAATGTGCTCCAATGTAAACTTACTTAATTATAGACATTATTTTGAAGTTTGGAATTTAGTGGCTGATCATTCATGAACAATATTAAGTGTGAAACTTCTATAAAAAAAAAAACTTCAGACATCACCAGCAATACTTCACCAATAAGAGTAGTTTGAGGAACAATATTCCACCAGTTTATTTCCTGTCTAACCAAGAAAAAAAGCAAAAAATTATTTGAACAACAACGAATAACATCAGTTTTGAACATAAATCATATTTGTTTCACACAAGTAAAAAAAAAAAAAATTGACTACTTCTCTAACAGTGCTATATTGGGTGTCTCATCCTTTATTTTAGAGTTTTCCTTAGCTTGATTATCTCTCAAGTTTTTGGTGTTCTTTACTTCGTATTAGAGTTTGTTGCAAGCTAAATCACCTGGCAAAAGTAGCTCTCGTTCAAGTATTGATGTGAACTGCAAAGGTAAGTTATATTGTGTTTCTAATGCTGTATACGATATTACTTAGTAGGTAAGTTAATGAGCAAGGTTTCATATGGAAGATGTCGAAAATAGAATGTACTTGTATTTGTGTTGATAGTTTCTACTTTATAAGTGCTACCCTTGATTCCCAACGTTATATTTTAAATTGCTGTTTTAAAAAGGAAAACTTGACTGTACTTATAATTATAAACTCACTTGCAGCTGGGGCTCAAGATGTATATTGTACATTTTACACTTGAATCATAGTTAGCTAATATCTTTTAAGTTTTCACAATAACCCATTGCAAAGTGCTTTATTGAGACTTATGATATAAGTGGTGTAAGTTGTGTGTGTACCAAAAAAAATTGGCCTGAAAAAATGGAAAATGAGAGCAATGGCTGAAGTTACAAATTTAAAGCAGAGAATACAGATCAAAATTTTTTTGGACAAAGGTATTTTTAGTGATGTTGAATTTCATTATTTGTAAACCAATAATGCAACGAGGGTAATATTTTAACCTTCTGACCCCTAGAACTGATTAACTTCTAATATCTCCTAATATTATCCCCATTGAATTAAACGTTAGGATCAAAGGATTAAATGATATGATCTCCAACTCCTGATCTTTAAACAAATCCTCCTTGTCAGCATGTTAGAAAATGTATAGGGAAGAGTAAGGAGAATCTACACATTGATACAAGGGTGTAAAGGGGTTTTAATCTTGGTTAGCTTACAAAGAAAGTTCTTTGTAGCTCAGCTGGTATTTAAGAATCTGATTGTGTAAGCAAAGCTGATGGGGTTCAACAACTTATTCTAGGGGTCTCAGATTTATTTTTTCACTTTGTGACCAATATTAAGTGTCATTTTTTTTTTTCAAAACAGAGAGAGTTTTCAGAGATTTTGAGTCATTAAGTTTTTATCACTGTTTATCTGTAGGGAAATCAAAAGCAAATCAAGGCTGGACCCCTCTCCATCTTGCATCATACTTTGGACATTGTAATGTTGCAAAAGCATTGCTTGAGGTAAGTGGCAAGCCCATGCTTTATGTTTGTTTGCGAGGTGCTCTTTTCTGTTTGAGGCGTTACTAGGGAAGGGGAGGGGGAAGTTGAGGGGGGAAGGGGAGGGGGAGGGGGAAGGGGAAGGGGAGGTGGGGTCCAAGTTTTGCGGCTACATGGCCTTACTTATCATGGCTTATCCCTGATAACTGTCATGTCAAGTGAGGAAGAATATGCTCACTCCTCTGGTATGGAATACCAGCCCATGGCAGTTATCACCCACCCTTGTGTTAGGCTTCCCTGACAATTAACTGGAACTCATTCACACTCCTGAGTGGAGAGAGACACTCTGGGAGAAAAGTGTCTTGCTCAAGAGTACAACTTATTTACCCTTTAACCCTTAACACCCTAACATCAGTATGGATATTCTCCATACTGTTCTCTGTACATTTCCTATGGTGCTGGCAAGAAGAATTTATAAAATAATTCAAATAGCACACGTGCTCTGATTGGCCATAAAACCATTTTACACGAGTGTATGTAAACATGGTTTTCGTTCCTCTTTCATTAGTTATTTTATAAAGAAATGTAAAATGGTTTCTGTGTTTACATAGCCTGATGTAAATGCTTGGGAGGTTGGGAGAACACTCAATAAGCTGGAAACCACTCCGCTTTGCTTTGTGGTTTCCTACGCTTATCTCGTGTTCTCCCAACCTCCCGCGTGTTTACATCAGGCTATGTAAACACAGAAACCATTTTACATTTCTTCATTGTTAAACAATGAAGAGCCTCTTTAGTTGTTGATCATGTCCTTTACTCTCATGACCTTAATGTTTGATTCAGAGGAGATAATGTAAAGAGAAATGGGATGTTAGTCATTCTAGGGGTTAAAGGGTAAACCCCAAAGAGTGACTAGTATGTAATTTCTCCCTACAATATCACGTCTAAATCATACTAACAAAGCTGTTGATTGTTACACAAATTCCCCTTGTTAACACCTTAAAGGAATGCATCAAGAACAGTATGGAGAATCTGTATAATGATGTTAGGGTGTAAAGGTTAACCCAGCCAGGTCTTGCACATGAACTTCTTAACTAAGAGTGCAGTATGTTGACAAGGAGGCCATCACATCCCTCATATTAAGATATTTTTTATTAAGAAATAGTTATGTTTTCCATCTCTTTAGAATGGAGCTGATGTCAATGCCAGAAATGGAATGGGAGACACTCCACTACACAGGGCAGCTTTCACTGGAAGAGCGGTGAGTTTTTGACATGGGACATTCATTCATGTATGGTACCACTGAGTAAGGGGAGTAGAGACTGAAATATTTTATCTTCTTGTGCAGTGGATAACTAGACGAAACATTACTCTGACCAAATGAAATTTCCATTATTTGTCTTTTACAATTTACGTGGAGCAATAGGTGTTTCATTTTCTCCCTGTGGATGTCCATCAGAGGTTGATTTTCACCACTTTGTCAGGTTTCTTAAACCTTTACACCCTAACATCAGTATCCATATTCTCCTTTCTGTTCTCTGTAAGTTTCCTTTAGTACCAACAAGGAGAATTCAAAGCTTCTTTGGGTGGCGATCATTTCCTTTATTCTCATGATCTCAATGAATGATTCAGCCATAATACTGTAAGGAGAAATTAGATGCTGGTCACTCTCAGGGTTTACTCCTGGGTGAAGAGAGGCACTTTGTGAGTTGATTATCTTGCCCACAAAAAAAATTACTCATTGACACAGTCAGGGTGGAATCAAGACCTCTTAACCCAGTCCTAGCTGGATGATTGTGTAGTGCTCACAGACAAGACACTTCTTACAGTAACTCTCTCAACCTAGAAGAATAAATTGATACAAGTGAGCCATCTGGGAAACCTAAGAAAATGCTGGAAACACGTACTTGTGTACAGACCAAAAAACCTATGAAATTTCAAGGCTTATCCTTGAGATTACTGAGACAAGTATCTTTTAAACCCTTCACACCCCACCATCAGTATCTATATTTTTCATACTCTTTTTTTCACATTTCCTTTGTTACTGACAAGAAGAATTTGTTTAACAAGCAAAGGTTCTTAGGTTTGTCATTATTTCCTTTATTCTTGCGATCTTAAAGAATGATTCAGCATTGGTCACTCTCAGGATTTAAAGAGTTAAGAGGAATGCATGTTCATGCAGTGATATTCTTAGTTGCTTCATGCCACTGCATTAAAGATAAATTCTGGCAGCTGTGTAAGTGTGTCTCTTACTCAAACTTTCCCTTAATCGTATGAGTGTTGTGGTATCTTTTGTCAGGATGTGGTCACATTACTGATTCAGCATGATGCAGATGTTACTATCATCAATGGAGAGGGTAGAAAATCAAGTCAGGTTACCAACAGTGTAGAAGTTAAACAACTCATTAAAGGTAAGGAATAGTCTGAATGTATATATATATATATATATACATGTATGTATATTTATATAATAAGCTCAGTTATGCACGCATTCTGATTGGTTCTCACTTATGATCAATTGGAGGACAGATGTATAGATGACGTCATCATTAAAATTTTTGCCCTCTGTTTTTTATTGTATAAAACAAATAGATTCCAAGTTGCTGTGTGTCTGTTCAGTAATCGATCACAGAGGATGTCAAAATGTGGTAAGAACATTAGTGACACACTCGGCTGCACCTCGTGTGCCACTTTTTTGTTCTTACCACATTTTGACGTCATCTGTGATCTTTTACTGATCAGACACATGGCAACTTGGAATCTATTTGTTAAATATACACACATGTGTACAAATGTATATCATAGATGTACAGTATACTATTCCATAGCTACTTGTACTAATCAGCATGATGGCAGCCATGAAGGAGAGTTTGTTTTTAGAGAATTGACTATTACTCACAAATTTAGGTAAAGAACTGAAAAATGTCCTTGTTAGCAAAAAAGAACATTTCAGGAAATTGATTGAAAAATTTTGACAAAAGATGTGTTTACAAAGTTTGTGCTGGAGCTCTCTTTAAAACAGAGCATGTGATGATTGTATGCATTTATTAATCCTAAATATTGTCAAATTCAACTTTCCATGCTTATAAGTGATCTCTAGGAGGCTATATTGCTAATATATATCTTCCAGAATGACAAAGATTTTGAAATATTTCATTTATCCTCCTAAGAGACCTTTGATAGTTTTTGAGAATTTTTAATAGTATCAATCAGTCTCCCAGATTTTTTTGTTACCGAGGTATTGATGAACAGTTCTACTCAACTTGTTATTCTCTGTAACTTTGTGAGCTGATAATTCTTATACCCACTAATTGTATTCTGATTTTGCCCCTGTTCAGCTGCAGAAAGGAGTCTCCAGCTGAAACTTGAGGAACATTTGCTCACAGCTGCAAGGGAAGGTGACACCTCAGAGCTGAAGAAACTGGTATGCACATTGAAATCAAAATTTTCCCGAAAAATGAGAATATACACATATGTACTTTTCACAGTGTTTATCATATCAGGTATTCCTTTTCCTTTGCATACCAGCTTCCCTTGTTAATGATCATCCATTTGCCCAAACCTATGACTGTGGATGGAAGAGCACTGGGGACTAGTTCATGTTCACTCTTTTGAATGACTTCTATGATAATTTCTTGAAATGTCCTTGAACATGATTTGGTCTTTTACAAGATGCTGGGTCATGTCAAGAATCTGATTGTATCTAACATGATGTCCCTAATTATTATAAACAACATATTGCAGTTTCCAGCCTTTCCTTGCACCTAGGCAGTTTGGAAAGCTGCAAAACAATAGGGCAAAAATTGGATCAATATCAGTATCTGGGCAACTGCCCACCTACCCCTCCCCTAACCCAACATTAACCCTAACTTGTTGTCAATTGACTGTTGTTGAGTTAGGGGAGGGGTAGGTGGGCAGTTGCCCAGATACTGATATTGATCCCAAAAATTTATCTTCCAATTCAGTACTATTAATCCTCACGGTATCAACGAGCGCTCTTCATTCAACTGAAATATTCTTGTTTTCTTGTCACCATTTTCCCACCACTAGCATAGCTCTATTTTCTGCATATAAACCTCACAACCCACACTTCCTACAATTGCTGTGACGAAGGGCTAACGTTCGAAACGTCAGCCTTTAAACCCTTTTATGTTTTCAAATCAGCTGTTAACACTAAATTACTTGTATCTAACGTATCTAACATATATTGGAAATTACCTTTACAAGCTAGTGCTTGACCTCCTAACCAGACTGTGAAAGTGATGGTTTTCTATTTGATTGATATATTTTCAGATTGATAGTACAAATCCTCCAAATATTAACTGTCAAGACATGTTAGGAAACACTCCATTGCATTGCGCTGCATACAGGTACATTTTATTTACACAGTCTGTAGGTCAATTTAACCCTTTAACTCCCATGAGTGACCAAGATGGAATTTCTCATAATATCAGTACGATTGCATAATATCAATACGATATCAACCAGATAAGTGACGAGAATAAAGAAAAATATCGATTTGGGAATAATTAGTTGATTCAGTACTATATTCTCTGAACTAACATTATAAGAACTGTATGGTTGATATTAAGGAGAATTACAAATTTGATCTGGGAGTTAAAGGGTTAACAATGAGATTCCATGTTGTCGTGAATCTGTTCAGTAATATATCATAGATAGCGTCAAATGTATTAAGATCAAAGAAGTGGCACGTGAGGTGCATCTGGGTGTATATCGATGTTTTTACCACATTTTGAATGCTTCTCTGATCTTTTACTGTACAAACCCATGGAATCTATTTGTTTTATATGATAAAAGAAAAATGTTGATAATCGTGACTTCATATATGCGTCTGTCCGTTAATAGATCGTAAGTAACAACCAATCAGAATAGGAGTATCATTTAGCGTATCTTGCCATCAAAATTGTATTCAAATATTGAAGTCTTCGAGTCCCTTTCAACTGAGTGTCACAAAACTTATTGAAATCTATGACAATGGCAAATTAAAACCAAGTTTCAACCTGCATGGGGTGAATTTCACAAGCAACCAACGATTATGAGATATCAATGTAAGCCCTTGTTATCTTGACTGCTAACAAGCTACATTATTTGTCTGGCTATTCTTAAGTTGCTATCGTTTTGGAATTTTTAATTTCTTCTTCTAAGGCTTTAAAACTAACGGCAATGAAACTTTCTGTTAAAAAATATAGAGGATGTCAGGTTCAAGTTCCTTGTAAGTGATCGCAACCTTTGGATGGAGCTTTCTAAAGATTAACCCTTAAAGGATACATGTACATATACAGTACTGTCCAGTGCGAATATAGGAAAGATTGGTTAAATTCCTTTCCTAATATACATGTGTAAACAAAGCTATTTTTTTTCTTTAACCACTACACATGAATTTGGTCTTAAGAGTTTTAGTTTGGCGATAGAGAATAGGGGAGGTGTAGAAAGACTGAGTTTCAAGAACACCATTTTTTTTTTTTTTGTCAGGGGACACAAAGTGATTGCAGTCACACTTTTACAGCACGGGGCAGACACCACTATCAAAAACAGCAATGGTAAGAAAATGACTGGGTCATTGCTTTGTGTGTTACATGATAGAGACCTTTAGCAAACCACGATAGCGGCGGCAAGAGGACGTGGCAAAAAAAAAAGATCTAATGTAGCACATGCGTTTTAAAAGTGTTTACATTTCTTCGCCGTCCTCTGCAAAATAACAACTTGAAATCATAAAAAATTTGCTTGGTCTGAGAAAGGAAACCCCGACGGCAAATTATTGAAGTTTCTAAACGGAGCTCATCACTACTCACATACATTATTCTGAGGTTAACTTTCGGCTAAGAGACTTCCGTAAGAGACGGTAAACGCATCCAGCCGTTTAATAGATGTCTCCCTTGGCGTCGCCTCCCAAACTGCTCAGGGTCCTTATTATTGAATGAGGGAAAAAGCATATAATTGTACACATGTACTACTGTTTAGAATGATAGTCGTTTACCCCCTCCCCAACTCCCAAGATCTCTGATGTTAATTCTCCCCTCTAGCTGCTACACATTTCCTCGTAAATTAGCCAGGAGAATTTGGTGTTAGATCAAGATAACAACTTCTACCTGATAAGTTGAAGTATTCTCGTTACCTGTTTGCTGGATAATGTATGGATATTATAGGGAGAAGTTACATGTTTAACACTTCTTGGAGTTAAAGGGTTAACAGCGTATTTGTAAAACTTAGGTCAGACAGCCTTGGATTTAGCCACTAACAAGAAAATGAAACAACTGTTGGATGTTCAACCACTGCAGGTTTGTATCAAGCAGATCTTGTTGATTTAGATAGTTTTTATGCATACAGTATGTGGCTTCCTGTTTAAATTAGGTCCTTTTGTGGCAATACGCACTTTGGAGACTCCAGAAAGATGTAGCTTGAAAACTTTATTACCACAGCGCAATACCGATATTTCGGAAATTGGTCTGAATTCTTGGAGAGTTCGAAAAATCGGGAAAGAGCTTGAAAAGCTAATTATAGTTTGAATTATTGGGAGCGTCGAGAAACCGAGAAATGGAGATGTCGAGATTCTACCATGATACTACTATAGAGCAATTTGCGATAACGAAAATCGAAGGTGATGAGAGATTGTACTGCTTCTTGCTTTAGTATATACTTATGGAGTCCCAAAACTCGTTTCAATCTCTCAAGTTATCATGCAGATGAAAAATTTTCACCTCTCTAGTCAATTTCTTTTTTCCGTAAGGTGTATTTGATGAGCGCTTTTTAAAATTCTAGATTAAATGAGAAAGTTAAAGAGGAAAAAATGTCATTTGTCAAAACTTGTTGCCATATAAATTTTAATGAGATTAGAGATAAATCTTTTGGATCATCTCTGTGACAGAAACTTCACAAGGTGGTGTCAAGACATGAAGGTGCCCTGCTCAAGGTGAGATACTCCGCATTAGTATAAGTGATGCGAGTTTAAACAGTAGCTGCGCTAAACTGACTGGAATTCATCGTAAATAACCAATTCATTGTGGACAACCCTTATACTATTGGAGCAGTTTATACTTAAGTTTAATTTTACTAATAGCCTTTAATTTTTTTTTTTTTTTTTTTTTTTTTTTTTGGTGCATGAAGTGTATCATTTTCTTTGGTCCGAAAGTCTTTTTAATGTTCGCAGCGGTCCCGGTTCTTTGGGTGGAAGAAATTCTGGGTTGTCCTAGAGAGAGGTGTACTTAGCTATTTTAATAAGAGGTGAGTACTTTACAGTGGACTGCATCCTTCTAAATGGTTCGAATTAATCTTTTCAATGGAATTTGACGGAATCGAAATTTAAATTTTTGAAAAGAAAAAAGGCCTTTTTTTTCACTTGAGTGCGTGTCAAGTGCGCGTGAAATTTTGCACAGGAACGAAAGTAACGCTTTAATTCTCACCATAAAAGTTCTGAGAATATCTGTGGATTTGCAACAGGATAGATGCAAAGGGCAAGAAGTAACTATTAACTTTACAGTATTTTTTAGATTTGTGCGTCACACAAGGATTCAAAATATCTTGACTTTGCTTTTCAGAGTTTTTAAATCGTGGTAAAAATTGACACCTTTTGTTTTACTCAGAGCTGATGCAGCGGCGAGTGTGAAGAGACAAGGTTATAGATATTTAGACCGCTGTAAATTTTCGGTAAGTTTGTTGAGCAATCTTTCTTACTTCGTGATTATTGTGTTGTGTATCTCTGTAAGCCTTCGTTTGTGTAGCTAGTGTCCACAATCTCAGAGCAACAAAATCTTCTTTTAAAACTTCTACAATGTTTTGTGTGTAACTGCATCGTCTTTGCGTCCTCCTTTGTAGGTACCCAAGGACGAGAAGCACAAAATTAAAATCCATTATTCAGATAACACCGTTCAGATCTGGAGCATTCCACCGAGTGAAAAAACTCCACAAGTCCAACGCCAGGTCTGTATCGTTAAATCCTTTTTCTAAGCCTTTCTTATGGAGTAGGTCTGGTTTTCACGGTGGCCTTCCCTTTAACTCGTTCTCCGCTATTTCGCTTTGCATTTCACCTTGTAGCGAAGAATTCCACGTCTGGGAGTTTTTGTAGCCTGCGCGCGGGCCCTTATTTATCAGCGGTACGACTCGAGCGTGTGTTCGGTTCATGTATGAGGCCTTGAACAACGTAAGTAAGCATGAGGTCTGCAAGGGGTCTAGTAGTCCCAGATCCTCGGCAAATTAGCTCGCAGGCTAGAACTTTTATTCCTCTGTTACTAGTGTCGGATGGGCCTCAACAGATAGTTGTCTTTGGTCTCGCTGGCAACCATGTTACAGGAGCTTTCAACTGGGTGTCACTGGGATTCCGGGATTGCTTTGCCATGAGCTGTCATTAGTCAAGAAACTCGCGCCAAGCGCGACTCAGGAGCCTATAAAATCCGATCGGTAGGGCAAAGAAGAACTGGCTTTGACTGAAGCGAGGGGTGGGACGAGGGGGTTGAGTGGGGGTGGGGGTGGTGGAAGGGGAACGTGTCTTGGTTGCTGAAGATTTCCTGTGCTTGAGAAAAATGGGAATGGCTTTATCCTGAGTTCCCACCGACTTCATCTGAAATTTGTTTCTTGTTTGTGCTGTGTGACTGGTGTGGCTATTAAGTATTTTTCTTTCGACATCCATGGAAAGGCACTGCACTGCTCCAGCCTGTCGATACATCTACTACCCCTTTCCATTCTGTCCTACGTCTCTATACATTTAGCATGCAGTGCCACAGGTTGCCTGTGAACGGCAACCATCCGCCTCCAGTGAAAGCCTTAGTGAAAGTTCATTTTAATCTGCATTCTCATTCTAGCGATGGTTAAACTCTCTGCACGAGCACTGCGCCTATAGCACTTTTTACACAACTCAACCCACAGTACTTATTGATGATCAAGAACAGGATGTGATACCGTTGGGGAGCATGCAGGATTCGCTAAAGGTGAATGATCAACCTTTTAATCCCTAAGATTGACCAGCATCTAATTTCTCCCTACAATATCACTCCTTGAACAAACATTAATGACACGAGACTAAAGAAAATGATCACCAACTCGTGAAGCTCTTGATTTATAAACAAATTCTCCTTGTCAGTATCTTAGGAAATATATTAAGACCAGTATGGAGAATATGCAAAATGATGTTAGGGTGTTACGGGTAAGGTTTTAACCTTGAAGAATAATTTAACCTACACGTGTATTGCTGATACACAGAGCGCTCGTGCCCATCAGCAACTTCTCGACGAACAAGTTGTTGGAATAAATAAGACAATTGCAGACGTATCCAACTCGTATTCATCGGAGTCAAATTCTAAAGGTGAGACACCTAGGTTATGAGTCACGCAGTGCATCCGTCGCAACACGCGTGACAACTCGCGGTAAAAGCCACTGCATGTAAAGCTCCCGAAAATTCGTAACCGTGACCCCTACTCCCGAGTCCTCTTTGAAAAATTCCAGCTACGCCCTTGATGTGACAAGCCCCCTTCACACTCTTCGCATCAGCAATGTCGAAAACAACGATTATGTAATGCAATATGAGAGAAAGTGGTGGATTGCTGATGAGGGATTAGATTTTTTTCTGTGACCCGCGTTCTTGACCAAACGAATTTATTCATTTGGAAATTGATGTTAAGAAGACGTTTTCGATTCGTTGCCGTTTAACCCTTAAACTCCAAAGTTCTGATTGTTAATTCTCCCCTCTAGCTGTTACACATTTCCGTGTAAGTAAGTTATGAGAATTAGGTGTTGGATCAAGATAACAACTTTTACCTGATTAGTTTAAGTATTCTCGTTACCTGTTTGCTGGATAATGTAATTAATATCATAAGTAGACGTTACACGACTGTCACGGACTTGTCAGAAATTAGCAGGGGGGGAGGGGGGGGGGTGGGAATTTTAAATTTGGGTTCGGAAATTAGGTGACCCATCCCTGCAATGGGAGTGAAATTTGCTAACCCTCCCCTTGAGCTTGGCCTAAAATATCATGACCCTCCCCCTCTTGTATAAATGATAAAATCTAGTTCTTGCAATACACTTGGGTGCGTCAGTATTATGAAAACTCAAAATATATTTCTAATCTGTTCTTTGTCATGCTACATACATACATTTTCGATGACAGCATGAAGAGTCCGACTGATCACTCGACTCTCCTATTTCTCCGAATACAAAGTCTTCATCACTAGAACAAGTGGGTAATGCCTCATCCCCTTCATCTTCCTCACATTCATCATGATCATCCACCTCTTCCAAATAAAGAACTTCCTTTTTCTTCTGTGGGTGAACCTCTACATGATCACGGGCATATATTTGCATGACCCTCCCCCTTTTAACTGCCCATTTTTCATGACCCCTCCCTTTTCTGAGGCTCAAAAAGTTGTGACCCCCCCTCCCCCCCTGCTAATTTCTGACAAGTCCCTTAAGTCTTTTTCGACTTTGCTCCTTCAACTGCTGATGATTTTAGATATAGCTGTTCGCTCGTTTGATGTATGCTGTTTTGTTTTGTTTTTTCCCCTATGACAGGAAGCTTAGTGAAGATCAGCGAGAAACTCAATGAGGTGGTAGCGACAGCTCGTAATATGTGTAACGCTCTGACTCACTGTTTGGATTTACTGTCACAACAAGAGGAGGTACGATCGGACAGCGGAAACATTCAGAAATCTAATTTAACTTCATGTAAATTACGTTGTTGGTCCTACCTTTGAACAAGTGAAATCATAGCTGCCATTTTGCCGTCTGTGTGTTCAGTTAATGAACATAGACCGAGTAATAATACAGTTGGGACGAAAAGGTGGAATCCTTTGTGATCGTTCTTAATATTGACCGTCTGTGAGCCGTTTCATTTTCGTAGTACTTTATAATTCATTGTTATATTGATTTCATTTTCGGTAACCGTTCCTATTCGAGTGTAAAATATTTTATTTTCTATAATGTTCACTCCTTTTGCCATACGTGGCAGTCTCGTTTAATCCCAAAAAACAGAATGTATCACATGTATTATTACTGAAATTTAAGTCAAGAACCCGACAGTAAAATTTGATCAAGATGGCGATCTTTGGCGGCGAGAAATTCTCGAAGACTTTTTGAATATCCTTGGGCGATGTCTTCGTTGAAATGTTTCGCGTTTTCACTTTAAAGGGAAGGTTTTTGTAATAATTAAATGAAAGATTTGATAACATCGATCAAAACAGATACGTTGAGAAGAAAGAGCTATTCAACGCGGTTGCATTGTGGTTTTAGTTTATAAAACTTACTTCCGGCAACTGCCGTGTTTACTTGGTGTCCTATTATTACCTGTCAGCGGTTTTAAGCTGGGTTTATGTTAATTACGTCTTCAGTGTGGACGTTTTGTCAGTAGTCATCTTCTTGCTTCGTTCTCGCTTAATTCGGAATTTCAGGTGCGTCATCTTAGATTTGAAGAAGAAGTCGAGAAAAGAAGAGTCCTTGAGGATGCTCTTCACGTCTTGGCGACAGAACATCATGCTTTGGAGTGCTCAATTGGAGCCCACGAGGTAAGATCTCGCCGTTTAATTTTGCCATCGCGTATTCTTCCCTCTTCAAAGAATTTGCATTACATTTGCATAGCTGTAGGTGTTTGTCAAAACCCGCGTTAGGCCATTGTCTCTGGGTGAAAATTTGTGTTTATTTCTGGCGTTTTTAAATTGGTTTTTTTAATTTTTAGCCAATCGGATTTCTGACTTGTCCTTTAGCTTAGATGTCAAGTTGTTTGTGCGGTTTTCTGGCTTTCCGATTGGCTTACAACTTTGAAAATCAACAGAAAATGTGTCAAATAGATTTTAAGGAAAATATGTTTCGCTCAGGCGAATTTCACGAGCGATCGCTTTTAAAAAGCTGTATTTGTGTAAGGCGATTAAAATTCACCTTCAAATATGGAGGTTATAAATATTCAAGAAAGGTTTTAATCCGTGAAAAGATGGCAAATTTTAGCATTGTTATCTACCTTTATTTAAGGATCAGTTGTAGTCCTATTGACCAGTTTTAGTGATCTCTGACATTTTTATGTGTAAAGCGTATTTACACGACATGATCTGATGAAATCATGATAGGAAAAATCATTTAGGAATAGAATTTATACGGATGACTTCCTCGGTCATTTGATGCGAAATCGGAACGAAATGAATCCGTTTCTTTGCTGTAATGAAATTGATGGATTAGTTTTGCCGTATCGAATAAAAGTTTTATCAGTGGAGTAAACGAGTAATAGAAATTCTAAAGAAAGAGATAATTGAATGAACAGAAGCGTTTCATGTTTAGTCGTCAAACGGCGAGAAATCTTGTCCTGTTGGTTAGGTCAATATTAGTTTCATATTATTTTTATACCTCGCGTTCTTAAATATCGTAACTATTTTTCACATTACTGCTTTGATTTCTGGTTGACGTTCCGTGATGAATTATCTTCCAAGCTTAGGCATCTTTTTGACTAATTTGTTATTCAAATACGACAAGTATTCTTTCCAATGAGACTTGTGTGAAATCTGCCAGACTCTCTTTCGAATTATCATTTTCAATAACAGCAGAAAAAAGTTAACATGATTAAACTTGAGTTATGATAAATACACGGAGCACTATGAAATGTGGTTTTGGTATTTTCATATTCGCGTCTTAGGAATATTTTTCAGTCATTACAATTTGTCATGAGTTGAATCTAACGTCCACGGGCCAACGTAACCAAAGACAAATAATTCCAGGTAAAAATCTTGTTCTAGAATGGAATTTATTGACTGAACTTTTATCCTAAATTCATTCGCCTTCATTTGAACGTCTCAGTTGTACTGCTTAGAGTATTTTGTTTTAAGAGGTATGAATTATGAATGATGAAAATAGAACACAGAATCCATTTTGGTAATCAAAGTTAATATCATTTCAAACGCAGCGCTAAAGAAAGAACACGTCAGGGGGATTTATTGCCGCGATTTTCGATATAGTATTACAACAAACAGTCCGATGGAATTATTCACTCTCAGAATCAATAAACCCCCCGAATATCCCTGCAATTCTGATGCATTATCTCGCAAACGGGTTGTGAGAACGAACAGATAAACATATTAACCACAGAGTTTTGTCTTGGTAAAACACTACACCATTTCGACTTATTTTTCAAGGACATGTTTGGCAGGTTCAAAGGAGAATTGAAATATTAGCTTCTCAGTCGAATGATATTCTGCGATATCAGCCAGTCCATTGAGTTTACGCGTGTTTGCGTGTTGTGGTAGCCCAATATTCATTTTGACTTAGAGATTAAATTCGTATTACCAAATTCACCGAAGCGTGTGTTCTTAATTTTCCATTGTGTACCCTAATGACATATGTACTGTCTACTCATTAGAGCATGGTAGAAATTTTCTTCTCAAACACACTATAACCAGTCCGTCGAAGTTGTTTTAGAGAATTAAGTTTGCGTGCCAGTTGTACGTTCATTGAGACACAGAGCTCGTTAGGAGGTATACAGAGCACTCAAGGAGTAAGAATTGCTCTCGGCCTCGCCTCAAGCTTGTTTCATGCTCTATAAACTTCTCATGTGCTTCATATCCTGATGAACCCAAAAAGATCACGCCGGTTCTGCGGTCTAGAACATATGTTGAATACAGCAGCTATTTAGATTTTTAAGATTGAGGAAAGCCTGAAGCGATTACAAAAACTTACTGAGGAGGTGGTAGTAAAAAGAGCGAAAATGGTGACTGGGGAGGAGATTGGAAAAAAAAATTTCTTTCGATCCCTTCCCCCTTCTCCCTGACTAGTTCTTTGCACCTGCCGGGCCCCCCCCCCTGATCTCAAGTTCTCAACGGCTAATGATGAAGTTAACTTTTGTTTTGATTGGCTATTGAGGTTAGTTTGATTTTGGTTTTCGACAATCAAACGAAAACTGCTCTACCGCTCAATTCTCCTCACGTCTTTGCAAAGAAATGGTTGGCAACCAGAAGAGAGAATTGTTATCGTGATATTGAGAGATAAAACGGTAAGCATGATATGATTGTTTTTTTAATTTAGCAGTTCATTCATGGAAGTCGCATGACCTTGACGAGTGATTGTAACGAAGAGTTTTTCGATGCAAGATCGGACGTTGGTTGCCCTCTTCCAGACGACTTGCTCTCGGATGACGATAGCGACGATGGCGACGAGTACGTACCAAGTGTAGCAACCCTTGAAGCAGCAGGGCAAGAGGTTCAACAGAATCACGTTGAAACAATTGTCGTACCTAACACTAGTACCAATAGTAACAATATTAAGAGGGCAGCTTCTGGAAGAAAGCTGGGAAATTTGAACAGACTTTCGTTGACGAGAAGTACGTCCGATACAAATATTGCAGCCAAATCGGAAATTAGGCATTTGCTAGATTCTGAAAGTCTGCAAAAGTCGAAATCTGCCTCCAGCGACATGGAGCAATCAGCGGCGCTGTACAGGAAACAAGAAACTGAGAAGAAAGCGAATGGCAAAATGCGCCACAGGTATTGTGTGCTGTGTTAGAATCCATGTATAATTACGTACGAATTAGAATTGTGAGATCCTTGTCGTGGAAGGAGTATCATATGCCTAGTAGCTTTCATTTAAGTGATTTCATCGTACAGTACACGTTTATGTTGGAACACCTTGAACAGTGAAATGGGTTGTACCATACATGAAAGTATTGCTTGGGATTAGTTTTCATCTAAATGGTAACACATCAGGGTTACTTTTCTTTCTTGGCGAAAACGTTGGAACCACTTTTTACAGCATGGTTAATTGTACCGCATGAAAGTACTTAATAATTTGGTTTTATCAGTTGAGTTGATAATGTAAATTAGCCACTGTGAAGAGTTTTTAAAACAGACGTTTCGAGCGTTATCTCCTCTTTGGAGCAAAAGAAACTCTGACGAAGAGCTAAAGCTCGAAACGTCAGCTTAGGAACTTTTTACGGTGGCTAATTTACATTACGAACTCAGTTAATTAAAAGGAAGCATCTTGTAATACCCCCTTCAGCGACGCAGCACTACAATTTCTCAAGGAACGTACCCCACATATACGAAAAAATTAATAGCTTTCATTTGAATGTATTATACAATAGTGGGTTTTTCCAGAGACTTGGGAGTTAAAATAACTTTGAGCAGGAGATTAGTCACTGGGTAATGAAAGTACTGCCAGTAGTTTTCGTGTAAATGATCTTTCACAAGAGTTTTGAATACCTATTTTGACGTCAGAACCATCTTGTGCAACAAACTGGGTGACCTTTTCTAGACCGTTTCGAAATTATTGCTTCGATGTGATGACCCTTTAACTCCCAAGATCTGATTGTCAATTCTCCCCTCTAGCTGCTACACATTTTCTTGTAAACCAGTAATGAGAATTTAGTGTTAGATCAAGATAACAATTTCTACCTGCTAAGTTGGAGTTTTTTCAATACCTGCGGGATAATGTATGGATATTATTGGGAGAAGTTCCATCTTAATCAATTCTGGGAGTTCAAAGGTTAATTGCCATATGCATGCTGGTTACAATAGACATTGTCGACCAATCAGAGAGTGTGTCTTTACAATCGCTTAAAGGATGGCACTAGTTTATGATGACGTATGCAAAATTTTCTCTCCCCGCAGAACCGCCTTGCCTGTAGCTATGCTTTCTAGGAACGAATTCAGTGTGTGGGCGGTACTTAGACAATGTATAGGAAAGGTAAGATACCACCTGTATTAGTGTCACGTGATGATTCCATCCCCCCCCTCCCTCTCTCTCTCTCCTCCCCCCCCTCTCCCCTCTCTCCTCTCCCCACCCCTACTGAACACATACAACACCTAACATCTTCCTCGTTATTCTTGCAGGATTTGTCAAGAATTACAATGCCAGGTTCGTTTGCAATAGTCCTTTTAAATATTTAATCAGTATTTGTTCAAATCAGAAAGAAGAAATCGCAAACCTTAGTCTGTGGTTAGCAGATTTTTTATGAAACAAAGATCGGATAGCTACTATGAGCTCATTTCATTTAACAAATGGTGTACATTGAAGTTCAGTTCTACTATTCTAATTAACAATTCTACGTCTCCACTAGCTTCTTTAGTCCAGTTAAATTGAGAAAATAGAGGTGATGGAGAGCAAACGTTTCTTATGAAGCTATTCAATTAGAGCCATGTGGAAAAAATCACTTAAAATCCGAACGAGCCTACTAAACAGTAGGCTTTGTCACGTGACGAACATTTACCTCATTACTTTGTCACGTTTTAGTAATTTTCAATGAGCCGCTGACGTTTCTGCAGCGTGTGGCAGAGTACATGGAATATGTAAACCTCCTTCACACGGCCTCAAGTTTAGACGATCCGCTGTTGAGAATGCAGGTAAAACATGTGCAGGGTTAGATGATTGCGTGACAGAAGGAGTTGTCATGTAGAGTTAGGTTATGATCTGAGAGGCGATTTTTACACCGGTTATGGCTCGGTCCTAACGTGGTCTTGGATTTGAATCTCGTTCTAGATTGAATTGTGGTTATTGTTGTTGTTGTTGCTTTGTTCAGGTCCTGCGACTACTTTATCATTAGAATTCTTTCCTCTGCAGTTTTTAAGTCAACTATTTCTAGTACGGGTATCCTCTTCGACCTTCTTGCGTTGATATCATATTCCTTATTTCGTTTTTCAACAGTTTGTTTGCGCGTTTGCAATATCAGCCACTGCATCGAATTTAGACAGAGTAGGAAAACCTTTTAACCCACTCCTTGGAGAAACTTATGAACTGGTCCGGTAAGGATAATGAGATGTTTTGCGATCTATTCTGTTGGTTCGGAGTTATTTCTCATGACAATTTTTTTTTATTCTTTTACAGAGAAGACATGGGTTTCAAACTTGTTGCTGAACAGGTGAGAGTTAATAGGAAATGGATAAGCAGGCTTTTGTTTGGTTTCAAAAGTGCATAACAGTGCAATAGTGAAAACTATAACACATCTTTCCTTGTTGAAAATACATGGCAAACGAGGAAGCAGAAAGCGCGGAGAATGCTGCGAAGCACTTCGCTCTAAAACCATAGACCAGCGTAATCACGCATGACTCAGTCGTGATCACGCGCTAAAACCCATGTGATCGCTCTTCCGTCTTGCGCACAAAAACAATGGCGTAGTCAAGAACTGCTTTCTTTGTGGTTAATTTTCACAGGTTAGTCATCACCCTCCTGTTAGTGCAGTGCAAGTTGAAAGTGAAGACTTCGTGTTCCATGTCACAGTTCAACCCAAGCTCAAGTTCTGGGGAAAAGGGGTTGAAATTCAACCGAAAGGCATGGTCACACTCAAGTTTCCAAAGTAAGTTGATAACAGTTAATTGTTAATAACCTTATCATTATAGTCTGGCACTAATACCTTACATACTGATGCCCCTCCCTCCTCCCCTCATGAGGTAATTTTCCTTTTATTTGATTTCTAAAATGGTATCTCTTATCATTATAATTTTGTGTTGTTTTCCCAAGACGCAATGAAGTTTACACGTGGAATAACGTCAATAGTTGTGTTCACAATATCATTGTGGGACAGCTTTGGATTGAACAAGTTAGTTGTTATCTTTTGTTAGCTTGTCTGTTTTCTTATCCAATGTGCGGTAAATGCTGTTTTGCTCTTTATATAACACGTCGAGATTTTTCCCGACAAAAATTACTCGCTGACGTGGCGACGTGTGTCGGTAAAGTGGTTGCTGATAGGTGGATTTCTCGCAACTCACCATGGTGTCATATTATTGGTTAATTATGTGACATTTTGTTTGCTGATTTGTCAAAATATGATTTACTGTCACTGATCAATTAGTGGGCTAAAAAGGGATAATACACATGGCCGTGCTTCATCGAAGTAAAATGTTTCCTAAAAGTTATTGTTTTTCCTCTCAGTTCGGTCAAATAGAAATTACCAACCACACCACAGGAGACTACAGCTTGATACATTTTAAACCTGGCGGATGGTTTGGTAAAGAACTCAACAAGGTGGAAGGTTCCATTTTCTCCGCTGAGTAAGTTTCCTTTTCACTCTGACACTTTAAAGAAGTATTCTCCCTGTTTCAAGCTCAAATCTCCTTCTTGTCGGAAGTAGGGATGTCTTCTGACAGTTAATGCTTTCTATTTCTGCTCTCTGCAATCAGAATGAGGATGGTTTTCATTAATTTGAAATTCAAAGGAAAATTAACAAGTTATTGAGCACTTTTTGTAAAAAAAACGTTAAATTATCGATATTGTTCTTTTGTAGAATCACTATCTTGTATCCAAAGTATCACGTTTTTTTCTCAAGTTTTAAGCTGGAGGTCCAGTAACCTTTCGGGTGGCGCGCGGAATTCTGGGTGGGTAGACCCTCTCTCGACCGCTGACTAGATGATTGAGATGTTTTCTCGGGCAAGAAACTTTATAAATGCGTTTTAGTGAACTGTCAGAGAAACTCGATAGATTGAAAAGGGGGGGGGGGGTGGGGGGGAGTGGAAGTTGGGAAACATTTGATGGACCAGCTTCTCAAGATGATAACAGTGCTCCTAGACATTCATGTAATTGGCATTAGGGTAAGCTCCGGCAGTAAACATCTCTTAGCCTGCGGAATAATTTAGTTTATTGCGCTTGACTCAAACTCCTTCAATTCGCAGCAAGAGAAAGCGGTTCATTCTGCGTGGAGACTGGACGGATTGCATCCAGTGCTTCACTGTGGACAAAATCACTAGGAAGGAATCTAAACGAGAAAGCAAGAGACGGCGGTCAGATGGCAGCGAAAACAGCTTTGCATCCGCCACTTCTCTAGAGAGTTTCAGTAGCGGTAGTAGCGGTGGAAGCGTCAGCGTGGACACCTCGGTACCCAAGACCCTCTGGAGATTTCAAGAGCGACCTCCTAATAGTAAACAGGTAAGGATTGGAAACGACCAGGCTTCACATCCCTGTAGCTGGTATCTGCGACAAACAGCTCCGTGTGTTCTGCTGCGAATTGTTCTCTTGTGTTGGTCATGCGCATGAATTCGATCTAGCAGTTTTACTTTTGATTGTGATTACATGAAAATCATATATGTGAATTGCGGATGAAGACGTAAATATGAAAGCGATCTCCGCAGTAATGAACACTACTTGAGCAGTAGTGAAAAGAGGACTGAAAAAATTTCAGGCCTGACCAGCTACCAGTTGGTAGCTCAGTTGGTAGAGCACTGTACCGGTATCGCAGAGGTCATGGGTTCAAATCCCGTACAGGCCTGAATTTTTTCAGGCCTTATTTTTTCTACTGCTCAAGTAGTGTTTATTACCGCGAAGATCACTTTCATATTCACAAGTTTTAATTTTGGCCTTAGAGATCTTTTTTTTTGTCGGTTTAACGGCACTTAATCAATGCGCGCTATGGCGCAGTGTAAATACCTATGACGGGGAACAAACTTTTCCCCGGGAAGGTTTAAATACAGTCCTTTGAGAAGCCAACGCTGACATTAGCTATTCGCTGGTCTCCGCTTTAGTTGCAAACTATTCAGCTTTTCGAATCATCGATCGCTAATAATAATTACGCTTGAGGATTGAAGTGCTTATGACCATGGACTGGAAACTAGGGACACATTGTGTGCTTTACATATATTTCATGTCGTGATCCTTTTCATTTTGAACAGATGTACAATTTTACGACATACGCAATGCAGTTAAATGAACTTCATGAAGAAGATAAAGCCACGGTATGGAACAATTATCAACGTGTTTGTTACTTCTTGTCTTCGAAAGACCTGAACAGGTTTCTTTGACGACAGTTTTTGCAGATTTTGTTTTATTTGTGAAGTATAAGAGCAGGAATGCATTTTTTATTGATAACATTTTTTTTCTTTAGTTACCACCGACAGATTCAAGGCTCAGACCTGACTGTCGGGCGTTAGAAAACGGTGATTTAGGTAAGTTTAGTTATAATGTACGATTGTTAGAAAGATTGACTAACGTTACGGAGTGGTTGGTGGATGGACAGACAGACGAATGGACTGAACGACTAACTGAGTGAGTGATGGACTGACCAACTGACAGACTAACTGACTGATTAAGCTGATTGACTTATTGCCTCATTAATTGGCATACTGACTGACTGACCTAATGAATTGCTGACATACTAACCCGCTGACCGACTGACTGGCTGACTCGCTGGCTAACTAACCGGCGTCTGGGTAATTGATTGAATTCCAGACACTAAATAGCTACTATTAGCTATTTATTGAGTCTGGCTTTCAGTTTGACAGGCTATCTGTTTGGCTGACTGACTGACTGACTGACTGACTGGATGATTGACTGTCTGTCTCTCACTGACAGTCTGACTGAATCGGTTAAATAATTGAATTGAATGAATAATTAAATGAATACCTGTGACGGACAGATAGACGAAAGTTTTCATTGATAACATTTTTGTATGTTTTTTTTATCATTCTTTATAGATACAGCTACTATGGAAAAAATACGACTAGAGGAAAAGCAAAGGGCAGCGAGAAAAGAAAGACAAAAACACGAGCGTTGGATTCCCAGGTAAGCAGAACTTTTTTTTGCATTTTATTTAAATCATGTCATAACCACAGAAACCAGAAAGTCAAGGTTTTTAAAACCGTATACCTTTTTCGATAAAGCTCAAAACACAATGGGAAATTAACAGGATGTTTTGTATTAAATAAGCTTTGTGTTCGAAAAGTTTCCAGTTTCCTCTCCCCCCACTTTTGGTTTCTTTTACAGATTCGGTTCGTTTTTTTTTCGCATAATTAGCGTGACGGCGGTGTTTTTGGTTATGTTTCTGTTAAATTGGCGTGCAGCAGGCGGAAAGAAATCCCCTTGCGTATGATCGACCGCTATTTTATTCTAGTATATTCTAATATGCGTATTCTAGCATCTGATCACAGAGCCATGAACGTTTACTCACTGGTAAATAACTGGCATCTTTCTTAATAGCTTAACCCTGTTTTCTTGTCTAGGTGGTTCAAAGAAGACATAAATCCATACACAGAACAGATGGACTGGATATTCACCGGAACGTACTGGAATAGAGATTGGAAAACGTGTCCAGACATCTTTTAAATTTCCCTTCCTTAGGTCCTATCAAAATTAAAATTGCTCGGCCTTTACGAACATTTTTTTCCCAAACGGTAGAGATTAAGATGCATTGTTAGGTTTTTATGCCTTGCACTTAGTGTAATCCGCGCAAGGTGCAAAATTATTTAGATAAGTCTTTCGTGACGTTTAATTGGGAACAGACCCGCGTGATGTATAAGTCGAATGATTTTGCGTGACGTATCACCCGCGAAGAAGAGTGTCACGCAACGCTGTAGGCTGTCAACTTCGATGCTCAAGCTCCTTGACTGAAAAATGTAACTGGGTGAAAGAACTATTTCTTCAAATTTTTACCACATTTGAAGGACTTAAAAAGCCTTTTATGGGACATTTGATTCGACTAATCTGGTGTTCTTTCAAAATTTTTTTTTTTCAGTTTTCTAGAATTCTACAAAATTGTCGAATCCATTTCAGTATCAAAGCAGCTGCGCGCCAACCCCTCCCCTAATCCAGTCAACTGATAACGAGTTACGGTCAATATTGGGTTAGGGGAGGGGTAGGTGCGGAGTTGATCAGATAATGACATTGATTGAAACTGCTTTGTGCTTCCTAAAGAAAAAAGAAGTGGAAAGAAAGAAGGAAAATAGAAACCGAATCAGTATTTATTTTAGAAGAAAATTTGCATTGATAAGTAAATTTTCTCCATTTGTGTCGCAGGTGAATTGCTCTAATCCTAAAATTGTTAGTCTGGATCATGTAGCTCAGATCATTATCAGGTCCTTTCTTGTTCGCATTTAAGTTCAAATAACAACATCATTGTGTACAGATGTTCCTTTTATTTTTGTACCACATCATGTTTTTTAAGATGGAAGCAGAAAATTTAGTTCAGAATTCGATCGCAGCATTGGCAACGCAAGACGGCCAGGTCGACGCCTTATTCGGTGCACTCTTTTAAGAAAGGTTTTAAAACTGTTCCAACCTTGTCTCTCGCGGTCCGTTTTAACCTTTCTCTTTGTTAACTATGATGGTGCTTTTGTAGATCATACAGCTTCCTTTGGTGCTTTTGTACCATTTTAATTCATTGTTTCTTTCGGCCCCTATAAAAAAAGAAAGGTACAAAACGTGCCACAAGTTGACACTGTAAAGCTCCGACAGGCCCTGTTTTTTCAAGAATGTAGACTGCGGTCATTGCGGTCACGAGCATGCGTGGTGATGTAAAAGATATGTATGACGTCATTGTTGCCTTTGGTGTCGTTGGAGTTTCTGGTTTGAATTTTCGTATTGTTGAAATGATATGACTATGGCTTTAAATTTTTGACTATTTATTTGGAGGTAACAAACGTTTAGTGAAGTTTACAAAATGAATATTAGAAAGTCAATGGATTTGTTCCAGATTAAGGATTTTTGGGAGGGAGGGAGGTAATTGTGAGGGAAGGGGGGGGGGGGGGTAATTTAGAGGCTGGTAAGGGCTTTGTTTTTGTTGCCGTCATCATTGCTATTATAATATTGTTTTCCTTATTAATGGTTAATAGTTCAACCCAAGTGTAAACTTTATCATTACGAAAGAATTAATTGGGTGACATTTTCGCGGAATGAATAAAAAGTTAATCAATACCATTTGGCTTCACGAGTGAAATAGTATTGATCAACTTCGGTAAATACGAAGCTTGACAAGGGCTTTCCGGGCGATCACGAACACTTCACCTAAACCAGGTTGAAAGCTGATAATAATATTTATAAATGATTAGAGTGTTATGATTATAAATAAGGCGTGAGTTAAGCGTTGCCGCTGTTGATTGTGAAATTTAGTAGACAAATTGAATCAGCTGATGCTTTGTAAGGGGAATGTTTAGAACAGGGAAAATTGAGGGAATTATTTTTTGCCTTTCTGTATATCTCGACTCGCAGCATTTTGTTGCCCATGTGTCGACGTTGGTTTTCTTTCTGTGTAGTTTTTGAAAGTATTTCCAACACGTCACAGGAGGATATCGAAGCTAGAAATACTTGCAAAAAGCAGTAGTAATAGATAAATTTGGAATATAATGTTAAAAATGACGGTGAAAGTTGGCTTGAGGAAAATTGAGAAAGTGATCGGAAGGCATTGACCTTGGAACACCCTTGATAATGTAACTGTCTCGGAATTTTTTTCAACTTATTTAAGTCTTGATCAGTCAAGGGTATTCAAACGCCTTTTTTTGGGGAAAATTATTACAGATAGATATACACAGACAACAATTAATAAAGGATTTGTTCCATTACATTTTCAAATCACTGGCGGTGTTGTAATTTATAAGTACTCAATTACCAATCTGCAATCCACGGTTTAGTAATCCCAGTAGGCCCAAGGAAGACATTAAGTTCGCTGAGAAGAACGTTCGGGGGCAGTTATTTGAACAAAATTTAGCCGTTGTCCAACAAAACCACGTTGTAGGCCATCTTCAATTCAGCCGAACCTTTAACCTGAATTAACCTGAGAACCTCACCACTGAAATCCACAGGTTTGCCGATTGGCCAAAGCGGATTCAACACGGACTTTATCAGTATCGGTATTTTCCGTTGGTTGTGCTGTTATAATTTTGCGTTGACTTCCCACAAGAAACTCTCACAACTTTCGAGGGCCACGATGATGTTTTTCCTGCGTAGCCTCGAATTTTGAAGAATAAGCCCTCGTCGAGACACGAGACAAATGTTTTACGAGATGAGCCAATAAACAGGGATGTGGTTATCACGTGACCTAATTTGCGCATGATCTTCAGTCTTTGTGACGTTATACCTTTACGCGCGTCAGAAAAGCTACGATGATTTGATGAATCGACTCAAAATAATATGAAGACACTTACCTTTTAAAATGTAAAAGGTTTGCGAGAGCATGTGTTGGTTTTTCAGGTTAAGATTATCAAGGTAAGTTCTTAATTTTCAATGTAAAAAAAACTGTTTAATATAGCAAATGAAATTATGCGAACTTTTCTGTCATTTGCGAAGATGCATTTGAAAAGATTTTTCATGCGCAAGTCCAAGGCTGGGCCAAAGATATCTCTTTACTCTAACAAAGGCATACAAAAGGCTTCGGTCCATGCAAGTTTGATGACTGCGAAATAACAAAACATCGAACGAGAAAAGGCTATTTTACCTGAAAAAGCACTTACAGTGCTATGTACTATAGCTAATTTCCACTAAGTATAGAGGATAATCTGGGATTGGTTTTGTTCGGCTCAATACTTCACCGTGTGATTGATAACGAATTCCTGCCACCTTAATAACCAATCGAATGAAAACCTTAATTTATTGCAGCTTAACTTGGCGGTCGCGTTACGATGTTGTGGGTTGCGCGCATGCGTTTACCTTGAGTTCTTATTGGCTTCTTGTGATCTTTCTTTCGCTCTGAGTGACTGTTGTGACTACTTTGAGTCTGGTTGAAAGACAACCAATAAAATTGTTCTTTAGCTTTCAATTTTTTCGTTCCCGAGGCCTTAGAGACATTGTTCTGAGGCCATGCAAAATAGACGAAAATACGATGCGCTCTCCGAGTATATTTTGAATGACTCGTGCTCTCTTTTAACCTTTGATTCAAAGTAATAGGAGAGCCACTAGACAAAGAGCGGCAGGGCGGCCTGGTCTGAACCCTGGTCCGTCTGGTAAGAGAAACACTGGAAAGACGAGAGCAAATGCCCCACCTATCAATCCAAAGGGGAAGCAGGCTAATTCAAAAAAGCCGCAAAAAAAAGGTACCAAAACCACACCAGATAAAAAGAAACAGAAGACAGCTTCCACAGTCGTGGTAAGAGGTGCTTTTAAACATCTCCTAAAACCAATTACTCGGGCTATATTAAATAACTAATAACATCTTTTTCTTCATATTTTTCGTCTATTTTCCAGCGAAAAAATATCGCTCTCCGATCCTAAAATTTAGTTTTATAATCACCTCCCGAGGGCTGATTATAGCATGGTATGACGAACCCTCGTCATGCAGATCATAGCGTGCAAATTTGTGTTATCACATATTTGTAAAGAGGAGCTTCTTTACTGAGGCCAATACAAACGGTTCACACGCATTACTTAAAACTAATAAAAAAAACTATATCGAAAATTGCAATATATTGGTTTTATATGAGGAAGTTATTTTACATTTTAATGGCCACTTAGGTTATAGCTAAATGTTCATACCAGATGTCTCAAGAGGTAATTTGTATAAATAGTGGTTGCATGTGATTCAACCAACTCCTGAACTTCTGAATATCTGTGAAATAACTAGTTACTTGCCTATGTTCAGATACTAAAATGACGAAACAACTCGAGTTACCTTCTTTCATGATCGTTAATTACTTTCAATTCCTTTTATTTAGCCATATAACGTTTAAAAATGCCGTAGTTATCGATAATCATCACTGAAAATATACATTCCCTATTATAAACATTTAATCTAAAAAAATATTTTCCCATTTTCCATTCCACGTTTTCCATTCCCTATTCCCCATTCCCCATTCCCCATTCCCCATTCCCCATTCCCCATTCCCCATTCCCCATTCCCCATTCCCCATTCCCCATTCCTCATTCCCCATTCCCCATTCCCCATTCCTCATTCCCCATTCCTCATTCCCCATTCCCCATTCCCCATTCCCCATTCCTCATTCTCCATTCCCCATTCCCCATTCCCCATTCCTCATTCCCCATTCCTCATTCCCCATTCCTCATTCCCCATTTCCCATTGCCCATTCCCCATTGCCCATTCCCCATTCCCCATTCTCCATTTCCCATTCCCCATTCCCCATTCCCCATTCTCCATTTCCCATTCCCCATTCTCCATTTCCCATTTCCCATTTCCCATTTCCCATTCCCCATTCCCCATTCCCCATTCCCCATTCCCCATTCCCCATTCCCCATTCCCCATTCCCCATTCCCCATTCCCCATTCCCCATTCCCCATTCCCCATTCCCCATTCCCCATTCCCCATTCCCCATTCCCCATTCCCCATTCCCCATTCCCCATTCCCCATTCCCCATTCCCCATTCCCCATTCCCCATTCCCCATTCCCCATTCCCCATTCCCCATTCCCCATTCCCCATTCCCCATTCCCCATTCCCCATTCCCCATTCCCCATTCCCCATTCCCCATTCCCCATTCCCCATTCCCCATTCCCCATTCCCCATTCCTCGTTTAAGTACATCCTATATACCAATATGATACCTACATTGATCTCATGGCAAGTACTTGCACGGTCAAAGTTAGTCAACCCTCAAGGTCACTAGACAACGATTAAAAACAGAACTATGAAACTGAAGATTTTCATTTCATAACACAGATAATTTCTGTGGCTAAATATCCAAGCACATTTTCGCGGCAAATGGAGGCGATTATTAATGAACCACTTAGGTATCATTAATTATTTATCACCTGAGGGCGGGGGAGACTGGATTTTAGCAGGGATCATACGGTTTTTAGGGGGACGGAGAAGGGATCAATCACCGGCAACAGAGTATAAAGAAGGGACAAATGAAAAATGCCTGCCAATAGGGGGGGGAACACTCGAATACTAAAGAGCCCAAGAAGTGGGGGGGGGGGAGGGGAGGGTTTAAAAGGGGGATTTTATGGCGACATAACCAAAATCCTACCACCCAGTCAACCTCCCTTTCCCACTCTCAAGCGACAAATAATGACCGTTCTCTAACTGTAGGTGTTTGATAAATACTGTATTTTTCTAGCAGCAAAGTTTACCAGAGAGTAATACCAGCACTTTACCAAGCCTGACTAATTTATTCAAGAAACCACAGCGTCAACAAGGTATCACTTCACCAACTCGAAATTTTCGGCAACACTACATGAGTCAGTCTTGGGATGAAAATTATATGCAAATTAATCCTCTTCACGACATTATGGAGGAGGAAGAAGAAGACGAATTTTAGATGGAAAAAGAATCCGGCGCTCGATAGATAGGAATTGTTGTAAGTGAATCTAGGTGTTGAACGATCTGTTGTTCAACGATGTGCTAAAGACATTATTCGTACCAAAAGTGTAACGAGTTTTTTTTAACTCGAGAAGTTAGATTGTCATTTCCGTTTTCTTCAATGGACTGTTCTGTTTGTTGTTAATATTTGAAAAAGAAAACAAAGTAAAAAACTTTGGATGAGGCGAAGTTTTCTGCCTGAGAGTACTTGGAAACCTTTTTTTGTTGGGGGGGAAGGGGGGAGGGGTCACGTTTTGCGGAGTGGGAATGTTTGTTTGTTGTAACTTTGAGAAAAATAATGACATAACCCTCTCCTGTTTGCATCTTAATTTTTCGTCGGCGTCATCCCACTATTTGCAAAATATAGCTTCTAATTTAATATTCTCTGACCAGCAAGCGGAAAGTAGAAATGCTGCTTATGCGTATAAAGGTCTAGATGTCTCGACGAAGAAAACATTTATAATTACAATGAGTTGTGACGTTAGCATTTAAGAAAAGATTCGTTTTAATCATTTTGCCTGACATACTAAAACACAAAGCTGGCGTTATCTCTCGATCCAGTTCTCTCAAATTCAAACGCGACCGGAACATAATCTGCCCATGGTGCACCTAACCAATGATAACTAGCTGTTCTATGGGGAAGCCTTGTATGAAACTGATTCGCAAAAATTTGTTGTAGTGCACTTTTGCAATCAATATTTTCGGAATCAATTTAGGACTAGAAAACCATTTCCTATCATGATCATGTGAACGCTGAAAAAAAAAAAGGTCCCATGCTTCGCCATTGATCCAGTTTGCTACTGACAGAAATGATTGCCATAGTTACAAAGGCTCTATGACAATAATCAATCTGAGAGTAAACAGTAACAGGATAGGATCAGAAACTTTCCATTTTTGACGAAAGTGTAAATTCCATTTTAGAAAATATTTTGCTCTATAGGAATAGACCATATGATCTGTTTCCAAAAGCTTGAGACTTGCAAGGAATTGAGACACTAAAAATTCCCGTAAAGAAAGTTGAACTGTCTGTACCTTTCACTAATCGAGTTCACGATTCATACTGTAAATTACGGACAGTGTTTCTTCCGTTCGTATATATAGTCTAAGTCTGAAACGCGCGGGCAAAAAATCCGAGTGAAAACACCCCGAGGTTCCGAAACTTACGATAGGGACCGAGAAAAAGTAATAATAATTATTATATGTCAATCTAGCGGACCATACTGTGAAATATGGTTCGCTAAACTGACTACTCACGGCTCACATACTAAATAAAAAAAATAAATTTAAAATTTATTTCTTTCGTGAGTTATGCGACGTATATTCCGAATAATTGCTCTGCTTCGATAATTCTCATAATATATATATATATCTGCATATACAAATAGCTACAAAATAAATAATTATAATATCTCAGAAAGGAGTTGGTTAACCATTCACTCCAAGAAGAGATCAAAATGCACCTTTTCCCGAAACTATTAAAAATTATGCTGCAAGTAAGTAATGAGTGTAGACAAACTGATCAGCCCAACGGTGTATCATTTCTCATTACTAGTTTACAAGGTGACGTATGAGAGCAAGAGGGGAGAATTCCTGATTAAATCTTGAGAGCTGAGTGGCTAAGACAGCCCACAAGCTCGTGCCTGTTTCCAAAATATCTCTTTTATAAAATCGTAAAGTTCCATGTCAGCCCAGTTTGCTCGTTTTATCTTAGAAATCATTTCCTCACTAACGGAAACGTTCTTGCCTCTAACACCTTCATTGACTCTCAATTCACTGGGGTTCCTTGGTACAACTGGCACGAAAAAGGGCAGTCGCCTTTGTAGAATTTTTAAAGTTAATTGAAAATTTTCCAGCAAACCAACAACAGCGTAATGTTGTAAAATGTTTTTCTTCGCTTTAATGAGCGCGTTAGGCGCGTCGCTCTTGCAAAATCTGTCCGTTCCACAGAAAAAACGTGTCATGACATTACGTCTGCAACCTTGGCTTTGTTTCTCGAAACATTCTTCAATAGTTTCGTTCCATTCGCCGCTGTCAATCATCTGTTGTATTCTATCCTTGGGTCGGTTTGTACTTCGCATGTAAGAGTAATGAGATATAAATCTTGCAACTGGCTCTCGAACTTGATTAATGTAAGTATGAGAACGCAATTCTAGGTCCAAGTTGTTTCTGAAGAAAAAGTGTGCATTAAAAAGCACTTTTCGACTTCCTCTGACTTTACGTTCAATAATCATTGGATATGGTGCAGAGACGCCCTTGTCATAGAAATCTTCTGTTGTTTCTGTCATAAAGTAAGAACAAACGCAGCTTCTAATTAATATCTATGGTCACAACGGACAATAAATAAACCGAAAACCAGCGCCATTAACACAGCCTCAGTATGCATTTTCTGTTAATTATTTTGAATACATTTCCTTAGCTCTTAGATCTTATTGGTTTCTGCAGAAATGTATCTCTATTCTGGTTGGTTGTTGCATGCGACACTAATTTCAGAGGATTTAGATGGGTATCACTGAGTCGTCGCCAACAGAATATACAGGAAAAACTGTAAAAAAATTGACTGCCAATTAGGGGAGATCATAAACATGTTTGAGTGGCTCAGGGGAAGATCAAGTAAATTTTATCGTGATACAATCAAGATTCTCCGACCCCCTTCCCCCCCTCTTTCTACCAGGCGGAAGATAATGAAATAATGACCACAAACTATGACAAGTCATGAACACTTTAAGTAGTTTGCTACAAAAAATACTCACGTTTGGTGTACAGATAATCCATCACGTAACTTAAGAAACCAAACAACGCACCCGTCGTTTCACTTCCGGTCTTAAATATCCTGTTATAAAGAACCACATCAGGTAATATGGGCTTACATGATGCTACCACTGGAAACAGCAACAAACCGTTATTTGCGCCAATGTGCACACTTTGTCCAAGTTCATTTCTTGGCAGTTTGAACTGTCGTAAATTGTCCAACAACCCTTGAGTGTACACATTATAAGCCATAATCCTGGTTACACTTGATTTCCATTCTTTTGGAGGTTTTTCTCGTATTATAGCCAGCGAAGTGTAGAATTTCTTCTGCCATTGCTTAACGTCATATACGGTGACTTCTTCAAGCCAAGATGTAGAATTTTTGTTATAGACGTTATCTTTTTGTTGATCATAAAAATAAGGTGTTATTATGCTAGGTTTGTCCAGTTTTTCAATGATGACCCATCCGCAAAGGAACAAAGTGACAATAAAAAACAACCAGATTTTTTTGATATGTTGCACGAACGTACATTTAATTTCCATAAAATCATATGAAGGAAGCTGACCTTCGTATCACTGTGAGAAGAGAAAAAAACATGTTAAAAGTAAAGAGGAAGTAAATTCTTGCAAGGTACGAAAGAATTAAGGAAGGAACGAAGGAACGAAGAAACGAAGGAACGAAGGAACGAAAGAACGAAGGAACGAAGGAACGAAGGAACGAAGGAACGAAGGAACGAAGGAACGAGGGAACGAAGGAACGAGGGAACGAAGGAACGAAGGAACGTAGAAACGAAGGAACGAAGAAGGAAAGAAGGAATGAAGGAATTTAGTAGCGAAGAAACGAAAGAACAAAGGAACGAAGAAACGAAAGAACAAAGGAACGAAGAGACGAAAGAGCTCACTTAGCTCAGTCATCACTTTCACCATCAGGAGATATTTTAGACTTAGAAAATATTCATTGGGCCATGTAACCCTTCAGATAACTTCAGAGAACATAATTTCAAGCTAACAAATTAAGTTTAAAGTAATTTAACCCCACTTAACTAATTTAACCGTTGTAGAAAGATGTGATTTTTTGAGGTCACGCAATCTAACGTTGCGTGACTTTATAACATAACGCTGTGAAAATCGTCTCCAGGACATTACGACGAACCTTGCGCGGCTGTGCGTTTACAAAATAATTTACAATGAAACTGACTCAACCTTTTTCCCTTCCTTCACGAAGTATGTGATTGAGCGGACCTAGAGAGCAGATATCTCAATAAAATGATGACCCACAATTATCATGGCGAAAGTTTGACGTACAATTTAAAAAATCATGTTTACACATACTTTAATTTAAGAAAAATTATCTATTTTAGAATTGACGGAAAAAATGTCTTTATTAAAGACAGGAAAAAAATATACTTGCCATTGCAGTGAGATTTTCAAACGGTTGTCGTGAAGTTCTCACACTTTTGTTGAGGCGTTCATTGTGTGCTGACTTGAAAAATTTTGCTATGATTCTTGTGGACTACCGAACAAATTGCTGCCCGAAGGCAAATATGGTTGATGTCAAAGCAAGATGATTTGGATCCCTCAACTGAGTTGATAATATAAATTAGCCACCGTAAAGAGTTTCTGAAGCTGACGTTTCATGGATTTAGCCCTTCTTCAGGGCGGATGACGCCAAAGCGAAATGTCCGCTACGGTGGCCAGTTTACATTATTATTTCATTCTCAGTTGATACAACCGAATTATCCAAATACCCCTCACCGTCGCAGCACCACATTTTTTGTTGAAACTATTTTTAGTCTAAGTTAAGCAAGCTTTTCAGTCCTTTACATTTTGCTGTCGCCAAAGGCTGTTAATAAAGAGCTTCTTTACGCATTTCGTAAATTTCATTGAATACAGGATGTTGGCCTTGATCCACTTGAAGATATTACGGTTTGTTCTACGTTTCCGTTTGCGATCAAACGTATTTCTAATATAGTGAAAACTCCTTCAAAATCTAAAACGTCAAGAAAAAATATTCTTAAGTAGTGCTTTGTTGAAGAAACGGCTTTTAAAAACAACCAGAGCTATTTTAGTTTTGTGAATCATTTGAAGGATATGAGAGGTAAATATCACATGCATCTCGTGACTCACTTGATGCACATGTTTGAGATCGTACCAGATTCTTTTGTTCACACGGGATAAGAATACGGTGACCATTGTCTGTTAGGTATCTCGTTCTTTAGTATATGACGATTAAAGAGATTTGGACAGTCGCGGTACTCTATACATTTACTTCAAACTTAACAGCACTCTTAGAAATTGCAGACGAAAGTCTACTTTGTTGGTGTTGTCACTCCGTTCCGATCCTATATCAGAATATCAACAAGAGAAACATACCTTTTAAAAAAAGTGGCGTTCCACTCGTTTGTATTACGTAGAGGATACTCGTCGACGTTTGCGAAAACTTATGTTTCGTCTCCCTTCTCTTGGCAGGATTACTCTGATTGTTCGAGAATAATTGACACAATTACTCGTTGAGTTTTTGCTTCGATCGCCACGCGCTAGTCCGATTGATAACTTGTCTCAGGAAGCATTCATCGAAACCAGTGCTATGTCGACTTATTCCGTTGAAGCAAGGTGTGTTGACCCGACTTTGAGTGTTTTCCCCCTGCTCTTCAGTCTCAAAACGTCTACAACACCAATATAATAAACTGAGTAAATTTACATAAACATTTGTCGGCCGCTCAGGCGTTAATTATTAACAAAAGGCGGACAAATAGTAGGAGAGAAATGATAAGTTTTGAGCTCGGTAAAGAAATAAAAAAGATGTTTCTCGTCTTGTCACGAGCGTAGGACAAAGAAAAAGGAATCGAACTTCTTTCGAAGAAATCTCATCCGCGCGAAATCCGAAGATCTGAGTTCCTAGTTGAGACTCAGAATTTTTTCTTTGTACCATGCTCGTGAAAAGGTGAATATTTTGAAGATATGGAATATTTTAGGACGTTTTTAAATGAAATAGAATTTTCGCGAGAGTTTTTGATGATGATGATGATGATGAGAAAAAAATCGAGAAGTTTCTAGACAGATTTTTTCAGGCATTTATGGTGCATTTGTTCCTAAGCCTAGAGCCGTTTGCTTTTTTTCCCCTTGCAGCAGCGAGGCAGAAAGCCGATTACAGGTACAAGGTCCTGCATGGAACTTTTAATACTAAATTACATAACTAACCTTTCCATGAATGGCAAACTTTTAGCTTGTCTTTTTGTTTTTTTTTGCTTCTAAGTTTCTTTGATAAAGTGAAATTCTACTCTTGTCAATTTCTTTTTTAATCTTTTTCTTGCATGAGAATGAAACAGTTTTACACCCAAACGAGCCCAAATGACGAGGACTGGAGGTAGGCCTAGTAAGGAGCAAGGACTGGTAAGGAATAAAAGCTATGTAACCTGGTCATTTGCTAGGTTGCCTCGCAGTTATAAAACATGGCGGCTTCATGTGGTTTCTTGAGAAAGGCATCTAGTTTTTTATATTTGCGATGCAACTGTAGATCCATTCTTCTTTCCACAAATGTAAGGCCATATTCTAGCGTAACTGGAAGTACAGAGGACGAAAACTTCGAAGAAATGTTGAGGAATTCTAGGTTTGTCAAATTGGGTCGACCTGAAGGAAAAATAGTGGCTGGGAAAATAACGCACATCGTGGACAACGGTGCGAAAAAAGATTTGTATATAGACTTTGGCTGGAAGTTTCACGCGGTTTGTACGGAAGGGAGAAACAGAGCAAGGTATAAACATGATGTTTGCCGTTGAATTTAAAAGAAATGAAAATAATTAATTGAAGGGGTAGGGTGATACCATAATTATAGAATCAATATGTATATTCTCCATACTGTTCTCTTTACATTTCCTTTGATACTGACAAGGAAAAGTTATTTAACTCTTTAACTCCCGAGATCTGATTGTTAATTCTCTCCTCTAGCTGCGACACATTTCCTTGCAAATTAGTAATGAGAATTTGGTGTTAGATTAAGATAACTTCTACCTGATAAGTTTGAATATACTCATCACCTATTTGCAGGATAATGTAAGGATATTATAGGGAGAAGTTTCATGTTGATCACCTCTGGGAGTTAAAGGGTTAACAGTCCAGAATATTCTTAGTTTGTGATCATTTTCTATTATTTTTATGACTTTTAAGTGTAATCCAGCTGTGTTACTGTAAGGAGTAATTAGATGTCACATTTAGCTTAGTGTTTGATTTTTTTTAACTTTCCTTGACTTCATTAAGTGACCAAGGAAAAATATCTCCTCACAAAATCAATAAAATGTCAAGCAGATAAGTGACGAGAACAGAGAAAATATCAATTAGGGGATTATCAGTTGATATAATACCTAATAATATACATGGAAAAATTACTCAGTTCTGATTGGTTAAGATAAATGCAGTTTTCAGGTAATTCAGTGCAGAAGAGAGTTAATTCAGTGCAGAAGAAGGTTAATTCAGTGCAAAGAAAGAAACAAATCAGACAGTCTGATTGGTCAATAATCAAAGAAACTCACATATAGCCAATCAAATGCGAGCCTTGGATGTCACAACAAAATTTGAAAATTTGCGAGCGAAACAATGGCCGGCGTTTTAAGTAGGTTTTCTTTCGCCACTGCAGCTGAAAAACAGCTTAAACAATGAAAACACTGTAAAAGGCGCTGCTTTTTGGTTGTCGGTTTGGAAAAAGTGGTGTTCAGAGAAGGGAATTGCCGAGGAAATCGAAAATTACTTGTTAATTTTTTGAAAGACCACAAATTGCACTCGCCCTATGGGCTCGTGCAATTTTGTTAGTCTTTGAAAAAATTTACTTGTGCTTATTTATTCCAAATTGCACTCGAAATCATGTGATTACCTAATATACAAATTCACCAAATTAACATCATAAGAATTGTATAGAAGATAGTAAGGAGAATTACTGATGAGATCGTGGGAGTGTAAGAGTTAAGAGTTAAATGCCACAGTTCCATTCATAATGCTTTTATGCTTTCTTTTTTGTTTTGTTTTTGTTTCAGTTACTACAATGTGGATGACCTGGTAAGAATAAAACTGATTAAACTGGAAGCTGCAGAACATTTTCTTGGTCAAACCAGACACATAACATTATGCGAGGCTGATGCTACTCTAGAGGGGAAGTTGGATCCACTTTATAGATACAGTGTGTTGGAAAAGGAACTCAATTGATCATTTGTGAAATTCTCCACAATAATTTTTGATGACATTAATGTAACAGTAATATTTTGTGAATCATTTCAATGTTTTCCTATCTTGTTTTTATGTCCTAATGTGGCTGAAATGAATGGTTATGTAGAGACTTGGGTTCCCATCACTTGCCTACAACTGAATAATAACTTCAGGAAAATGATATGAGTAACATAAATATCTTAAATTACCTTTAATTGCAACTGCACAATAAACCTTTACACCCTTACTTAAGTATGCATTCTATTCTATTTACATTTCCTGCAGTACTCACAGCGAGACTTTAACAAACATAAAGTTCTTTAGTCAATAATCATTTCCTTAACTCTCATTATCTAAATGTTTGATTCTAGGATGATACTGAAAGGATAAATTAGATGTTAGTCACTCTTAGGGGTTAAGGGAATTTTTCAGGAAAAATTGCTGTTAAAGTGATGACAATAACTTGTTCTATGAAGATTCCCCTTGGAAAATTGGGAAAAAACCTGAAATGCATAAGAACTGTAAACAAATGGAAGCAACATTAATGCCTCAATTTCCCAGAAGGTGCCATTTTGGCTTATATGATGTCAAACAGTTGCCACTATTATCATTAGACAATAGCTTGTGTTCGCATGAGTCCCATGCAATGAGTTCATTTAGATAAGAGTGGCAATTATGAAGCATGCAGGCCATAAGTCTAAGTGGAAAATATAAGGTTCTGGTATTTTGAGTACAGACCAAGAAAACAAGGTTAGTGAGATATTAATAATTTCTCTGAAGCTTTTGAATTTAGTAGGCTGCACTGTGAAATATGGCCTGTTAAATTGACCAATAATAACACAAATACTTTATGGTTCAGTTTAGTAAAGTACAACAGACTATCAGCTGCAGTGTATGTATTAGCCATGATCAAACCCTCATTCAGTAGAGAGGATGCTTTGTAAAGCAGATTATGTTATATATTAATGTTACTCTTAATAATATTATCAATTAATTTCATTGTCTTTGAAAGTTGTCAATTATGATAAGTTTGTAATAAGCGTGAGACCCAGTTCCATTTTAAAAAAATAAGTTCCCTTTGGGATAAAACTGGCTAAGATTTGGTATTCTGTAGTTTCAAGCAAATTTCTCAAAAATATATAATTATCCTTACTTGGATATAATACCTGCTTTTTGCAACACACTTGCATTAAGGAACTTTCCTTTTTTCACACTAGTACCTTTAACCTTACATTGTTTGTTGATATTTAAAACTTTGAATGATAAATAAAATAACTTAGTTACCAGTAACTGTTCTCTATAATGCATTGCTGCACGCATTTTGGTGCACACCGTAATTTGTGAATAAGCACTCAGGCCCTTATTTAAAATTTCAGCCTAGGGGAGGAGCACTTATTGGAAGGAGGATGCCCCCAATTGAGGAGGGTGCTTATTAATCAATTATTATTCTGTACTGAAGCTTGAAAATTTATAAACAAGGTGGAAATAGAAACAAGTTTGCCTTTCATCCCTGCTATTTGAGAAAGGGAGGAGGAGTGAGGCACTTGTTTGATAAATATGACCTTAGGGGGTGGGCACTTATTCATGGGAAGGTGCTTTTTGGGGGAAGGCCCTTATTAGAGAACATAAGTGCTTATTTTAGGAATGCAGTATATCATTTCAGTGAGGTCACTTCAAATTTTACAAATAAAATGGTTTTTAAACTCATATTTTATACCTAGGAATTGATCCTTTTGGTCAACTTCATGTATCACAAGGCTCTACCAATTACTGAATAGTTTTTCCTTGTAACTGAAGATGGTGTTTTATCAGGTCCACACAGGCCTGATGGTCAAATCGCACTGCTTCGTCAAGTGGTGAAAATCCCCACCTAAAAAGAAATTCACTTCTATTAACAAGCTGCTTGCCATTTGTGCTTTGAAAATTCTTGAAGGAGATAATTTGATAGAAAATGTTTGCCATGAAGCTAATGTGATGCACTAATTTTCAAACTTCTGTTAAATTTTTCCAGGGTGTTAAAATACAGAAAAGAATAAACAGATATAATTTGTATAAGACAATCAAAGATAGGGTTTAAGTCTTTGACATTAGAGGCTCATAACCGCACATGCTTAACAGCAGTTTCTGAAGCACAAAGTGGATAAGAGCACAACCACTCCCCCTTCCCAATTGTTAGGAGAGCCTGATGAAGGGGGTGGGGTGGGGGATGGGGGGTTACCTTATGATGGAGTGGCATACTCCTTTTCGCTTCATGCTAAGGAAAGTGCAGTAAGCTGTGGCTGGGTTGGCCACTTGGCTCCAGTACAAACACAACCTTTATTTCTTTACATGTACAATTTATAGTCAATTTACTACCAAGAAAAGTAAAAGTAAATGAAGAGAATTTAATTCTTGTCCTCCTGTACCTATCTTTTGGATCAACTGGAACCTCACATTTCTCTAGAAGAAATTTGATGACCTCCTGATGGCCTATCAACACAAAAGATTAAGAAAAAAAAAAAAAACAGATTGACAAATGACCAGTATCATGGGTATCATCTAAATATTGCTACCTCATTTCTTCTTGTTGAGAAGGCTTACATGCCCAGCCAAAGACTGTTGTTGTTATTCATTGGGCTTACATAATGATATATTTTTGGAATTTGGAAGATAAAAGAAAAGATCTCAACGTGAAGAATTTTTAAAGTGACCCCTCCAAGTACACAACCCTGTGACTATCCAATAGGGCTTAATTCTACTGATTAGCCATAGACCAGCAGGGAAGAAAATTTTTAGAGCTTCTCTTTATAAGGCTTGGCTGTATCTATAAATTAAACCTCAGTGTGTTTTTCTCCTCAAAAAATATTAATTATCCACTGTATTTTCCTTACCATTTATATATTTTGTACCACTGTTATCTTACAAGTGAAGAAAAAAAAAATCTATAAAGATCTGCTCTACTTGAAAATTATATTCTTTCCCCCTCAATACCTTGAGCAGCGGCAACATGTAAAGCTGTCCTTCCATCGTAGTTTTGCATAGTCATGTCTGTGCCTGACAGATAATATCTAAAACCATTGACAGAGGTAAATTTGAGTTCAATCTAGCTAATGTGCATGTACACATGCATAAGTATAATTAAAATGGTCTCCAAAATGGTACTACCAAGTGCTACTTGTAAAATCAAGCATCTCTTTTCGATTGAATTTTTTTTTTGTCATGTTCTAGTGAATGAATGCATGAAACAATGTTTCTCTCTATATACAGTCATTCTCTATAGCCCTATTTTGATGTTTAAAATTCAGCATTTAACAAAATATCTCCACAAAGTAAAGTTACAAAGATTTTTGCCTTGTACCATCAAATGATGGCTATTTTTGATGTTGAAGTTTAAAATATCAGAATTCAGTCATAAAAAAATAGAATGATTTGACAAATTCACAATATGTGGCATGCTACAAAGTCATGTAATTTTAATCAATAGGACTGTCGTAGTTAACTGAGTGTAATGGCTCTCAAGTAAATGGAGCATAATAAGTATGGATTAACAAAAAGAAGGAGTACAAAAAAAATATAAAATAAGTAAGAATGATAAAGTGTATGTTGTAAGTATAGTGTCTACCTAATTGCAATGGCCATGATATTGGTAAATGTGAATTCATGTAATATGTTGATATTGTATATCATCTTAAAAGGATCATCATTATCATTACTAAATATAAAACTCTAAGCTATCAACATCACCTCCTTAAGGCTGTTACATCTCCATAACTTGCAGCATAAAGAAGAGAAACAACTTTTTCTCCCTGATGATAAAAATTCAACATTCAGTTATTTTCTTTGTACATGAAATTCTACTCAAAAGTGTAAACAGTGATTCCATCAGAAAGTAAAATTATTGTTAGAATTAAATTTCAATCAAATAACCTGAACTAAATAAATACTGTTTAAAATATTAATAAAACTTCCTGATCCTTTAGAATTTGGCACTTACACAGACATGATAGTAGTACATAATATTTTATCAAAGTTTGCTTTTCTTTTTTTAAAATTCAGTTACTCCTTGCCTTTGCAAACTATAGTTTTATCAGAGGACCTAAGTTCAAATTATGAATCATAATTTGATCAAAATGTACCTGTACTTCAGCCTTTCTTCTGCGAGGGTCCAGTTTTCTACCTGATGAAGCACCCTTCAGGTCATAGTTATGGAAATCGAACAAGCTGACAAGTTCCTGCAAAATATATGGCCATCACAGCCTCTAAAGAATCTTTGCCATCAAACTTAGATTGTCAGAGTATTATTCTCAATCAAGACATTAATATCCATTCAATACTCTGTAGATTTATCCTCGTCACTCTTATACATGTAGTTCAATACAATTGTCATCATTGTTCTTAATTGTTATCCTTGACCTAACATCACTGTTATCCTCAACAACACAATTAATCTGTTAATATCATGTAATTACCATCACCATCATCGTCTTTATGTAATTATCATCAGCATTATCTTCACCATCATTGTACTCAACACAATTCTCCTTAACATTGATTGATTAGAGATGAATGCAGAATTTCACACAAAGAGGTCCAAAGGAATTGTGGCAAGAGCACGAGTCCACCCCCTTTTTTGAAATGTAAGGATAGAGGCAGGCTCTCTCTTTCCTCACCCCCATGACACAAAATTCCACCTAGATCACCAGAATCACCTTCACGAAAGCTCTGCACATGGAGCTTTTAATTGTTACGTTAACTCTGCTTCATTATTATCATTACCTTACAAAACTGCATTCCTCTGACACTGTTACCTAGATCATCCAGTGGTGGCGACCAGACCATCATACCACAAACTTTAGGCACAACTATCAAGACTGCACCACTTACACCTGACTTGGCTGGCAAGCCTACCTGAGAAAAAAAAGCAATTGAGAAAATTCAAGAAAATGCTACAAGTCAGATTAGAAGCCAATTAAAGATCTTGTTGGTAAATTTTTTGGATCAGCTGATGTAGCTTTGAAAATCTCAGTGTCTCTACACTGAAATCAGAACGCCATGGAAATATTTCTGAAAATTACAGTTGTGCTAAGGAAACAAGCTACCTGCAGGCAGAAGATAACAAAACTGTAGGCAGTAACTGAAAATAGTTTGTGGTTTTGTGGCTTAAATTGACTTCCATGTTGTCCTAATTCCTGATGAAAAAGGTCATATCACAATTTTTTTGAAAATAAAATATTTCAGGTGTTCAAAGTTTTCTGAATTTAACAGCTAATAAACTAATAAAATATACTCTGTGCATTGACTATTCTCCTTACATGAAAGGCAAATTGTCCAGAGTAATCATACAGTCCACAAGAAAGCATGAGAGACAGCGTATGTTGTACAGTCTGTGAGCTGAATACCTGTAAGAATAAAAACATGTTTTCAACCACTGACAAAGCCACTTTGCTGTATACACTAAAACAAAACATCAGCCACTCCTCTTGATTTTTTATCGAAGTGGCAGAAGTAATTTGGCAATAAGTTTTCAATTTTTTGCTGATAAGACAGTCACCAAGAGCCAGGAGAAAGTGCTAATGTCCCTTGGCACAAATTTCTTGGATGAAAAAAGTTATCAAATGAATTATAAATAATAGCCTAATTAATGAAAAACTTATAATCAATACACAAAGTTCTCATATTTTAAAAATTAACACATAATGATTACTTTTTCACCAGTCAAAGGACAAATTCCTCCATTTGCCAGGGTTGCTGCCATAACACTACCAGCATCACAGTTTGTTTCTGTGGAGCAAGTCTACGAAAAAATTTTGCTGCCATTTGAGTTAATCACAGTTGAAATTCTGGGGAAATTAAGATATCCAGTGTATGACAATAGAAAATAACAAGTTGAGTCTGTAAAATAAATGATACTTACATGAAAGTAAAGTTCAAAAGTATCCATCAGATTTGTGTTAGGTGGAAAAGCCTTCAACAAAAATGAAGAAAATCAAACTGATATCATTTGGCACAGTTAATATCTAGTGACTCTTCCCCATCTTTACAGCATTTGGGATTTGTTATTTATTTCATATTTATTCCTGGTCTTGCTGGTCTTTAAAGTAGAGATCCATGAAAATGGGACCAAGTAACAAGCAGCACAATTTTGCGAGTGTGCTCATGCTTATACTCACAATTCAATGCAACACTAATATTCATTAACCCTTAACACCCAATCATCAGTATTTATATTCTCCATACTGTTTCCTGTACATTTACTAATGTGCTGACAAGGAGAATTTTTCAAACAATTGAGTTTCTTTAGTTGGTGATCATTTCCTTTACTCTCATGACCTTAATGTGTGATTCAGTGGTGATATTGTAAGGAGAAAGTAGATCCTAGTCACTCTTAGGGTGTCAAGGGTTAAGTAGAAAGTAGGCCCTGGCTTAACCTCACCTGACTCTCCAGCTTGTACTATTCATAAGCTCTGATTTAAATTTATAATTGCTATATATATATATATATATATAAATAAATAAATGTGGGGGTAGAGTCTACCTTTTCATAAAGTGCTCAATGCTGTGGTAGCAGAGCTGTGTATATATAAGTGAAAGAATCAAAGAGGACACATCGATTCTGTCTGACGATTCTGTTTGATGAGTGCTTAAGCACGAAACTCAGAGTAACAGAGAATCTATGCGTCCTCTTTGATTCTATATATATATATGATTCTACGATTATTATATATATAATAATAAGTGATTAAAAATAGTCAATTATTTATTATCAATAATTACAATTTGTTTAAACAGATTAGGTTAGTGTTATCAATGATAAAGTTCAGTTTTGTTGTATCAGACAATTTTCAATTTCTCTAAGGTATGTCCAAATTTCTGCCTGGCTGCTGCTCTACAAAGAACTTTACTAAGTTTGTATTCTAACTTTTTAGTGAGCTTGCTGTGTATTTCCATGCATCATGCTTGTTCCACCAACCTTGTGAGCATTCATGTAGTATCCCAGAGCATAGTTTTTGTCAGCAGTTTCACGCTCAGATAAAAAGCTAAAAATATTTAAAATCAATTTATTCACCAAAATCAGTAGTAATGAATTGATAATCATATGAAATACAGCAGATCACAAGAAGTTTACTCAGGTTCAAGCAATGACAGTCATGTGATGTATTGATATTGGTGAGGGAAGTCCCTCGATGTCTATAATAATTATTGATAATAACCTCATGTTAATGTTATCTGCCTCAGTTTTGATAGTTCATGATATCATGCTCAACCTCATCCACTAATTCCTTATCATAACAATTATTATTAATAGTAATAACAATAATTAATTATAATTTTATAATATAGCTTTTCATCACTTCACCTTATAAACCTGTCTCTTTTCACTATTTATTTTCATATTTTTGAGATGACTGGGAAATTTTGTTTTGATTGCAATTTTCTCAGAGGCTTGGGGGAATAATAAAAACAAAAGAAATCAAATTGAGGATGAATAATTAATCTCTGTTGTTTTATTCACCCATTAGCCTCAGAGCCAAGTTTAAATTTTAATATATCAAAAATGGCCTATTGAAACATAATGATATTATTAATAGAGGAATCAATGATAAGTAGTCAGAATGACTAATTATAAAACCATAACAATTTTATCATGGCTGAACAAAGAAACATAACTTACGTAGCATTACTAAATCCAATGTATTCCCCACCAGCTATATGTTTAAATTTTTCCTGAACCTTTAAATATAAAAACAACATATTGTTACAAAATGATGCCTTGTCCTTAGATTATTCATCTGAAAGTAGGCAACACTAGCTATATCAATAGTTAGAGACATAGAAAAAGTCTGAACACTTAAACAAATGGCCCATGTCAGCTGATATCTGAGTTCTGACTAGTTACTTTAACAGTGATTACTCTCACGGATAGATGATCCAGATATGATGCCCAAGAGCCCTCCACCACAACCACAACCCAGTAAGGACTTACTCATGGGCCTGAGATGTTCCATATGGTTTCAAACATGCTATCCCTTAAATTCTCTCTGCAGGTGGACTTGACATTTACATTATTATAAAAACTTAAGTTATTTCAATCAATTAATAGAATCAAGGATAATGTGAATGATACTCACATATTCACATCTGTCTGCCAATGGCCATTCAGGCTGAAAAATCACCACAAAAAAAAAAGTCATAGCAGACACCTTATTTAGAGCCTGAAATTTTTTTGTAAAAGGCACATATCTATGCTTACAAATTATTTATAATTATAACACCTTGTAATTTCAGCCACCAATTCTTACTGTAATTATAACATTACCTTTTGAAGTGCACACAAAACAAGAGCACCAGAATTCAACATTGGATTATGGGGTCGGTCTGCAAAATGCACAAACAAATTGTGGAGTGAACAAAGAGAAAAACATGGCATTACCTATTTCAAACATTTAAGAATAAATATTTACTAGTAATCGAATCATGATAATTATCTTGTGATAATGTTCAGTGTTTTGGTTCACATTGTTATCAGTTGGCTTCACCCTCTAAATTCCAAGATCTGATTGTTAATTCTCGCCTCTCGCTGCAACACCTTTCCTTGTACATGTAAATTGGTTATGATAATTTGGTGTTAGCTCAAGATAACAATTTTTACCTGATAAGTTTGAGTATTCTCATTACCTATTTGATGGATAATTTATAGATAGTATAGGGGGAAGTAACATCTTAATCACTTCTGGGAGTGAAAGGGTAAACAATCTACTGCACTTGTCAACAGTAATGGCACCTGGTTCATGCCTTTGTCATTTGCACATTGTGTCATCCTTTTCGACATGTATTACATCCTCATCTAGACTTTTAAGCATGCATTTTCTACTTAAGAATTTTGCAGAGATCCAATTCAGAGACTTAATTCAAATGTCACCCAGTCTCAGTTTAAATACTAACCTTGGCTATTCAGGTGTAAATAGTTAAATGTTTGACCACTGGGTTCTCGTCCTACATATCTGTGCACCTGGTTCAAAAAAATTAATTTTCAAATGTACAGTTAGAAGCTTATTTAAATGTGAAGAAGGTTTACTTTGAATTCATTAATTCTAAATCAGTTTTAGGAGCAACTTTGTGGCAGACATGGTGACTGGATGGAAGAGAGGTCCAGATTTACCCTTTGGTGTGGTCACTGTCTGGTGTGGTCACTGTCTGGTGTGGTCACTGTCTGGTGTGGTCACTGTCTGGTGTGGTCACTGTCTGGTGTGGTCACTGTCTGGTGTGGTCACTGTCTGGTGTGGTCACTGTCTGGTGTGGTCACTGTCTGGTGTGGTCACTGTCTGGTGTGGTCACTGTCTGGTGTGGTCACTGTCTGGTGTGGTCACTGTCTGGTGTGGTCACTGTCTGGTGTGGTCACTGTCTGGTGTGGTCACTGTCTGGTGTGGTCACTGTCTGGTGTGGTCACTGTCTGGTGTGTTCTGAAGTAAGTCATTTTACTCCCTCAGCACCTACCTCTAATCAGGCCCCAGTCCTTTGAAGGATGGAAAATGAAAAGGGGTGGGCCTAGCTAGGTGTACAAATAGATATTACCCAGAAAGAAACTGACAAATGCTCTTTCCTGAGAGGATGGGGGGGGGGGAATCTGCAATGCCTCAGAATCCCATTCAGAAGACATAGATACACTCACACAATAGTCACTTCATGCTACAGAGGTTGGGTGTGGATATTAAACCCAGCCTATGACAATTACACCATCAAGGCCACTGAGTGCTTACCCTTCATAACACTAAGAGCCTCTACTACATTTGGACTACTCTCACTATATGCTACATGTACATTTATGTATTTATAAACTGTAGATCTCACTTTAATACTGAACAAGTACAAATCTACCAAGAAACCAAATGTGACCACAAATTACTCATTAGAAAAAAATAGTAACTTAAACTTGTTGTTTGTTTTTAAGTAAATTCAGGCTCCATTAATTACTAGTAATAAAAATTATAGTAATAATGATCATGACTTACAGTTACTACTTATGATAATTACTTGACATTCCCATTTTTTTAATCCTGTTCTGAGGGGCAATGAAGTCACTTGTTTTTGAGAATTTTTTATCAAAATGAAGATAGCTGGTGTAGATCAAGTTTTCTACTCACCACTTCTGCTGTTAAGTCCTCCAAAACTATTGGATAGTGAAGACATTTGGATACTGACTGAAGACAAAAGTGTTCTTTGTCATCTCCAATTGAAAATCTTATGAAAGACAAAAGATCTATATATATTTCTCAGTTATCAAAAGAATATTATTAATAATAAACTTCTCTTTCTTCAACCTCATATCTTCTCCTATTACTTACTAATTCTACAAGCGTTGTTATTCCCTAGAAATATAAATCATTCATGAGATCAGGTATAACTATTGGTATTAATTGTCTTCCATAAAATCAGTGTTCCCCTTTTCAGGCAGTGACTGGTTAAAATTTACCATTTTTAGTACCTCCTATTAGTGCCTAAAATTACTTGGAATTCTTGAAAACTCCAAAAGCAAATGGATTAGTCTCCAGGTTTAAAAACTTTAATTTGCCTATCATGCTTAAAATTAGGGAGCACTGCCTTTCAAATTAGTTATCAGTCCTATATTTTAAAATATTATAATCAACATCTACAACCACAGAAACAATTTACTAAAATTTGGAATAAGTTTTGAATGTACAAAACTAGTAAGCTACTGCACCTCTGCCCATCAACTGAACAAACAGCCACGCCCCAGAGGTTAGGATCAAACTTTGCCAACTGTGGGATATAGTCAGCAACCTATGGAAGGAAATTGACAAATTAGTTAGTGATAGGAATCAGTTATTAATTGATAATAAATAACATAAACATTACTGGCAATCAAAGCATGGAGAAGGTGGTTCCTTAGACAGATGATCACACAGCTGCAGGTATTATTGACTTTACTTTTCATTGTGCATGAAAGGGGTTTAACTCAAGGAGACACATTATTACCCAACTTATTCTTATTATTTTATTATTGGCTAAAAAGTGAATTATCAAATTCTTGCTTCACTCAGATTTAAGGTTGGCAGTCTCCCCACAGTAGACAGATGGGGTTCTGTTATAGTCATCCTGAGAGACTATAAGAAGACAAACCTAAGCAAGAGAGGTGCTTGAAAACTTGTGGGAGATTGTATTGACGGTACTGCCAGTATGAGAGAAACCTACTTAATTGATTTAGCTTGACTTCACTGGTCCATTTAAATTTGTGTTTTCAGTTTATCTCTGGTCAAAATAGACCATCACAGTGTTGCAATCAAGGATGCAACATGCCCAAAAAATTACATAAAATCAATACTAATAATGTATTAATACTTAACATAATGGTTTTGACTCAATCATTAGAGTGCCACGTTTGACATAGACATCTGGACATCACTACAAAAGTTAAACTACATCCCTGTATCACCTCTAGTTTTAATGAAGGACATTACTTTATTAGGGTTGTAAAAGTGTTTTAATAATGGAGACCATAAAATATTACCTTTCCTCCACTGTTTGGTTTACATTTGTGATATATTTCCTCGATACGTTTTGTAAACTGACTAAATTCTGGAATCACAAAATCTCCCCGAAGTGCTTTCTCTATTAGGACAATATTCTTTTTGATTGATCTGAAAAGAAATTTAGTAATTTAAGTTAAACTAATTTTAAGTCCATCAAACAGTCTGAGTCATTAAATGTACAGTAAGTGTCATGAATATATCATTGCTGAATCAAACATTAGGTCATGAAATTAAAGGAAATGATTGCCTGCTAAAGAAGAACTTGTCTGATTGTTTTAATCAATTTCTCCTTGCCAATGCTATAGGAAATGTACAAAAGAGATCAGTATGGAGAATACACATACTGATATTAAGGTGCTCAGGGCTAATTTAAAAGTTCCTTTTAGGGGGCTCAGGCCACCAATCTGTTCAAGGGTCATAATTTTAAAATTCATTCTCATCAAGGACCAAACATGTCATGTGTAATTATTGCTCTTTAAAATAAATTTCATCCACAGAATTTTGATTTATCAAAGCCTCCAGTTTGTTTCTCAGTACTTATTTATTAAACCCCAACATTTTCAACCTTCCTGAATTGATAAATTGAGTTGAATTTACTTTTCCCTGGAGATTCAGGAGATCAGGATTCTACCATGTTAAAAAAATATTAATAATCATCATGCAAGTATTCTTCATCAAAAGATTAAAAGTTGAAAAAAAAATGTTAAATCAATACCTTCTGAATGTTGTCTCATCCACAAATCCTTCAAAATTTTCTTGTTGTAAATACTGTGCAAAGTTTGCCATTGTTTCTTGTAGCCTTCGATCCTTGACTCTAAAACCAGCTTCTTTCAGAGCCTTAAAAAAAGAAATTCAATGTATGAGACATTCTGTTTTTTTTTTTTTACATAATTTAAAATGTATATCAGCTTGTGATCTATGCTGTTTCTTCTTAGACAAAGGTTTTGAAGAAAATTAATCTCAGAGAAAAGAAAATGAAAAGTGTTACATATTGCAAGCACCTGCATCCAGGAAAATACATACTTTACAATAAAACTTACAGCTATGAACTTTGCTACAGAAACATTTCCATCTTCATTTTTGAAGGTTTGGTATATCACATCTCCATCTGAAACACTAATTAAAAACAAAAAAATTCCTTTTTTAGAGTTTTCATCTCAAATTTTTATACAAATTAGGGTGGAAGACCTATCAACCCCTCTTGATTCAATTGGACATTTTTGGCTGTTTTATTAGCAGCATTACGGGGGCTTAAGGAGGGGTGCTATGTATATAGTCTCCCTTCCCCTCCTGCAGTTATATTAGAATTAAACTATTGTTTGTCCCTAAAATGTAAAACCAAAGATGTGTTAACTCTACAGTGTTTGGACACTGTGGGGTTGGATACATTGACCAAAAAAAAAAACCCTTCATATCAGCTTGCCAAACCAAAATTAAAGAGATCAGAGAGTGATTTTCATCTAGATCCCCAAAAAATAAAGAGCAATTATCAAATATCTGAGAAATGAAACCAAATATAATCTATCACTAATATTAGGTTATAATAATATCAATAAACATAAAAACCATTTATGGCAAATTTTAATTTCTGGAATATATTATTAAGTAATTCAATTTAATTAGCAAACTAGTCATGATTATGGGAGATCGAGTATTGACCATAAAGTATCATTACTAGGCCTAGATGCAAATTATACAAGAAGTATACTTTGATTTATACCAAGATTGAAAACCTACTCATTGTAAAATGAACTTATTTAACCGAGACAGCAGGGTATCTAACTTCTCCTTACAGCATCACCTCTGAATCAAATACCAAGGTCAGGAGAAAAAAGGAAATAATCACCACCAAAAGAAGCTCTTGATTGTTTGGCGGATTCCTCTTGATATTATTACAGGAAATTTTTAATGGAAAAGTTGGAGAATAAACGTACTGATAGAGACAGATATTTTTCGTCCTGTCACGAGCGTGGGACAAAGAAAAAATTCTGAGTCCCCATGAGGAATCGAACCTCAGACCTTCGGATTCCACGCTCCGATGCTCTACCACTGAGCCACAGAGACTCTACGGTGAGCGAGGTCCATAACGAAGTTCATATGACACGCGTCCTGCATACTGCTGGGATCATATGATGATTAGATACCAGCTATATATAGGTGAAATTCAGATAGTACGTACTTACTCAGATCAATGAAATTACAGGCCTAAAATAGGGGTAGTCCTTTGATATGGTGAGGTTCCTCTATACGAATACCTTTACAAGAACATTGTAAGTCTACAATCGTTGACAGAAAATGAAAAATATCACCGATTGTATATGATGGTAATTATAAATGGTTAGTGATCAGCATGACAAACCTGTGTGTTCCACTGGCGCTGTTTACATACCGCGACAATGGTCCAAAGAAACACGTACACTTTCGAAATGCCCGCCGAAGATGAAGGCAGCCGTCTATAGCTACAGATCTTTGACACACACGCATAAACATTGTCATGGTCTTCTGATTTTGGTCCTTAACCTTTCAGTCATTGATGTATTCGGGGAAAGATGATCACATATTCTTCCAGGCTCTAAAATTTTAATCACGTTTTGCACGATAAGGACTGGGTCCAACTGGCTATTTCCCGCCTGTTTTTGGTTCGCTGTTATAAAATGGAGAAGTTAAATTCCGACATCGCTTCTCTCGAGAAAATTTTCACGAATTTAAATAATAGTAAACCTGAAAATGTCACAGAGACGAAGTTCTTGACATGTGATACAGAGCACGAGTTTCTGATTTCGTTCATACCATCTAAAACCTATCATCCGCTGCGACGAATTGTCGGTAAGGTATCAACCTCTTTCCTCGTTGTTGGCAAAAGTTTACAAGCTGACTGTAACGACTCTACAAAATCTGCCGGGGATATAACCCCTCAGGTTGCAAGGCTCAAGAACGAAAGAGTTCCTGTGGGAAAACCACTTTCCCAAGAGGTATTTTATCTTACAGGCAGCGAGCCATTGCAATCTTATGCCGGCGTGAGCAAGTACAACAATCACGATTCGAGAGGTTGTACAACTGAATGGTTCTTGTCAGTGGAAAATGTACATCCGTGTTCACTCGAAGCCGCCAGGTACTTCCTCTCCGTCTATGCAAATGCTTTGAGAGGTTCTCTGCGACCTACTGAAGTGTGGATTTGCGTGGATGGTACATGTAAGAATCCACAAGGCATAATTTACCTTGGAATGATCCCTGAAAATGGAACTGTCGGTAGAAAAACCGTGAGACACGTAATTTGTACCAGCAAGAATGAGCCGATTACAACTAGAGAAGATCTGCCAGAGCTCAGCTCCTTCCTACATCATCATCTGTCATCCAGTTTGTCGACAACCTTTGTTGAAACCCATGGCTATGCACTGTATGAAGTCATGGGCGCATCAAATTTTAGCGCACAAGATGGGGAAAACAGTCGAATTACAGTTGAGTTAACATGGAGTGGTGTCAGTTCTCTTCTCCAGTCTCATCCTCATTCCTGCGATGGTGTTCTCCATGTAAGGAACATTCCAGGCAGTGTCCATCTTGCAACACACTCACTGTACCTAGAATTGGTACGAGTGGATGCTTTCTTTAAGATATTAGGAGAAGAGGATTATCCTTGGCCACCACTTGCAGCTGTCAGTGAAAAAACAGTTGTTTCACAAATGGATGGATTCTTCACCAAGCTTAACTCCAGTAATGTGTTTCCACCAGTGGTCGATGATGAGGAGAGTAAGGAGGATGCAAATGATTGTACCTTTGCCGAGGGGTCAATGGCCCACCTGACCTTTCAAGAATTTGCTCGAAAGGATTTGGATTTTACTGAGAGACTTTGGCTTCTGCTGAAGGATTGCGTTGATGAAGATGATCTTGCTGGTTCATTGCAAATGTGTTGTATGGCTCTGTTCAATAACAAATGTCAACCTGTTGTCCACAGTTCCAACATGACTTCATTAGCAGTTTTTATTAGGGATTTGTTGCAGTTTGAAACTAAAGAACAGCTGGAGAAACTTCAAACTAGGGCCAAGAAATTCCTATCTCCTGATTCAGCCATCAAATGCCTAGTAGAAATTGGCTGTGAAAAACTTGCAAGGGACTATAGCCAATATTTTATTCAACAGGAACTTGCCACCATGGGGCAACTGGCAAATTATCTAGACAACAATGCCCCACTGGGCACCCGGGTTTCTCACATCATAAAGCTTCATCAAATACTAGAGCTGGTTGTCACTGCCAAATCAGTAACCAGACTTGGTCATGAAAATATGAGATCCTTGACCCAAAGTGCTTTGATGTATTATCAGACACATGCAGACTCTGATAACCAGCATCCCACATTCTCGTTGTCACTGCCAGCATTCGGATCCACTTCAGGAGCAGCTGTGAAAAGCATCTGCTCGTCATCCAATCCTGCAGTTTGGTGTGTTTCCTTTAGGTCAAAAACAAAGACTGGAGATCACACCACAATGGTGCAATTAAGCACAAGTCACCCAGGCAGGGGAATTTCTGCAAGCCCTGGGTATAATGTCACTGAATTGAATGATGAAGACTTTGATTCAGACAAGGAGAAATTTCAGTATTTTCTGACCTGTGCTAAGCAGGTGACAATGCCAGTTGTATAGCAACCCTGTATAGTGGAAAAAATTGAACAGATTGTGCACTCTCAGAAGGAGATGTTAAACAGAATTAAAGAACATTTTGTCAGAATATTCTTTGGTATGCTCCTGAAGTAAAAGAGTTAAAGTTTATGTAATTTGAAATTGTTGTAGCTGGAACAATTGCAAGCATTAGAGTTTCCTATTTTGCCTGTCAACTCCCTTCATCTGTACATTAATTTACTTCAAACTTCTACATATCTTCTTTGTCAATAAGTTTTAAGATAGTTTAGTTTTATACCCATAAGAGACTAAGACTCATTACCTATTGGGAGGATAATATTTTGAAATCATAGATTGATAACTTCTGGGGTTAAGTTTTTTTCCAATGGCTTTGAACATTATTGGATTACAGTGGTAGATCAAGGGGAGGGGCCCAGGCCCCCCTTACACCCCCCCCCCCCTGGGTAAAAGAAAAGAATCACAGAGGGAAGAAAAGCTGGCAGGGCAAGCAACAAAAAACCAGGCTTTCCTTCCCCCCCCCACCCCCCCAAGGTCTGGATCCACCACTGAATTATCAGATGATATGAAAGAAAATTTAGATGCCATATCACCTTTATGATTAAAATTGCATTTGAAAAGTTTTTGTTCAAACTGAATAATGTATGGAAATTGGAAACAGAAGTGACAAAAAAATCACTTTTTGTAGTTGAAGATTTGCAAATGAAAATAATTTTTGTTTCTGATATAGGCTTGTTAGAAACTTTTGCTGGTTATGTGTTCTTGAACTGTTCTTTATTATGTAATGACTCAAGACTACCTTGATAAAGTAATTGAAATATTTGATTATGCAGTAAGTATATGAGATTTTAAAGCCAAGTAACGAGTGTGAGAATTACAATGTTTTGCCTGAGCTTTGGGTGATAGATGTACAGTTAAAAGGTGTTGAATTGGCAGAATATTGGTAAATAAATGAAAAAACAAGCTGATGTTTGGTTTCTGAGGGAATCAGTCTTTTGAACTATTAAATCATGTACCCTGTATGTGGGATAAATTTGCGAGGGGAGAGAATGACTATGAGGGGAGGTTGGAGCCCATTCTCAGGACTTCATTGTAAAATTGTTAATTCATTAAGTTAAGGAAATTTTACATTAGTCAGGGAAAACTCAAGGGATTTCAAAAACCTATGACTAAGGCAATCTTTTAAAGAGTTTGAAATATTCCTCATAGGGCTGAAGGATTTTCCTTGCCTTTTTCTCCCTGTTCTCAAAAAGTCCTGGAATGTGCACAATCCTACTTTTTGTAGTCCAGTCCAGCAGTATATTGCGACAATGAGCTTTTGGGCAAAACCATACTCCCCCTCCCGTCCCCTCTTTGACTATGCTTCTATTGAGCTAAAAATAGTGTTGTACGCTTCGCCTCACTTCAAGTGCTTTGTCCGTCGGCTTTATCATGACGCATCAAATGAAACTGCGAGGAAATCCCATTAAAAGATCGGCAAGTTACAATGGATTTTCGCTTGCTCTTCCTAGTAACATCGACGAACTGAAAATTGTAGATAGTTCATCCGACTCTTCGGCATACTTAATGGAATGGAGCCCAGTTGTTCGAAAACAAGTCGGCTGCCCATCGCTGATAAGATCACCGAATCATGTGCTTGATTGCTCAGTTTCAAACGAATTTAGAGATATAATTAAGGGCGTAAAAAATACTGACATAAGTTTGACTGAGCTTAGCGATGCATCAAGTGGAAGCGACGTTTGGCAAGAAGAATTAATTCTTCGTTTGAGACGACAGGAAGCTGCCATTGAGAAAGATAAAGCAAGGCTTGAGGAAGAAATAAAGACCCTTCAGTTGAAGTTGGAATTAGAGGAGGATCTGCGACGCAATGATAAAGAATGCATGGATATTCTCAGAAGCCACATCTCAAAGCTTGAAGGAAAACTACAGAGCAGCGAGAAGAAGATAAGAGAGTTAGAACACGAAAAGCAACGGCTAGAGGTCAACTCTGCAGTGTTACCCGCAACAAAGCCGGGGGAATTTACACTATTGAAAGCGCGCCTGGATGCGAGTGCAGCCACTATTCATGCCCTTGAGGCGGATTTAAAAAGGATAAAGGGCGAAAAAGCCACACTTGAGGGGCAAGGAAAGGAATATCAAGACATGCTGATAAAACTTGAGCATCAGTTGCGAAGTGCAAATAAGGAACTCCAACGTCGGGAGAATCGAGTAAACGAGCTTGTCGAAGAGAGAAGATCTCTGGAGGAATTTCAGTTAAAAGCACGCAGCTTACAAAGGAAAGATCAGAAATCTTCTTATGCTTTGCAAATTCAAATTGTTAACCTGCAAGAAAAACTCGAGATGTCAAGCAGGACTAATGATGAGTTGAAAAGCGACAAGGAGAAGTTGGAAGCTAAAATCAAACAACTTGAGTATAAGGTGAAAGAATTAGAGGGTAGCTATCGATCCAAACTCGAGCAGACTATGGAAAGATTAAAACGGCAGAAGTCACATACGGAAGGTAATCCCCTCAAGGCAGTAAACGGATGTTTACAGCGTGTTCATCAACCATCTTCCAGCGAAAACTCGGCCGACAGCCAGAAACTAAAACAGCAGTGTGGTGCTGAGGTCAAAGTGTCAACGCAACGAAAGCTCATTTGTACCCTGCTCATGGAGTTGAACAAGCAAATGGAGGAAAATGCTTGTAAAGATATTGAATTAGCCCCCTTAGAGGTAACTCTAAAAGAATTTCTGGATAAGATTTCCAACAATGTTACAGAGGCACTACGGGAGACCAAATTTAATGGGAAGCCCTTGCAACTGGTCACAGTGGCTAAGGAACCCTCCAAAGAGGAGTTTGTATGTGAGAAATCACCCAATGGAGTAAGTCAATTTTTATAGCTTTAGGTGCTTTTTCATGTGAGATATTTTAGCCCCCAATATCTCTTTAGTAATTCTCCTTACTGCCAACTATACCTTTCTTGTGTTGTTTGTTAGTAGAACTTGGTATTGGATCAACTAATAATCCCCCAATTTACTTTTTTGGCGTTAGATTTTGTGTAATGTCGCGTGACTTTGATGTAAACAAACTGTGAAAGTTCGGACGTTGAGCCATCCACCCAATACCTTAGTACAAACTTCGGCTTTGGCATTTAGTTGTTAATGATTTTCACAGGGATTCGTGGGCATCAATCTCCTATCAGACATTGTTTTTATTTGACAATCTATGTACTTGATGCCCAAAAATTACGTAATCGGATATCATTGAACAGAACGCAGAACTAGTTTGATTATTCCATGCCGAAATGCTTCCTGGCACAGAATTTCAATGTGTACCTAGGTGTTTGTCTATGCAAGGGCAAGAAACATAGGGCCAGAAGAGATGAAAATACCTCAATTGAAATCTGTGCTATATAAGTTGATAGATAAATTTTCAAGTTATGGCAGCACTGTTTTGAGTTTGACACTTTCATTTTCAGATTAATGGAAGTAAAGAAAGTAGTGAAGAAAGGTAAGCTTTACCTCCCTTTCATGAATGTTCTCTGCTACAAACAGTTCATTGTTGTTGTTTGTCTAGCTCAGCTAGTGATTTTGTGTGCCCATAATGAAAACAAAGCATAGAACTGAGAGAAGGAAAGAAATGAGGAAATTTTACACTTTTTAAGGGAATTTTTCTTCAATCAGATTCTCATAACTACATTCAACCCCAATTATCCAAACTCATGGGGATTGGACCAAATATCCTGGATAATCGAAAGTCCAGAAAATAAAAGATATGAATATTAATAAACCAAAATTAAAACTGAATTATTCAATTTATATTTAAGAATTAAAGTATGTTCTTAAATCATAGTGCTTCATATTTAACATTTTCCAATAGCATCTGAAAAACATTTTTAAAGCCATCTAAAAATGTTTTACATCAACCTGAAATACTGACAAAAATCAGTTTGTTTCAAGCTGCTATAGGGTGTGTGGGCAGCTAATTTTCTCATTCTTTGAAGCTACATTAGTGGAATAACATCAACATTGTTCTTTCCATCTAAAACAAACACTTCCCAAAACATTCTACAGCTTCAGAAAGTGGAACAAATCAGTTCCAAATGGAGCTTCACAAAATGTGCTTTAATTGGTGGAAAAAAACGTTGTTACTTATCTGGAATCTTACTAATTGATGTGATTATATCTTCATTTTGACAGTGCTTTGAAAGCTCCTCTATTTATGGTACAGAAAGTTACAAGAGAAAAATTTACAACATATCGCCCAGATCTGTGGGAAAAAAGACAAAGTGCATTGAAGCCCAACAGTCATTCAAGACCAAGAAAGAAAATTCCAGTTAAAGAGGTTGAACAGGAGAAATAAGTATTATTTTACAGCCAGACTTATAAAGCTGCTTTTGTAGAAGTGGAATGCAGTTGCTTCCAATATATCCACTAGTTGGAAACGAACCATGTCAATTTGAACCAAACAAATATCATGCTTAACTAGTGAAAGCCATTGCCTGAAAAAGATCAGCACTCTGCAGTTGAAGTTTAAAGGATCTACATCAGAATTGGCAATATCGCGAGACAAACACTTCTTTTATTTTCGTTGTTATTCTATGCTTTTGCTCAGAGTTTTTCCAAACTCTCGTTATAATTCATTATAAAAAGGAATGTCATTTAATAATGATAGTTTGTTCAAATTAAGAATATTTTATAGTTTCACTGGAGTTCTAGATAACTTACTGGGTTGTTATAATTTGATCAGATTTGAAAATTTTGAACAATGCAATCTGATGTTGTCCATTATATTATCAGGTGTGAACAATGTTTGAGTAAGGCAAGTCTTTTTATTAAACCATCTGTTCCATATTAAATTGAAACAAACATTTGCCTTTGACAGCTCAATGATTAGGTTTGGTCATTTTAAGCCTTTGATCCTGATTTTTGTGGTTTTAGCAAGTGTTCCTTCAAATGAAAGCCCAGGCGTTAATTAGATCTTTTTGTTTAGTATGACAAAGTGTAAAACTACATTGATGATCTGTACATACTGATAGCAAAGATGTATATATATAAATATATATTTACAGTAAACAAGGTTGTCATCTAATGCTTTCAGTATAGTTTGCACTGGAACCCAGTGACACATATAGCCAAGTGCTATTCAGCTGTTCACTTGGAGTTCATCTCCTTTCCTCCCTCCCACCATCTCCTCATAGGATGCTGTGTTATTCAAAATCATGCCCCTGCAAAGTGATGACCCTTTAACTTCCATGAGTGACCAAGACAGAGTTTCTCCTGATAATATCAATACAAAATAAAGCTGACAAGTGATGAGAATTGAGAAAAATATCAATTAGGGGATAATTAGCTGATCCAATACCAAACTCTCAGAACTAACATCAAGACAATTTTATTGCAAACAAGAAGGATAACTACTAATGAGAAGGATAATTACTAATGAGATCTTGGGATTGAAAGGGTAAAATCTTTCCTACTTACAGTTTCCTGTACCTATCTGTAACCATAAATTGGCCAGTTTCAAGCATCAGGCCTTTATCAGAAACTTTATTTAGAGTTTAATAGAAACTCGCCCCCTTTTTTATTCATGTTGAAAGGGCCAAATTGATGTAGTTCTCAAAGTTGTTGACACTAGATCAAAATGTTTGGGCTTAATTTCTAACCAGAGATAGTGTTGGGTTCTTGGAGCAGTGGTCTGAATATTTATCTCTACAATTTTTTATGACTCATTTGACTGATAATTTCTTTCAAACGTGATCATAAACATGGCTTTCACTGTATAGCAGAATAATTGAAAGTGTTAGTGGCTTTTAAAGGGAATTCACACAGAGTAAGGAACATTGTACCAAGTAACGAAGTTGGCAATAAAGGAGTTATGTTTACTGTAAACCAGAGCCTTCAATAAAACATCTTTAACACCTTAACTTTAGTCTGATCTCAGTCTACCCAAGAAAAGTTTTCAAGTCTCACTTAGGCCTTATTTGCAGAGTTGTAGAGTTTACTGGGTGGTTAACCCTTTAATCCCTTAGAGTGATTAACATCTAATTTCTCCTTTCAATATCACCCCTGAATCAAACATTAAGGTCATGAGAATAAAGGAAATGATGATCAACTGAAGAAACTCTTGATTGTTAAACAAATGCTCCTTACCAGCACATTAGGAAATGTATAGAGAATAGTGAGAAGAGTATGCATACTGATGTTAGGGTGTAAAGGGTTAATGATTCCCACCCCCCTTCCTACCCAGCCTCCTTTTTTCAAAGTACCTGGAATTCGGGTTTCTGGCTGAACTGTGCAATTTTCCCGTCATGGGGGTACAATTCTGTCAAAGGGTTGGCTGGACACAGCAGACATCCTTGGATGAACAAGATACCCTACTTCCATTTTAAGAGAGAATTAACAATGAATGACTGTAAACTCATTTTAATCTACGGCAACTCAAGCCAAATTACACTGTACTAAGAGACATTGATATCTGAGATTTCTGTTGATTGTCTAATTGAAACTTATGAACTCTAGATGCATTAAAATAGTCTTAACTCTCTAGTAATTGGCTCATCAAACCCTTAACAGCAATCTAATTAAGTATCATTGATAACAATATTATATTACCCCAATGTAAGAATTCCTTTTCTATAAGTTAAATCCATATCAAGTGAGCAGAGAAATTACAGTGTGAACAATGAAGAAATGATCAAACAATTTATGTAGAGGAATAATAAATTACCCACACATTTTCATGTTATTATAAATCGATTAGTGCTCTATTACAAACACTACAGTGTGATTGGATGCACTACTTTCTATTTATTATTTTTTTTAACCCTTTAACTCCCCGAAGTGATTAACAAAGAACTTCTCTCTATGATATCCTTACATCATCCTGCAAACAGGTATTGAGAAGACTCCAACATATCAGGTGGAAGTTATCTTGATCTAACACTAAATTCTCACAACTGATTTACAAAGAGATGTGTAGCAGCTAAAGGGAGAATTAAAGTGCTAATACAGTTAACATTAGATCATGAGTAAAACCAATCAAAGCGTGTGTATATTCTAGTTTACTATATTATCTGTGATATTATTAGCCTCATGAAGTGAGGTTTTAAACAAAATAAAACAAAATCATAGGCATTTCTTGATGCTGAGTATTGAACATCTAGTAAAATGATACTAAAACAATTATATTATTTGCTCTTGGTTCCCATACATAAAAATTAATGGAGGCTATGCCCTTAGCAACCATCACCAACCAGAAATCCCACGCTTATGTTATAATTGTTGAATAGTAACAAATGAATTATAAGCCACTTAGTGCCTGCTGGGTTAGCAAATGATCAACCCAATATTTTACAATATCATACAGTCATGTAATATGAATTATAATTATATCACTTAATACATATCAAGTCGACATATAATCATCCACATATCCTTTAACCCTTTAACTCCCACGGGTGACCAAGACAGAATTTCTCCATACAATATTGATACAATATCGACCAGATAAGAGACGAGAATAAAGAAAAATATCAATTTGGGGATACCTAGTTGATCCAGTACTAAATTCTCTGAACTAACTTTATAAGAATTGTATGTTTGACAGTAAGGAGAATTACAAATTTGATCTGGGAGTTAAAAGGTTAACACAAATAAAGTGGCATTTAATTCATGTTATATCATTGCAAAAGATGTGGGTGACTAATATATGCTTCTTAACATAAATAATAAACTAAGAAAAAAATTGATATGGTGCTTAAACCATGGACTCTTCCTTGTCCACTTTGCAACCCATATTCTTTCAAGGTTTTCATTTGACTTTTGTACTCTCTTTACAAACTGAGGCCTAAAAGAGGAGTGCCTCTAGTTTAAGGGTGCTCTCTATAACTAGGGATCTGGCTGGGCCTAACTTTGAAATTCAAAAATAAATAAAGAGATATCTCTATTTATGTTAAAAAATTCATGAGAAAAGTGGAGGAAAATTCAGAAGTAGTAATGATGGTGATTACTTGGAATTTGATCATGAGGTAAATTGGCATAGCTAGTCAGCTTTGACCAACAATAAATACACCAGGATGTGTACCTCAAAATGTTACAACACCACCAAGTTTCTGCACTGACTTCTTTCCCTCCCAGGTGTGACTGCTCTTGGCAAATAAAGGAGATGATCAATTGAGAAATTCTGCCTTGATAAAATGCTAAATTCTCAGTCAACATTTATTTCAGATCTTGGGAATGAAAAGTTAATCCACTTCTGGCAAAATTTTATAGCTTAGTATCGTATGCTTACACAGCTTGAAAAAACCCAAACACTCTTTGGTGCTCTCATCAAACAAAGTTCATATTAGTTCTACACATAGGTCCATGCAATTTGTGGATTGTGCTGCTTCAAATTGTCCCAACTTCCCATCCTTGATTTGATCTGAGTTAGTCCATCTTCAGGTTGACATATATGTATCTTATAAACTTTAAGGAGGCAAAGAAAGCCACAGTGCTGAGCATCAGGAAGAACACATAGCATGTCAGCAGCGTGTATCCAAAAAACTGTACAGACTGAAGCATTCCGGACATGTTGGATCTCTTGTAGTAGTAAAACATAGCATAACCAAACACAAAAATAGATGTGGACCTAAAAGAAACAAGTAAAGGAAACTTAAGAATGGTCTGACTCACAGAGGACATTAAAACAACTCATTGCAACAACACAAAACATGACAAATTAAGAAGTATCTCAACATAACAAACAGTTAAGTACTTAACATAAAGTAAAAAACACTTGAGATTTTTCAAATGCATGTTTCTGTCAATAAGTTTCAGGACAACACAGGTCACAGATTCACATAGAACTTTGTATAGATATTTTATACAAATCCTCCAAAAAAAAAAATGGTCTGGAATCTGCTAATTCCTGTGCCTTCTATACCTTGTGTCCCAAAATTTCTTCATTTTTATACTTTTTTAACCTCTAAAAATCATGCTTCTCAAACCTTTTCCCCTTTATCATGAGCACTGCAGGCAGTGCATGTCTAAATAAGCATTAGAAACCTTTGAGGAGTCTTGGTAGGGATGATGGGTAGGTGGGTCTGTAGCAGAAAGGACTTGCATGGCTTGCTGCTGCACCTTTCATGGTGTTCTATACCTCTGAGTTATTGATAGAAAATAGTAGTAATAGAACACGTATCTGCAAAAAAGTTTTAAAATCATGCAACAAATTGCCTCACCCTCCACACATAAGTGAACGCCACCACCAGCGATAGTCTTCACTTGAAAGCTGAAAGTATGTCAGAGCGATGGAGATACAGGCTGTGACATTCAGAAGGATAACAAACACTATGAAAAGGATTCCATACAAGGTGTACTGTTCACGGCCCCACAGTGTGGCAAAGATGTAGTACAGCTCCACAGAGATTGCACTGCAAAGAAAGTTTCCACAATAATATTATTAATAATTCATGTTGAATCAGGTGTGGCCTCCTCTCACCATAGTACCTAAACACGCTCTCAGGAGTGTGTAATGAGGAGGAATTACCTGCGCTTCATGCGCTGTAGATCCAAGCATGCAATAAAAAGAGTACTTGCAAGTTTTTGCCATTAGATTTATCTCGTGTTATTCACACAAATGCAATATATGAGTGAAATTTTGTTTCACTCAACTTTCCGCAAGCCTGATAAAAAAATTCCTGCTTCTATGAGAAATTAATATTCATTGTGCAGATTTTGAAGGATCACAAAAGCTAAGGTAAAGTTAAAAGTGATACTGTATGTAGTAAGGTACACTTTCTTTTAAGCTCAAACATCCAGAGCTTAAAAGAAAGTGTACCTTACTAAATAAACCTTGCTGATATTACACTCTTTGGGCTTTAGGCCAAAACAAGCACAGAACAAGAAGCATATCATTTTGGGTACCACATTGTTTTATTATCTTAACCCTTTGACCCCTAAGACTGATTGGCATCTAACTTCTCCTTACAATATCACCCCTGAATTCAATATTAAGGTAACAAGAATTAAGACAATGATCACCAACTAAAGAAGCTCTTGATTATTTAACAAGTTCTCCTTGTGAGCAACTTAGGAAACATGTAGAGAACAGTATGGAGAATATGCATTCTGATTTTAGGGAGTAAAGGGCTAGCAGTATCACTACAAAAATATGTGCAAAACAAACAAGCAAATAAACAAACAAACCTGAATGGTAAGAAACCCCCTACAACCATCCTCACCAATGTGCTACGATACCTGGAAGAAAGGAAATGATCAAATCTGTAATTCTCCTTACTGTAAACCATACAATTCTTATAATGTTAGTTCAAGGAATTTTGTATTGGATCAATTAATTATCCGCAGATTGATATTTTTCTCTATTCTCAGCACTCATCTGGTTGATATTGTTTTGATATTGTAAGGAGAAATTCTGTCTTGGTCTCTCATGGGAGTTAAAGGGTTAACTATCTACACAAGGAGTAAAACACCATAAGGAATGTAAAAGAGGACAAAAGCTATGTCATAATGTTAGGTTAAATACTTAAGACAGACTTAAGTCCTACAAAATGCTACACCAAAAAAAAAATTTGGATGCAAAGTTACTGGAAGCTCACAAAAAATTCAAAACAAATTTAAGCAAATTATTAAACAAAGAAAACTGTCAAGAAAACTGTAAGAAATAGCAGATAAGCATGATGCAGCTCTTGATGAATCCAATTTGGCTCACATTCACAATTAAGGACAAGCAAGCTAAGGGAAATGATCTTATGGGAAATGGTCCTTACTAAAAAGAATAACTGATTGAAGTGTTACCATGGTATCTGAGGAATCTCTCTTGGAATGTTCTTGGTTCTGCATGGGGCATTGAAGCTTCCTGCCCAGTTCTTGCCAAATATCCCACCGAGAATGGTTAACGGGAAACCAACTTTAAGAAAAGCAATCCAAACATAGAACATTCATCCACAGGTAATTACAAATTTCTAATACATTGAGTAACATTTTAAACAACTAATGCATATTTTTCCATAAAAGTGTAACTATCACAGGGAAAAGCAGTCAAGCTGTCAGTTGAACTGTTTTGATTTGGGAAAACTTGGATCTTAGTTCTTGACAACAAGTCATTGTTTGAAACATCTTCCATGAGAAGCTTTGATCAAGTCAGCCACACTCATAATTTTCATTGGAAACAACTGTAAGCAACAATAAACACAATACATCTATGGTTGACAACAGTGCTGAGAGACCAGGACCTAAAACAAAAGTATGTTTGGTTCCTCTTTCAGACAATTTCCAAACAGACACTTGAAGGACAAGGAAAGTGATCAGAATCAAAATTAAGCAAGGGAAGGAATGGGAAAGAAAGGGTACCCAATCCTGAAGCACTGGCTATTTAACTAGGCAAAGCTGTAGGATAAAAGGGGCAAGTTTCTAAAGAAACTGTGGTGCTTCATTAGTGGAGGAGTATAACAGGTTATTAATTTAGTGTTATCAACTGAGTAACAAATAATGCTCAAAACATCAGCTTTCAAACTCCTTATGGTGGCCAATTTTTGTTATCAACTCAGTTGATAATACAATATTAAAGCTGTATATAATAGTTGTCTTGACCTGGAATAAATGTGACCCTCCATGGGAAAACGGAAACTAACACTTTGCTGTTAAACAGCCTAGAAAAACAGTTTTAAACAGATACTAAATGGCTAACTCAGGCATTTAAACAGTTTCCATAATCGCTTAAACGGATGGCAAAAAATTTAAATGGTTGACCAAAGTCCAAAAACAGATAGCTTAGGCCTTCAAACAATTAATTTGTAATTAATCTTTGATGGCTTATGTGTGTGTGTGTGTTTTTTAAGGCAGGGTACTTTAAGATTTCTGGAAAACACTGCAAGAGTAGAGGGTGGGAACAGACACTGGAAGACAAGGGGCAAGAAGAAAAGGGGGGAAGGGCAAACTTTTTCTAAAGCGTCAGTGTAGAGTGTGCGTGTCTTGAATACGAGAACTAACCAATAAGCCAGATGAGCATCAGGAGAATTATAGTGGTGTATGGAAGAGCTTGCGTGGACTGATAATACCAGGCTGTTGAGTTTATGACACTCCAGATCATAAAGAATGGCACTAAAGGAAAAGAAGTAACAGTAAATTACAATCATGACTTGCTATCTTCAACAGTATGTTTCAATTATCTAAGCAAATTATAAAATTGAATCAAATCACATGACTTAGTTTTGAAACATGTGGACAGTCCATATAAAAAACTTACCTGAAAAAATACTGGTTGTCAAGACAACATTCCACACCCAGTTGGTTCCACCAATTTTTCTATAAAAGTTACTAGATACATAGCCTGAAATGCCTAAAAGAAGAAAAAAATCTTTTGAGTGACCAAATTGATTCCTCTGGCGACTGGAAAAAAATTAATAGTCCCAAATAGAAACCCTTGATGTGACAACAGACTAGATCAAACCCAGGACAATGGTCAGAGGGCAGAATTCTAATCACTACTAACAGTATAACTGCTTTGACTTATACCATAGATTTACCCTAAAAAAGTTTGATGCAAAAAGTTCCTAAAGTTTTGACAAATGCCTTCAATTGATAAAGATATTTTTTTTTTATATTTTGAAGTCATATGTATGAAGGTATGAAGTCATATGTACAGTAGATGTGTGAAGTTCAAGCATCCATCTTTGATATTTGACTAACTTGTGAGTGAGTATAACTAAATAAAATGTAAGAAAACTTTTTAAGTGAAAGAACACTTACAGCAGGTCAGGGCATACAACAAAACACCTGCTGTGTTCATTGATCCATGTCTGAAAGTCAAATCACAAATTTGTTCATCACTGATTTCATTATTTTCAGCATTTAAGAAAGCATCTTCATACAATATTTAAAATCCTAATAGCACATCCAACTAATTTCATCATAACATTCAACAAGAGCTGAGAAATTATATCAAGGACACCGTAAGAGTTCAAAGGAACAAACTGGCAACTTTGTTAACCCTTTAACTCCCAAGATCTGATTTTCAATTCTCCCCTCTAGCTTCTACACATTTCCTTGTAAATTGATTGCAAGAATTTGGTGTTCAATCAAGGTAATAACTTGTACCTAATGAGTTTGAGAATTCTCATTACCTGTTTGCTGTATAATGTATGGATAATATAGGGAGAAGTTACATGGTAATCACTGCTGGTTGTTAAAGGTTTAATGCCTTTCACTCCCAAGATCTCAAGTAATTCTCCTTACTGTCTGGCAAAGAATTCTTATGATTTTAGTTCAGAGAATTTGTTATTAGATCAACTAATGATCCCCTAATAACTTGCCTGCTTGATATTGTATTGACACTGCAAGGAGAAATTCTCTCTTGGTCACTCATGGGAGTTAAAGTGTTAAGTGTGCACGATAAAAATAACCAATTCACAACTGGTTTCACTTTTGTTATTGTATCTCTTGAGAGGGTGGTGCATTCACAGTGTGTAGTGAAGTAAAGGGAAAGCTATCACTCCTACCTGTGAACATTAAACAAGCCCAACAAAGCCAAAAATATGATACCAAAGCAGAGTGTGAGGAACTGGGATCCTGCACCTAAGAGGCAACAGATAAGCTAAATTAAGCATCTCAGTTATGTACATGACCCCACTTCATATGTACATTAAACATGCCCAGGAAGGCCATCATAAGGATGAACACACTCAGCATGATGAATTGAGAGCCAGCACCTAGACAGTCACAAAAAGGTCCCAAAAGCACAAAGTAACTTTCATGACACTTTGAATGAGTGGTTAAGATCTCAGGTTGGTCTATTCAGAGAGGGAATCAAGAAACATAACTTACCAAGGATGGCACAGAGCCAGCTTTTGTATGGTGGAAAACGGAAAACATCTGCATGAATAATCTTCCAACCCACTTCATCATGATCTGCAATAGAATAACATAAACTCACTTTTAAAACAAAGTGATCTTCTCCTATTGCACCAAAGATTTGACCTGTTAATTTCTCTATACAATCTATCCCTTAAATCAAATGTTTAACTCACGAGAATAAAGGAAATGATCAGCAACCAACAAAGCTCTTGATGGTTTAACAAATTCTCCTTGTTAGAATCTAGTAAATGTATAGACAACAGTATGGAGAATATGCATAATGATGTTGGGGTGTAAAAGGTTCAACCAGTTTAAACACTTTTTCTTTTTCATTATTTTATCTTTCTTGTTCACATCTTGAAAATATTATTGATCATGTAATGAAGGTATTTCTACCATTCAAGTTCTGTAGCTTTCATTTGTCTGATTAAAAAAAAAACTGTTAGAAACATTTTCCAGTCTGTTACTGTATCAAGAATACACTGAAAGAATAACCTATCTGCGCACAGCACTAATATGGTAACCTTTAATTTATAATTTATTTGTCATTTTGTGGTTTTGCTTGCATATAGATCCTGATCTTTTAAATGATAAGTACTACAGTCAACACCAAAAAGCTTTTTAATTCAAAGTTCTTTAAGCCTAACAGTAGCTACATGTATAATATTGAGTCCAAAAAGAGAATCTTCAAAGAAAAAAGTATTAACCAAGAGTAACAAAAGTAGTTATAGCTCTTAGGGTTAGCATTGTATTTGACCTTAAATTTACACATGTCTACATGTTGGTGTCCTGTGCAACTCATACAGAAAGGATAAACTGCATGGAGATTTTAAGACAAATGCACCATTTTGCTGTCCGTGTCGTACAACAATCCAAGACCAGGTATGCAAGCCAAGGATCAAATAAAACACGGTCCAAAGAGAAGCAGAGTGAATGTGTTACAAATGTACAAGATCTTTAACTTTAAAACAGGGGTGTAGGTACAGTACTACTCAAAAGTACCGGTAAGTTGACAGTCTTGACTCGAAACTCCATCCTCGATACTTGAATCTATCCAGAATCGAGGATCCAGAATCGAGGATCCAGAATCAAGGCAGGAGTATCAATTATAGATATATGCTTCTCACCTATGTCATCCATTTCTTCATCATCAGATACATTGTACTTTGCAAAGTCACTCTTGAGTACTCGCATCTAATGAAGAGAACAGTCAAGTGATAAGATCAAAATCTCTGAAAGATGATCACGTAATTCATTACATCCACCCTGTAGTATTTTATGGTACACAGTTGCAAGTCACCATGGCAACCCAAAGGATTGCAACTTGCCTGTCATTTTTGCTACCTCTACTGTAATTATAAACCTAAGAAATTCAACATAGTTCTGCTCACCAGGATGATAACTACAAATCCTATCAACAAGAAGACCAGCACTACAGAGTTGATAATTGACAGCCAGTGAATCTGAAAATCAAGTGATTATAATAAACTTATCAAAAAACATTTCCCTTATATTGCATACTTCACTATGCATCAGCTTTCAGTCTCAAGCCTGAAAACTGAGATCTGTGGTGTATGTAGAACCAGCCAAGAATCATTTTGTAATCTGACACAATCAGTGGCTATATATGTCTTGAGCAGATCATTATTTGTAATTAGGTTGTGACAGAGGTAAAAAAAAGGTGAATAAACACAGGGTACAACCCTTACTGTCTACATTTCCTTTATCTAAAACTACATGATGAACTCTCAATGATCTATTCTCTTACCTCCAGGCTCTTTGGAAAAAAGCTTCCAGCCCCTTTGATTTTCAGTCTCTCTGAGTATGGAGAGCTTTTCAACAAAATACAAAACCAGAAATTCTTTAATAAATAAATCAACTTCTGCAAGAAGCTTCACGAAACTAAAAGAACAGTCCACGAAAAATACCCACAAACTGAGTAGACCATGGAGTCAAACAAAGAAAGTGTTCACCCTTTGTGAAATAGTACTGAATGATGTAAAACTTCTCCTCCCATTATCAAAGTAATGATAAATTGAAAAGGAAAAAAGTGATGCAGATATAGAAAAACTTATAATTATTGCCTTAATTTGACACCAAATTCTCACACCAGCACAGCAGAAATGTCCCCTTACCACAAAGAGAATTTGTCTCAATCCACTATTAATCTTTTAAATCCTAAGAGTAGCTAGTATCTAATTTCTCCCTACAATATCACCCCTGAATCACACATTAAGGTTATGAGAATAAAGGAAATGATCATGAACGAAAGAAGCTTTTGATCAATAAACAAATTCTCCTTGTCAGCACCAAAAAAAATGTATTGAGAACAGTATGGAGAATATGCATGCTGATCTTAGGGTGTAAAGAGTTAATACTTACTCAGTTGAGCTCCACAGGACACTGTACGTGAACTCCACATTGTATGGCAACTCAATGTCATCCAGAGCTACTGGTTGATGATTTGCTGTACTTACATTTGCTGAAATAATCTGAAAAAAATATTGAATGAACATGCATCACTATATAAGCGAGACACCTGACACTAATGATTTCTGTGCAAATATGAGCTTACCTGATCCCCATTAAATTCTATATTAAAGTTCAAATGAGCCCAGAGGTAAACTTTGTGAGTGTGAGGCAAGAAGCCTCCTTCTTCCAAGTGACCAATAAAGCCCCGCAGAGGAAGATCATCTGTGGGAGAAAAGAATAATGAAACCAATATCTATTTCATTACTGATTTCTTCTCTGTTATGATTAACTACGATTCTTTGTCAGGAAGTTAAAAAAAAAGAAAAGCAGCCTCACCTAAAACAAATTCAAAGTAATACAAATCTTCAATGGCCTCTTGTAACTGCTGAACTTCTTTTTCCTTGAGTGTAACAGTACAAAGCTTTACATTTTCTTTTTGCTCTAGAGATGAGGAAATTCAAAATGAAACTCAGTTTTGAGCAAAGTTAACCCTTTACACCCTAACATCGGTATGTATAAATGGCTAAGAATATATGAAAGTCATATATTTGAGGGCGTAGATAAAGATGTGAATATAAAAGTGATCCTCGCAGTAATGTACACTACTTGAGCAGTAGTGAAAATAAGGCCTGAAAAAAATTCAGGCTTGTACAGGATTTGAACCCATGACCTCTGCAATACTGGTGCACCAGTTTAGTTGGTGATCATCTCCTTTTTTCTCATAAAACTAATGCTTGATTTAGGAGTGAATCTTATTGCGAGAGGAAGTTAGATGCTAGTCATTTTTAGGGGTTAAAGTGTTAAATCCCATAAACTTGGTGGTTACTGCTGGAGCTCAGCCAAGTTTTCATAGCATAAACCAACAGGAGCCATATTGACTTGTAAATGCTGCACATATATCTGATCATATATCTTGAACCTCATCACTATGATGGGTAGTGAGCATTTTCCATAGTTCAGCAATGTGGCCCACGGGGTAATGATCTCTAACAACCAGCTCTTTAACAAAGTTCCATTCAATTCTGCATTTTTGACAACAATTTTTGACATTGCGTTTTTCACGGCCATCAATCATCTTAATGGACCTATTAGGAAACAACTTTAATGGGTTCAAAAGGTCATGGTTTGTGATTTGTGATTGGTGGATTTCAATCCGTTTTGTGTGTTTCTGTGTTTCAAGGTGCGTTGCTTGTGATCGTAATTATGATTGACGGCAGCAAAAAACACAATTGTGAATGCAGCTTTTGAACTTTAGAGTTTGCATGTTTGTGAAAAGTGCAGTAGAGATCGTCAGGTGCGTTCACCACACTTGGTTGAGCATGAGACGTACATGTGCAGTAGAGCGTGACTGAAACATGACTTTAGAATGAACTTTAAACATGTGATAAAATATACTTTCCACGCACTGTTTTAGCTTGCAATTTCTGTACTAAAATAAAACTCTTTGTGTGTACTTCCTTTTGAGTTTTTCCCCTAAATTTTGAAGGGGACAAATTGTCCACTTACCCACTTTTTTAAGGGACAATTCAAATTGCAGTGTGGGATTGGTGCAATAGTGCGGCCTGGCTCAAACCCTGTCTGATTATGCCCCCATCTGCAGTATTAAATCTTGGAAGGCCTCAATGCGAAGGAAGCACTTACTACTCCTGAATGGTATGCTTTTCCACCTTAAGTTGCCCCTTGCATTTCGCCAGATGTCACTTACTGATAAAGATCGATGCCTTCAAGGCAGTAAATTTGGCCTAACTTGATTGAATCAACCAATTTATCATGCTATTTGAGACAAACCACACTTCCTGCCAAAATTGAATGACGGTTGTGGAGAAACTGACGTTCACTTTTACCACATAGAGTTAAAATTGTGTACCTTTGAAGTTGATTTGATGTAAGGCAACAGCCATTCTGTCGCCATCTAAAACTTCTCCCAACGTTAAACTACGATGCTCTACCTAAATACAACAAGAAAATCTTTAAAATAACAAGAAACAGACTACAGCGCATAACTCTAGAATTTATACTCTTCAGAATGGCTTTACCGACGCTTAATCACGCTTCATATGTTCATCTGTGTTCTATAAAGCACCAGAACTACTCCGATCGTACGCATTTAACAGGCATCTATTGGAAAAAGTAACTCAAACCATGATCTCTATATTAAAGGAAAACAATAATTAATTTCAAAATGTTACCTTTTCAGGTCTACAGACTGGCAGGGAATAGTAATGATACGTCTCTTGTGGGTTGAAGTACGGACCAACTTTGTTTACATACAGTGGAACCTTGAAAACACAGATTACTTTAAAATTTGATTCTTCACAAATTGCGAGACGTAAACTAACTGTATACCTTTTCTCCGCCCTTGTAACTCGCTGCATGGCTGCAAAATGGAGCTGATAAAATACTTAGTATACAGAAGCAGAAAATATTGAGAGTCGCCATGTTGGTACTAAACTTGCAAGGAGACATGGGAGAAAATGAGACGTGGCTACCTCTGCGCCGTTGCCTATGGAAACACGCCGATTTTCAGAGAAATTTGACATTTCGTTTCCATCTTTCATAAATATTCGACTTCTATCGCTGTTCAATTCTGGATCAGTTCTTCCAGATTTTTCTTTCTTTTTTACTCAGTGGTGAGGGGGGGGGAGGGGTGGGGTAGAGGTAGTTATTTCAACTTAGAATATTTTATCCTTCGCCTTAACATTCTTAATGAGGTGAAAGAGGAAACCACTGTTCCATTGAGATGTACCTTTTAAATTGTCTTCAATATTAAATAAAATATATGAAAAAAAAAACACCAAGAAACTGTATCAGGCCCTTTTCTGTTCCAGAATGCTCTAAAATGTCTTTTCCTCGACGTATTTAAATTCAAATAGATGCCTTTTTTATTTGGTAGTCTTCTTGGTCTTCTTGATCCGGAAGATGTGTTCCATGAATAAATAATTCTTCATTTTGATTTGATATGACTTCCTGAGAGGAGTTGGCCTCTCACGAAGCTCTTGGGACTTTAAACGTGTTATTACACCACGTAGAAACTTCCCGTTCACGTGGCAATACATGGCGGAGAGTGAAGGAAGTTTACATTCAAATGCTGTAAAAAAAATGTTCGCAAAGCTCCAAAAGAATTGGTTCTTGATCGGAATCGTTGTTGTTATCTGTCTAGCTAAGTTTGCTCCTTTTATTGGAGCAAAAGGTGGAATTCTTAGACCAGAAATCACCGTCAAATATATAGCTGTTTCAGCCATCTTCTTGAACAGTGGACTGTCCTTGAAGTCAGAAGAGTTGAAAAGCGCTCTTAGCAACGTTAGATTACACCTTTTCGTTCAGGGCTTTACGTTGGCTTTTGTACCTGGCTTTTTTTCGCTGTTAGTGAAGCTTTTAGAGTTAAGCAGCTTGAATGAATGGCTTCTGAAAGGTCTTCTTGTGGTGGGTTGTATGCCTCCGCCTGTATCCTCGGCCGTGATTCTAACAAAGGCTGTCGGTGGAAACGAAGCGGCTGCGATCTTCAACTCAGCATTTGGTAGTTTTCTGGGAATATTCGTCACTCCGTTTTTACTGCTCGTGTTCCTCGGTTCTTCATCTGCGGTTCCTTTTGCATCCATTGTGGGTCAGTTGTCCATGACGGTTGTGTTCCCTTTACTTATTGGTCAGTTTCTTAGAAGATACATCAAAGACTGGATGGAACAAACCAAGCCACCTTTTGGAACGATCAGTAGTTGTGTCCTTCTTCTCATAATCTATACAACATTCTGTGACACATTTTCACATAAGAGTGGCGAGATCGACTCTTCAAGCATATTAGCGGTGGCAGTACTGATAATTTGTCTGCAATGCTGTCTGTTGATGTTGACGTTTTCCTTAGCAACCATGAGAGATTCTCCATTCACCCCAGCAGACACAGTAGCAATCATGTTCTGTTCAACTCACAAGTCTCTCACACTAGGAATTCCTATGCTCAAGATTGTTTTTTCAGGATATAAATATCTTTCCTTGATTTCTATCCCACTCCTCATTTACCATCCAGTACAGATTTTACTTGGAGGTCTCTTGGTTCCGGTAGTGAAAGGATGGATGATCAGTTGTCAGCAGAAGGGGAGAGGTGCTGGAACTGGAACTGTTTAGTGCTTGTGTTACCAAGACCGTAGTTTGCCTTTTCCCTTTTACAAGATGTAAAAGCTTTGTGTACCACAGCCCCAATAAAGCATGCAAGAAATTTTGAGAGAATGAAAGATGAATATGGGTTGCTTGAGACATAACCAAGAGCAACTCAAACTTCTTGTGTACTCTTAATTTCTGGAGGCATTTTTTCCTTAAATAATTATACAACTGATGCATGCCATTTTTACATTTTCAATGCATTATTTTAAATGTTGTATTGAAAGGGTTGCAATGCATGAAATAATTTGCATCAATTTGTAACTAGGAAATAGTACACTATTTAAAAAAAACTGATGTATATGTAAATGATGGGAAGCAAGGGAATTAAAGATACAGATGGGTCAAAAAAAGATATTTAAAAATGATATTGACTTTTTCCATACTGTCTGACAGGTGGGAAAGTTTGGTAAATATTAATATTATTAATATGGGATATTAATATTTTACTCAGACTGCAACTTTCAAGCCTGTATCAAATGTTTCTTTGATAATGAGAGAGTTGCAGAAGTAAAATAAGGAAGTAAATTAAAGGGAATCAGCAAAAGCTCACTTTAAGTTTGTTGTTTGCTTTTTGATGCACAGCCAACAGAAACTGAAAACTGACTTATAGATGCTTGGAATATAAGGAAAACTCTGTTTATAACTCATATTTTAAGCTAGGAAAAATTTACCCTGGCTTCTGACATATTTGGGTGGTCAGATAAAGACATTTGTGAATTAAGTGAGAGGTTCTTGGCAGGGGTTTTAAAAACTTTTTCCATAAGCGGCTGGTGTAATAGGAAGCTCTACTCAGAAAAGGAGGTTTGGTCCTTCTGGGAAGCAAAAGTGTATTAAGAATTATGAGTACTATCTATATTTGGTTTGTAAGGATTTGTTTTTTCTCTCCCCTCCTGACTTTTGGCTTTTGCTTAGATGAAATAACATCTAATGAACATTAAGAAGGAGCAAATGAGAGCACAGGTACTTTTTATTTCTCATTATTTACTGATGAAAGATGAAAGCATCTATAAACTCTACAAATTAACCCTTTTTACTCAAAAGTTCTCATTAGTGATTCTCTGTACTGTCTGCTATACAATTCTTATCATAATGGTGTTAGTTTAGAGAGTTTGGTATTGGATCAACCAATAATCCCCTAACAAATATCTTTATTTATTTTCATCAGTTGTCTACTTGATGTTGTATGACATTTTATGGAAAAAATCCTTCTTGGTCACTCATGAGAGCTAACCACTGGTTAACATTAATGATTTAAATCTGATCTTAATTGGGATATGCTTGGATGGCAGATTTGAAGCTTAAAATTGTCCTTTTCTGTTTCCTTTGAGGAAAATAAAGTAAGATTTTTAATCAGCTTGTTTTGAATTTTTTTGGGTTGTATTTTTTTTCCTTTATCGAACGCAACTCCTCAGAACAACTTGGCGTTTGCGATCTGGATTTTGCGAGGAGAATGGGAAGGATATTTTGCATCATAACGAGGCTAAAACAAACATGGTTGCCGTTGTGCGTACAGATTGAAATAAGGAATGTGTTCCGGAAGACAGAGATAGTTGAATCATGATCTATTAAAATCTCTATGTAAAGGGGTTTGTCTTGTAAGGGCCATTCACAATAATGTCTGTTCCACAGAGATGGCTGAATTGTCCCCGAAAAAGTCAGATTATCGCAGGTTTGTTGGACTAATCGAACTCGCTCTGGTTCGGCAACCTTGTTATCTGTACAGATTTAAGGTTTCTACTAATTGGAACTAGGATCTTCGATTGGAGGATGTCATGGGTTAGCGTTACGAACTTAAGTAGTAACTAAGAAGGTGACAGGTCAAGAAAGGAATCATTTTACAAAGTAGATTACATGAATGTGAACTTCCTCACTTTTACTTACAATGATAATACAATTGTTGCGATTCTGCTTTCCTTTGCATAATTTAAGCTGACAATTCAAGGCCTTCCCTGAAATAATGATTTTATTAAATGCACCTGGTGACATACAGGAATCTAAGAAGAGTTTCTTCTTTTGAGTTCGCAAATTTACACGTCGATTGATTGTTTCGTTTCCGGTCGAAACTGAGAATTTATACCCATATACTTGTGCATGCACACAACATCGATGATTTTTATTAAAACTTGTTACGATAAAACTTTTAAAAATTGTCACTTGGACGAACTTTTGTTTGCAGAAAAGTTTCTTGCCTTTAAAACACCACTGGGGCCGCGCTATGATGACGAAATTCCAGAGGCAAATAGATTTCAGCTGCCTATGTTGTTTGCCTATCTCCAGTCCCTACAGGTTTGTGCACGTGAATTTTCTTGTTATCAACAAGATAGATATTTACTATGTTGGTTGGGAAGGTCAGGGAACAGGGTGATGGTAGAGGAAGGGGGGGGGAGGGGGGTAAGAGTATCAGGGCACAAAGAGCTCTTGCCTCCCCTTCATTTTTATGTTGTACACATTTACCTCATTTTGCTATGACTATTCTCTGTTGCAAGACACTGGTAATTGACAGTTACTAAACATTTCTGTTACTGCACCTCTGTCCCATTTTATGTCTATATGAATGCTACTTTCTCTTCCATCTCCCATACCCATCCCACTCCTATTTTCCCCACACTGCTGTCCCCCTCCCCTTGCATCCCTCAACTCTAGTATTTATGAGGCTAAGTAAATCAGAAGTTATGATATCAAATGATCTAAATAAGGTGGTTGAAGATCTGTTTTTAACCCTTTAACTCCCAGAAGTGATTAACATAAAATGTCTCTCTACAATATTCATACATTCTTCAGCAAACGGGTAATAAGAATATTCAAACTTATCAGGTAGAAGCTACTATCTTGATCTAGCACCACGTTCTCATAACTAATTTAAAAGGAAATGTGTAGCAGCTACAGAGGAGAATTAACAATCAGATCTCGGGAGTTATAGGGTTAAGTATTTCAACATCTTGATTATTTGATAAATATTTATTAAATGTAAAAGTTGGGAATGAATTTACATCAAACTGCAGATAGCCAAAATCGAACTTCCTGTTGTCTTCTCTTAGCCTTTAATTCATCAAACTGATGATATGTGAGAATTTTTTTTCTAGCTCTCTTTAGAGTTTATTTGAGGACTAGAGAAAAGGTGGAAACAAAGAGTTCATTTTGCCGTTTGCCATTGCTGTAAATATCATGCATAAACTCTGTAATGTTCATAAACCCAAACAATTCCATAAGATTTTTCTTTTTTTTTTTTCTCCAGATGAGGTTAGGATTGATCATTGACTTGACAAACACAAATCGTTTTTATGACAAAACAGTTGTGGAACGGACAGGAATCAAACATATCAAGATGCAGTTGAAAGGGTTTGTTCCATCTTTTGTTTGTTGAAATTGATTCACTTGATTTTTAGAATGTTATCTACTTGCATGTAATGTGTGTTGATTACTTTGTAGGCATGGGGAGACGCCCTCAAAAGAGCAAGTTGCTTTATTTATTAGAATGTGTGATCGTTACTTTGATCAAAACCCTGGGGAATTAATAGGTTTGTGGATCATTTTGTTCTTTAGTGCTCAGTTAATGATTATCTCATTCATGGTTTTCCAACTCCCAGAGCAGGCAATAGCTAGATTTAACCTTTTCCTTTACCATTATTGTTATGAGTAATTGTTTTTGTAAATATGAGCTTCTAGAAATCTCCAGACTGCATAGTTATGCTGACATGCATATCATAGAACTTTCCAGAACATTTCATCAAGTCATGCACTTAATACATAATACTTCTAAAATAGCTCTTATGTAAGCTTCTGGAATGTTTCAGAACTCATTGTGAATATATTTAAAGACTAGCTTTTATAGTAGTAGTAGGAGTTGTTGTTGTTGGAGCGATGACTGTTTTGAAAGCTCTATAAAGAGAGAGTTTCTGCAGAAGATCACTTATTTCAAGGAACTTTGGAGACAGCAGTGAGATTGTGTTAGTGGTTAGTTAGGATATAGACTGTGGTGGGCTTAATTAAGTTTATTAATGATAAGTATTTTACTTCTTTTAGGAGTTACTCCTTGCTAAGAATGTTACTCACTGTTTAATAAAATTGTTGAATTTGTAGGATTATGGTGTTTTTCTGTTGCTTAGATTATACTATAATGTGTGTGAAGCCCTGATAGTCAAATAAATGATTAAAAAGTAAAACTTGTTGAATAAAGGGATAACTAATTGTCAAAATATATGCAAAATGTTTTTTCATGGAAAAGTGGTTAGATATAACCTGAATGGACTGGCTTTGTACCAGAAGGAACTAGCTATAAACAGTACTGCTATCAAATACCCCACAAACTCAAATTTCATCTGCAAATACACAAATACTTGGGTGTATTAACAATGCACATCTGACATGTCTCTTTTTCACAATGCAAAAAGTTTCCTTTGTGTTACACTGTTGTGTAAAAGGGAGAACTTTTGACAAGTTGACGACAGAAAATTTACATATTGGAAAAAAAGGTCACTATGTTACTCACACATGTTACATTACTTAGTGTATTTATGGAATAATGAACAGTAGCAGTTGATTTGCTCGATCTTTAGCTGTTGCTAAATCAGAAAAAAGAACTATTGTCAACCTAGCTAGCCATATATGTAACTGTGAAAAAAAAAACAGATTCATAAGCTCCAGTAGAATGACCCACACAACCCATGTTCAGACTCACCTAAAACTCCACATATACTAAAGGGGGTAAGTTTCTAATGAAACTGTCAGTGGGGAGGTATACAAGGTAATTTGGTAAAATTGTGAACTGAGTTGATAATATAAATTGGCCACAGAAAGAGTTTCAAAGCTGACATTTCCAGCATTTGCCCTTTGTCAGAGTAAGTTCCTTGTCATTCCCTCTGACAAAGGACTAGTGCTTTAAATGTCAGCTATGAAACTTTTTAAGGTGGCCAATTTATGTTATCAATTCAGTTTATAATTTACCAAATTATCTCATTAAAATTTCACATTTTCTGCATCTATTTTTCCTTCTGTAGGTGTTCACTGTACTCATGGCTTCAACAGAACTGGCTTCTTAATCATTGCCTATCTTGTAGAAAAAGATGACTGGAGGTAATTGAGCCATAAAAATATTTTCTGACACCAGATTGGTTTGATAAAGCTTCTTTAAACATTTCGTTATTCATGTCATTGATTTATTCCATTAGTCAGTCGTGGGACTGAGAGTTTCCACCAGACCAATCACCTAAATCTATGGGTACATGTAGTCAATGCGATTTCAACCCTTAAACTCCCAAGATCTGATTGTTTTTCTCCCCTCTTGCTGTTACACATATTCTTTTAAATTAGTTAGGAGAATTTGGCATCAGATCAAGATAACAACCTCTATTTGATAAGTTTGAGTATTCTTATTACTTTTTTGCTGGATGATGCATAGACAGTGTAGGGAGAAGTTACATTTTAATCACTTCTGGGAGTTAAAGGGTTAATACTTTGGGCTAACTACATATTTTTTTCTGTGTTTTCACAGTATTGAGGCAGCTATTCACTGTTTTGCGCAGGTTTGTGGTTGAATTCAGTAATTAAATCAACTAATAAATATTTTACTAGTAATTAAAAGTTCAAATCTTGGGCAAAGCTCTTGAGATAGTTTTTCAACCATCATGTCAATTTGTGCTTGCCCATTTCAAGACAAGACATTCCCCTACCCACCCCTCTCCTGTCAATCAGAGCTGCATTCTTTCTGTTGGTTAGGTGTTTTACATTTAATTGCATAAGATCTCAAGCAACATTACATTAAGGGAAGGGGGAAAATAAGCTTTTAGAGTTAAAATTGATACTAAGTTTTTTTTGTATGGGTTTAATTTAGATTTCCTTAACAGGTTTTGCTGAAGGACTGTAGCAGATGATACATGATAAAAAATATTGAAATTGGCATCAATAATCTTGTTTTTTTGTTTGTTTTTCTTTCATTAATTTGTGCAGTGTCGCCCTCCAGGAATTTACAAAGCACACTATTTGCAAGACTTAGTTAAGCGGTACAGTGACTCAAATGAATCCATCGCTGCACCTGAGCTTCCTGATTGGTGTTATGACGAGGAGGAAGGACTTAGTGACAATGAGGAGGAAAATGGGAGAACTGTGGAAGATGGAAGTCACTCTGATGGGAGAAGGAAAAAGATGCGAAGGGATCCAAGATTGAAGGTCAATTTTTCTTTGAAGTCTTGTCCCTTTGTCATCATCATCATCATCATCATCATCATCATCATCATCATTATCACAGTCGTTATTGTTGTTGTTGCTAAAATATTATGGGGAATTGCTACAGAATAATGTAGTTTAACAAAGTAAATCCATGATTTGTGTTTACAGGAAGCAAAATTTATGGATGAGGTTGAGGGGATTGAGGTTGTGAATTCACCCAGAAGAGAAGATATCCAAGAAATATGTGAAAAAATGTGCGCTTGGGAAAGGTGAGAAATATTAAAAGCTGAGGGAAAAATATGCAGAGAAGAATTTTGCTAAACTTGATGATAAAAGGAATGATAGCTGTGAGGTCGAAGGAAAGAGTTTATAACTGTTAAACAAATTCTCCTTGTCAGTACTGTAGGAAATACATAGTATAGAAATTATGCACGCTGATGTTAATTTGAAAAGGGTGAAACTGTTCTTGTGGTCGTATAAAAAAAATTAACTTTCTTATAAGCTCGGATTTGCTGCCTTTTTGTTTGTTGAGCAAGAGACAAATGAATACTCGATGCTTAAACAGTTCTTGCATTTTTTTTTTGTTTGTTCCCTTTATTTTAGTGGGGGATTCCCAGGAAGTCAACCAGTGTCCATGGATGTCCAGAATATTAAATTACTTCACGAAAAACCTTACAGAGTCAGTTGGAAAGCAGATGGCGTGAGGTGATTATTATTGAAAGCCTGTTTAGATTCGTCCTAAAGGAACTGCAAGTTCACCAGTTCGGATTTCTTATACTTCTTGCAAGACTTGACTTTTTTTCTATGTTAATTTTTGCGTGTTTCAGGCGAGTTGAATCAAGCGTGATAAGTGAGACCCGCGCGCCGTGTGTCTCGTTCCGAGCGCTCTTCTCGCGTTCAACGCCGATGACCTGAAAGACGCCAAAAAATTAGTCTGTTCTGTGGAAAATATGTTAACGTCTAGTGTTCTGGGCCATAAAAGCCTCTATCTTGACTTTACCTCTGGCCATTCACTATGCTCAACTGTCTGTTCATCATCCGCTAGCCTGCAGAGCACTCGAGACTTTCAGTAAACGCCGAAAGCTCAGTATTTTCTCGGTGAAAATTATTCCTGCCATCTTTGATTTTTGGAGCAGCAGAGGGTTGCTGAGATAAAGACATTTGTGCCGAAAAAGTGAGCGACGGTCTAAAGGAAGGAGGGGGGAGTGGGTGGGGCAGTAGAAATCGCGCCTTTCCGTGCCCCCCCCCCCTCCCCCAACTGTCGACTCTAACTATGAATCAAACATGGCCGGTCAGATAACATTCGTTAACTCGCCCTAATAAAACGCTTCAAGTGCACTGCAGGCTTTCCACAGGCCCAGTCAGTCTACTAATCAGTCGCTCCATTTATTCTTTTCTTTTCAGATACATGATGCTGATTTTAAAAGAAAGAGAAATATACTTAATAGACAGAGACAATAATGTGTTTGCTGCACCACAGTTCCATTTCCCTCAGCGTAAAAACCTTAGAGAGCATATTTTTGACACTCTGATTGATGGGGTAAGAGAACGCAGCATTACATACTTAACTTAAGCTTCACTGCGAACGTTTCGTAGTTGTTTTTAGTCGTTTTCCTGTGACACACAAAGTTAGGAGAGGAACGGAAAAATATCAGTTGGGTTAGAAAGAAAAAAAATTATATGGGAAGAATAGACCAAGATGTGACCAGGAAGGTCAAGGATGGAAAAGATTGACTCGGATTGAAAAAAAAGTGGCAAAATTTCCAAGCATTTTCAAATCTTGACGTCAGCGATGCAAAGTGGTATTACTCTAAATTCGTTACCGATTCTACTCGCTCGGTCCTAGACAGTTCTACCAAATCGCAAGAATTTATTTCACTAGCGAGTGGAAATTTTCCGATATATAGGCGAAGTCCGGTGCGGTGGGCCAATAGTGGTACCCACATCGTCTGAGATTTTTCTTACGATTGCAAAGCAGTCTCTGAAACGAAAATTTTGAGTTTTTATGTTCTATTTTATAGGAGATGGTTCTTGACAAGGAAAATGAAAAGGTTCACCCTCGATATCTGGCCTACGATATCGTCAGATTCCAAGTAAGTTCATCGTTATGTAGTTGGTTAATCAGTGAAAACGGTTCTTTTATGATTGGCCCATTCGAATGCCTATGAAGTACTCAAACCTCACACAGAGGTCGCAGTCATTGGGTTGTATGTACCTCCTTCCCAAATCGAGGCTGTGTAGCTTAGTTGTTAGACACAGTTCTGGACTCATCGAAGTAAGACTATGCACTCTGTATTTGCTTTTGTTGAAGTTTACCTGTGGGGGCCCAATTGTCATGTAAGTACAATAAACAGGGTTGTTTCTTACTTGCTCCTAAAATATGGCTATACGACTCATTTGGTAGCCGCAGCTAACCGTGATCTGGGAAGCATGAAATCGTACCCTTCGAAGAACTAAGTCTTTCCTCACGTCCTTCTTTCTGTTTTCTAACACATTCTTTCTCTATTCTTACGAAAAATGCCCCTTACTGTGGATTGTTTGTAAATCAGTTTATGACTCTTGTGTTTGTAGGGGCAAGAAGTCGGAAAACAAAGCCACGACATCAGAATGATTTGTATTGAAAAAGAAATAGAAATGGCTCGAAACCAAGCTGTAAGTACTTACGTATTTATCAGTCAGTCTGTCTAATAAAGAGGGAAACTTTCAAAAAAAAAAAAAAAAAAAAAAACTGCGGTGCTGCGTCGGTGGGGGGTGTTGCAAAATAATTTGGCTTTATCAATTGGGTTGATAATGTGAATTGGCCACCGTAAAGAGATTCTAAACCTGACATTTCGAGCGTTTCGCCCTTCGTCTGAGCGAATCGACGCTTCGACGAGGCCAAGTTTATCTGACTTTCGGTCTATCTGTCTGTCTGTCTTTCTACTCATCTGTCTATCTGTCTCTCTTTTTCTCTGTCCGTCTATCAGTCTGTATCTTTAACATTTCCTTACCCGAGAACAGAAAAGCATTACCTCCAATTTCTCTTTTCCTTTGTCCAATTTTATTGTTGCCTCGTTATTTTCCGTCAGATCACCGAACTGATTTTGCCAACAGGCAAACATGCAATGCGTTTTGTAACGTTTCATTACTCTTTATTGCAGGCTCAACAAGGACTCTTGGACAAGTCAAAGGAGCCGTTTAGCATCAGAGCGAAAAAGTTCTTTCCAGTAGAGAAAGCAGAGTGGGTAGGTCTTTTCGAGTCTACAGTCAACATAGAAATGAACAAATTTAATTTTTATTTTTGTTGAAAAAAATTCCTTCTTCTAAGTGGTTACTTCACACTCTACTTCCTCAGTATTGTGTCGTTCTGTAGTCATTCTTCGTCACAACTGAGGGTGAATCTGAGAGGATCCTGCCTCTCTTCCTCGCAAAACTCTTGAGAGAGTATAACAGATTACTCTTAACGTCAAGCAATTAGCATCGAATGGAAGGAGAGATTTAGAGTTGCACCTTCGTATTCTTATGCTTGTCTTACCTTTTTGTTCGTAGGTGTTAGAAAACTGGAGTCCTAAACTTAGCCACGAGAATGATGGACTGATCTTCAACCCCGCCGAGGAGGTGAGTTAACTTAAATAGTGAAAAATATTTGATGGAAGGAAGCCGCGACGGCTCTTTGGTTAACTCGTCCGAATCAAGAGGTCTGGGTACGAAGTAGACTGAAGGTTGCGGCTGTAGACGCGGGAAAACGTAATGGATAAAGTTGCGATTGGATTTAGATCACTATCCGATTGGTTGAGAGCGGGCGTTAGCTATTTAGACCAATTTTAAAGCGTAGAATAGAAAAACTAAGGTATTTCCGGATTGCTTACACTATTGAAATGAATTTCTTCGAAAATCTTGCCATTGCTTTCTGTTTCAGCCGTATGAGGCCGGACAGAGCTCTGAGTTATTGAAATGGAAACCACACACGCTAAACTCCGTGGACTTCGTTCTTAATATAAGAACTGTTCGACAAGAAGGGTATGTTTGTTAAAAGTTTGACCTGCACTGATACAAAACCAATACTGCTCTAACCAGGCCGTTCTGTTAAATGGCGGCCTAAAGGCAAAGAAACACTTGATTTGAAACTTTCTTGCATGTTAATTCACAAACGTCAGCTCCATCCCCATTCCGCTCGATAAAAAGTGGAAAACGAATTTTTGACAAATTTCTTTTAACCCTTTACACCTTGAAATCAGTGTAAATATTCTCCATACTCTTCTCTATACGTTACTTAAGGTGCTGACAAGGAGAATTTGTTTTACAATCAAAGGCTGCTTTAGTCGGTGACCATTTTCTTTATTCTCATGACCTTAACGTGTGATTCAGGGGTGATATTGTAAGGAGAAAGTAGATACTAATCACTCTCAGGGGTCGAAGGGTTAAGCGATGAGTAATTGTGTTAAATGAATAATCTTTAGATCAATATCAGTATCTGGGCAACTGCCCACCTACCCCTCCCCTAACCCAACATTAACCTTTAATTGCTATCAATTGACCGTTATTGAGTTAGGGGAGGGGTAGGTGGGCAGTTGCCCAGATACTGATATTGATCCTAATCTTTCCTCTTCTCCTTAAGGTGCATTCCTGAATCAGTTGGTGCTCTCATGGTCGGTGGTTTTGATCGACCATTTGCCCAAATCAAGGTTTGTGCAGATAGAGCCCTTTTCGATTGACTGTTGTAAGACCAAAACCAAAACCAAATTAATTACAAAGGCCAATCAAATGAAAGGAAAATACATAACCCTGAAGAGCCGACGAGAACTCAAAACAGAAACAAGCAAACTGCCTAAAGCGCGGGAAAACGCGGGCGACCAAGTCGTGGTTGGTTTTAGTTTTGTATCTGATTGGTTGAGAGATTGACGCGAGTTTTTCTGGACCAATCACTGAGCAAAGTAAAGCAAACCAATGAAATCACGGATTACTTTTGACAGTCAATTGAAAATTGCCCTCTTTTAGAATTTCGAATGGGAGCGAACCGTCACAATCAAATAGCTCCTCTGTTCCGTATGCATTGCCTTTCTTAATTTTTTCCCCTCAGGTTACGAAAGAACTCAAAAGCCTCGACAAGAAAGTGGTGGAATGCACTTGGGATGCCAAGAACAAACAGTGGAAATTTCTCAGAGTCAGGGAAGATAAAAGTTTCCCAAATGGTTACAAGACAGCTATGAGTAAGGAGGCGTGATGTGTTTTGGTTGTTTTGTGATTTTATTTCAGTTCTAAGCTGCATGTTTTGGAGAGAAAAATAAAACAGAGCGCTCGCTTCAATAGTAATTCCAACTCTTTCTTACCTTTTGAATGCTTTCATTTATGAAGTTATTTTTTTTTCCTAAACCTTAAAGTCTCAGTGGTGATCAAAATGTAACTTATCAGCAATCAATTGATAAGAATAGAACAGCGTTTCTCTTGGAGTGTTAAATTCTCTAAACTGACTTACGAGAAAATGTGTAACTGTGAGTAAAGAGAATTACTTATTAGATCTTAGGAGTTCACAAGTGAAATAAAAATGGAATGAAGGGTTTTTTATTTCCCGGCTTAATTTCAGGCGTATGCAAAAGCATTCAACAACCTGTGACAAAGAAATGGCTTCTGGAAGTCATAGAGAAACATCGTTACCACTCAGTTAGACATAGAGACCCCAACGCTCCATCCACGAGTCACGCCGCAGTTTAGATCACAGACTCACCAGAATGGCCTTAGAAGCAGTAGAAGCCGCCTTGCGTCAGTTGAAGCTCTTCTTAGAGAAAGGTAACCGCACACATTTGGATAAAGAGACTTATATCAGTCGTATAGAGTCTTCCTATGTCTGGTGCCTCCATCACTCTTTGATTTGCTATCGTGAAGGCGAGAACCATGCTCGGATGCTCCGCCGTAATCCGATGGCGTCGTCGTGAGGAACAGAATAGTGCCGACTGGGTTTACCGACGTGACACAAACACCGACTGCTGTTATTTCGCATTTGTACAGATTTTATAGCATAAAGCACTTCTTGTTTTATATTCATTTTCATTCTGTTATCAGAAGGCTACTCTAGAAAATACCTGACGTAAGTGCAATCCTTCCAATGTTTTGCGTTTTCAGCGCTTGCTAAATTTCAGTTATTTAGTTCTTATGATTTTGAGGTTCAGAGGCCTTTTAGAGCTTTATCTCATATAATGTCACTGATTGTTTTTTGATGTAGCGATCACCAACAGTGCCTCTTTTCGCACAACTTCCCTGAGTGTTAAAATGTGAAGCAACCTCGTTTCCAGGTTCACCAGTCCTTCCCCCCACTGTCTCTCTTACTCCAGGAAATGGATAGAAGATAGGCCCTGGAAACGAGGTTTTATGGTAAAGAAGATTGAATGATTAAGCCTCTTTATGTAAGAGACATTGGAAGAGTTATGCATATTTTAAGTACCACCCAAATCTGATGGTCGAAAAAAGTACTTTGGCTTTTTTTACCTTAATTAGTAGACCTGTAGCAGATGTGGTTTTCTTTTATCAATGTTGATTTTTTTGTATGGTTTTAAATTTTTTTTTCCATAACCAGAATTTTAAGTCGGGCACCTCTTCGTTTAACCAGAAGGTACTGATTTCTTCAGTCTTGTGGATTTGAAATTGTTATAGAAGGTTAGCAAAAGTGACTACTCGAGAGTTACGGGATAGGTTTGTACTTGAAGAAAAAGAAAAAGAAAAGGAAAGAAAGTAATAAACAACTGTAAATAGTTTTATTCTATGTAAACTAGTATTTCGCATGAAGTATTTTCCAGTTTGAAAAACTGATTACTTCAATGGTCCCGCTAGCATAAAGTTTGAAACTTGAATTCGATGATATTTTCATCCTCTTTGTTGATGTAAAACGAGATGAATTTGACCAATTTTTTAACTCTTCAACTCCCAGTTCAAATTCTTAATTCTCCTTACTGTCAACCATACAATTCTTGAAATGTTAGTTCAGGGAATTTAGTATCACCATTCTCATCACTTGTCTGGTTGATACTGTATTGATATTGTAAGGAGAAATTCTGTCTTGGTCACTCATGGGAAATTAAGGGTAAACAGCAAGACAAGTAAGATCAAAGGGCAAAGATGCTGTACTCATTATCAATCAAGGATTGTACAAGCTGAATGCTTGATGCATTATTATGGACTTTTACTTATGGTCTGCTAGAGGACAGACATGTAGGAGACGTCACCATGAATTTTTCTTTATTATATAGTAACATTTATGACCGGTTACGCTCTCGCTGTATATTTAACAAATAGACTCCATGTTGCCATGCATCTGTACATTAAAAGAGCACAGAAGGCGTCTAAATGTGGTAAGAACATCAGTTATACTGCATTTCAAACGAAGCGCGGTAGCAGAGGTGGAGTGAAAAAACGAGAGAGGATTGGGTTGGGTCGCGTGATGAGAGGTGTTTTGTACGCGACCCGACCCAAACCTCTCACGTTTTTGCTCTGTTGCTAGTATTCGCTCTGGTTATTATTTCGTTCTGTTTTACCAACTAGAAGCGTGGAACAGGTATCACAGAGCAGACTCGCGGCAACATAGAATCAATTTATTAATTAGATAGCGAAAGCGTAGCCAATTATATCAGTTACATATTAGATAGAACACTAGCGACAAATGCTAACGACAGATAACTGGATTCGGCTGGCGTGTATACACATCACTGTTGGTCATTAGTTCATTGGTAAAGGATCATGCCCGCCATTTTGAAATAGGTCAATCAACTGTATTGGTGGCAACTAGGGTGTGAACATGGCGTTGTGTACCGCCACAAGGACTTATTTCAGATCGATATTTAATTGCTGCTCATAAGGAAGTGGTGATTTAAAAATATAGAAAGCATTTGTCAAAATACTGTAATTAACAACTCTTTGTTTTGATTGTGATATCGTATTTGTTTTGGTAGTGTGGAGCGGAAAAGCTACCCATCCAAATAAAATGTATGTTTTGGGTTTTAGTATGGATTTAAATCTCAACGTTGAAATAGAAAGGAATAATCCTATAAACTATACTGAAGTAGCGATGTCTTAGCTTAGGCTTCGCTCAAAAGAAAAAAAAATTAAAGAAAGAGAAGGAAGAAAACTGTCAGCTGAAAAAAGGCGCCCCGTCTATTTTACAGAGGGGGATGTGAAAACACTTCTTTTCTTCTTCAATAAGGTTATTTACGATCGAGTTAATTACGAACCGACATAATGACCAGCTCCCAGTCGGCTTGTTAGCTCAGTTGGTAGAGCGCTGCACTAGTATCACAGAGGTCGTGGGTTCAAATCCCGTTCAGGCCTGAATTTTTTCAGTTTAGGCCTAATTTTCACTCCTGCTTAAGTAGCGTTCATTACTGCAAAAATTGCTCTCAAATTCAAAATTAGGTTAACCATCCACACTGATCTTCACGAAATCCGGCATACGAGCAGCTTTTCGCAAATATTGCTTAGGAGAGACGAATTTGAAGAACACCCACCTTTGGTTCTGGTGTGAACGGAAAACACTCCCAATTAGAAAATAAGGCTTTTACTTGGATTTGCAAAAACATGTCCGCTGTGTTGCAAAATTTACATTCAGGTTCATGCCCTGCTACAGCTCTAGTAGTGGGTGAACACCCTGTGGTTGGGGGTAGTTGAAAGGCCCAAGAAGCAGGCTTAGGAGGGGATGTAGAAAGCTTCGGGTAAGGTTTTCGCTTGAAGGTGAACATCGCCCACATTCACGCTAGCCTGGCCAATGAAAATCAAAGAATAAAGCCTCACCGAGATATCTGAAAGACATCTGAGAAACTATGGTATGGCCTGTGGTTAAGAATTTGTGAACTCAAATCACAGACTGACCGATGACTTCGTTTGGCCGAACGTTATACTTCAAATGCATTGTTACGGTGTAACCTAACCGACAGAAAAACACTTCAATCCTACAAACCCGAATACTTTATTAAACAACGAGTGATATTCTTAATGAGGAGCGACTCCTAGAGGCAGAACAGAACTTACGCTCGATAAACTTACTTAAGCCCTCTACAGTCTACATCTTAGTTCACCTTTAACCCAAACTCACAGTTTCCTCCAACGTTTCTTGAAATTACCAATCTTCCACTGTTGCTCTCTGACAGTCTAGCTTACCTTATCTAAACAATAACTTACATTTTAATGCCTCTGTACACACAGTTTCGACTACAAGCTATAATGACATTCGTATTGCGAAAGTCAACCTAGAGGTTGCCGAGAGATCTTTTATTTTACTGGTGCGATAGAAGTTAACGGTCTTCCTCGCCATATTAAATCAAAGGAATCCTACCACTAGGTCTAGCTAACCATCACTCCCGACAACAACAACTACTACTACTACTACACAACCGAGTCCTTATATACGTTCACAAAGTGTTCTGGAACATTCCAGAAGCTTACAAAAGAACTATTTTAGTAGTATTACGTAATAGCTGCGTGACTTGATGAAATGTTCTAAAAAGTTCTATGATACACACATGTCAGCACGACTAAGCAGTCTGGAGATTTCTAGCCTATATTTACAACAATTAATCATAACAGCATCTACACATTAACGTGCTAAAACGGACAATGAAAATACATGACAGAAAACTTCACATTTCGATTCAGTCTCTGCTGAGGCAAATCAAATCCTATATTAACGTGATGTTCCAAAATTTTTTATTTTAAGAGGTTAACTGTTCACTCTGGAAAGTTCTTTTAGATGCCCACAATGTAATGCAACATGATATTTTCATATTTCCCTCAATATTGCATTTTCATGGATTTATTTTGGCAAGGCAAAGTTCTGTAGAAAGGCACGAACTAATACATACTAACGTTGAATTGTTCTCTTATTTTAAAATCATACGACTCTAAGAGGGAGGGGGCAGGCTGGCTCACCGGAAGAGATATTCCAAAGCGACCATCAGTTCTAGTGTCACGTTAATTAATCATGCGCACATCTCCATGAGAATGGAGAATTCTTACAATGACAATCTTTCTGACATCTATTCAGGTTTCCTTTCGTCCATTTCAAACTCTTGGCTGAATTTTCTTTTTGTGCAAGTGCGACCTGGCATGTTGGTTTTTACTCCGTCTTTGCCATTATTATCTTCGCCAACGATGTTTCTTTTCAGTGTCCACATCCTAAAGGGCGCGAATATTCTCAGGCACTCTACGCGGAAGGAACGATTCATGATGCCATATATGATGGGGTTAAGTGCAGTACTGGCCCAACCGAAACAAGTATAACTTACATACACTTGTCTTTTAAGTTTCCACCCTGCGTTTACAAAGTCGATGAGATCTATTACCAAAACAGGGATCCAGCAAGTGAGAAAACCTACAACAACAGCTAATAGAATATATGTAACGTTTACTTCATCCACTGATAAGCGGCTGTTTTGGGATAAATTTGCGGCTTCATGTCTGACGGAGCGAAGTCTTGAACGGAAGTTTAGGTTATGCTTCCGAACCGTTATAAATACTTTGGTGTAACAAACCACGATGATTATCAAAGGAATGGCTACGTAAAATACCACCAAATAAGCTCCATACCCTCTATGCAAACTTTCAAAATCGTGCGCACAGAAAACTTTTCCAGTGTGAAAGAAAAATTTATGACCAGCAGCAACATATGGAAGAGGAGCAAACAGAGCCAGGATCCATAGAACAGCGATTGTCAGTTTTGTTGTCTTCTTGTTAAAGAGTTTCTGATGCAAGGTACGGGAGCGGACCACTCGGAAATATCTGTTTACAGCAGTGACGGCCAAAGTTTGTAATGACACCGCTGACAAGAGAAGAATCCAGAATCCTTGCAGCTGACAGACGAAGTCATTGAACGGCCATCTTCCAACAATTAGAGAAGCAATTGAAAATGGGATTCCCAGACAAGAGTTCAAAAAGTCTGAAAGGGCCAGAGTTATGATGTACATACTAGGAACCGTTCGGCGAAGAGTCGGGTTTTTAATGACCACTATCCCGAGCAGTAGGTTCCCAAAGAAGGAGACTAAGTTGATCAGCAACAAGAAAAACGATTCTGTGACTTGAATGTTCGTTGGTCGGTTTCTTAACTGTTCAGCAAAGACTGAAATTGCGGTTAATGTCGCATTCATGATGACAGAGAGTTTTCTTAGAGAACCTACAATTTAAGACAAAACTCATTTGATTCTTTTTTATGTAAATTTAGTTCGATTGTGAAAGCAACTTTCTCCTGTTTGTTTGCTCAATGCAGCACCCGGATGTTGCTGTTCAGAGCATTGATGAATTATTAATAAAATATTGGAGAGTTTTTTTATCATCTTCACTAATTTTCGAAAAAATTGTTTTAGAGAGCGGCTTAACTAGTTTCACCCTAAAAGCACTTTTGCTTTTTCAACAGATTCCGTTTTGAACATCATCTAAAAGCTTTCAGTATTATATTGGTGACTACGACACAAGACAAGATGGTGTTTTAGTTTGTACAACTAATTCAACCGAGAGATAGCTAGCTTTAAATGCAATTATTTTGTTGTGTGCACAGTGCTACTTTTTGAACATTATCTAAAAGCTTTCAGTATTATATTGGTGACTACGACACAAGACAAGATGGTGTTTTAGTTTGTACAACCACATTCAACCGAGAGATAGCCAGCTTTAAATGCAATTATTTTGTTGTGTGCACAGTGCTACTTTACCAACAAACTAGCTTTAATGTTGCACTTACCCTTGAGGCCAGATGGTATTCTCGATGATATTTTTCGATCCTCAAGGTTGTTTAAATATAACAGCAAAGCGGTTTTATGTTCAACGAACAAAACGTTGCCTTCTGGAAACCTTGAAAAGAATATTTAAAATTAGAAGTCATTGCACAAGTTAATTTATTCCCAGCTTATCAGTCAATCATCTGCCTCACGTCGTCAATTAACGAAAACGTTTATTTAGTTTCATGCCAAACTGACATCTGGTAGCTTTAAACTGTAATTCCGCCCTACCCCCTTCCTACAAAGAAATAAACAAATAAATAAAGTAGTACTAGAAGGTGTAAAGTGTTAATCTCTAATAGACCAATCGGCGACCAACATGCCAACATGCATGCACTCAAGGGACCAATCTTTAATTATCGTCACGGGGGGGGAGGGGGGAGGGTTGGAGGGTTTTAGGGGGGATTATACGGTTTTCAGGGGGGAACGGAGGGGTATCAGTCGTCGCCAACATAATAGGGACCTTAAGCAGTCAGGACGGCAACGCCAAAGAAGACATCGATCAAAAAATGAATTTCTGCCTTTAAGTAGAATTTAAAAAATGGCTGCAGGTGTTTACTGTCTCATACGGCGCCACACCTCAACTTCAGCATAACGTACAAAAGAAGCGTTGAGTTCCAAATGAAAATTTAAATAATTTTCCGTCGCGGTTTCGGTTCGCAGACGACGCAAATTGTGGTGATTTCATGTTGTTGTTTTGCAGGGAAAGGCTGAGAAATGTACAAAGTTTAAAACGCGCGTGCTGAGCAATTGTTCTGCCAATTAGATCTTTTGTTTTTCCATGCCCTCGTCGCCGTCGCCGTCGTGGTTTGCTTAAGGTCCCTAGTATAAAAGGAAGACTATAAAAAATGAGGAGGATCATTAGAATTCTACAGAGCGTTATGGGGAGATCGAGTAAATTTTATTCGTCACCCACTGAAAACTTATTTGACTTCGATTTCTAATTATTGCACTAAATGGCAGTTTCTTGACAGGCGGCTGAAAAAGTTTCGAATGAGCTGTCTTTCCGTCTGTCATCTTTCATTGCTGCGTGCCTAATAATTTGCCAGTAATTTTGTTATCTTTTCAACAATAGCGGGCGGAAAGACGTGGGATTACAACACTTACAACATCAGCCTGACTTATTAGAACATGCAAAAAAAATTCCTGTTTTTATCTCCTGAAATGCGAGACCTTGGATGTACATTTCAGGTGCCTACCTTGACGTCAGCGACGCTTAGTGGTATTACTCTAAAC